AATAGCCCAGACCTTAATCTAATTGAAAATCTATGGAGCCGACTAAAGAAATATGTTAGGCAGAAGCAACCCAGCAATAAAACCCAGTTAATAGAAGCAATCCTTCAATCTTGGCTTCATGTGATAACAGCTGCAGAACTCAAAGACTTGGTTCACTCCATGGGAAGATGTTGTAAGGCCGTCATTCATGCTAAAGGTTACCCAACTAAGTATTAACTGACATGGGGGATCATTTTTGTCTATCTCGCTTTTTCTACGGCGATAATTTTTGTATATCTCGTTTTTTCTCCGTGTTTCACTTTTCTTCTTTATACTGTAACTGCTATTCTAATAGCAAATCCTCCATAAAAGTTATTGCATTCCATTCTTGATTAAATTATCTTTCCACTGATATATAATTTTATGGTGCTACTCCCAAAAAAAAAAAAAGTAGTGGTATTAGCTAGCTTTAGAAAAATACACTTTTCCCAAAAGGTTTCCACAATTTTGGCCACTACTGTAAATGCAGAATGCAGAACTGAAGAAGCTCCTTGGATGAGAAGCAAAACATTTTCAAGAAAGAAAGAAAAAAAGAAAGAAAGAAGGAAGGAAGGAAGGAAACAAAGAAAAAGAAAGAAAAAGAAAGGAAGGAAGGAAGGAAGGAAGGAAGGAAGGAAGGAAGGAAGAGGAAAGAAGGAAGGAAGGAAGGAAGAAAGAGGAAGGAAGGAAGGAAGGAAGGAAGGAAGGAAGGAAGGAAGGAAGGAAGGAAGGAAAACCCAAGGAAGTCCAGTTGCTTTTTGGGAAAAGCATCCTTTGGACAAGCACAACCTGGATAATTGAGAATTTTTATAGACATTTAGCCTAAATGCACCCTTCCAACATTCAAAAGCCTTCACCCACTCAACGCGTCTTCGGATCCCTGCAGACAGAGAGCCCCTGCTACAAACAGGCAGAAACCCAACCGATTAAGCTTTCTCCTTCTCTTCACCTTGGATATATATGGTGGGAGAACCAAAAAACTTTTCCATTTCAACATTAGCTAAAACAAACAAACACACCAGCCGCAGAAAGGCCCAGCTCATCTCCACATCCAGAAAAAGTTGGAAGAGGCACACAAAATCAGTACGGGTAGCCCTGGACACACAACAGTTTCATTTTGTGACTGCTCAAAGTTACGATGGCGCTGAAAAAAAAGGAACTTAGGACCGTGTTTCACACTTACGACCGTTGCAGTACTTCCCCTGTGGTCACGTAATCAAAAAAAATCCAGACTGTCTCATATTTATGACGGTTGCAATGTGCCGGGGTCATGGGGTTTCCCCCTTTTGCGACCTTCTGGGAAACCAAGGCAAGGGGGAGGCCAGATTCATTTAACAACGATGTTGACTAATTTTAAAAACGGCAGTGATTCACTTAATAACGGTGGCATGGAAGGTCGTAAAATGGGGCAAGACTCACTTTTGACAGCTGTCTCGCTTAGCAATGGGAATTTTGGGTTCAACTAATGATTCTTGATGAACGTATCTTTTCTTTTATGTACACTGAGAGCTTATGCACCAAAGACAAATTCCTTGTGTGTCCAATCACACTTGGCCAATAAAGAATTCTATTCTATTCTATTCTATTCTATTCTATTCTATTCTATTCTATTCTATTCTATTCCATTCCATTCTTCCATTCCATTCCACATATTCTATTCTATTCTATTCTATTCTATTCCATTCCATTCCATTCCACATATTCTATTCTATTCTATTCTATTCTATTCTATTCTATTCTATTCTATTCTATTCTATTCTATTCTATTCCATTCCATTCCATTCTTCCATTCCATTGCATTCCACATATTCTATTCTATTCTATTCTATTCCATTCTATTCTATTCTATTCTATTCCATTCCATTCTTCCATTCCATTCCATTCCACATATTCTATTCTATTCTATTCTATTCTATTCTATTCTATTCTATTCTATTCTATTCTATTCTATTCTATTCTATTCTATTCTATTCCATTCCATTCCATTCCATTCCACATATTCTATTCTATTCTATTCTATTCTATTCTATTCTATTCTATTCTATTCTATTCTATTCTATTCTATTCTATTCTATTCTATTCTGTGTTCGTACCTGCAGCAATTCCCTAGTTTTGCTTCTTAGAACTGCATCAAGTCATTGATCGGCACATTTCCTTCTTCCCTTCCAAGGAAAAGCCTTCTTTCCCTTACAAGCTCAACAAATAAACTTTTTTTTAAAAAAAACCTTAAAAATAAAAAGAAGTGAAATTCGGAGGGAAGTGATTAAGGCCAACAGATCTGGGTTCACTTCTCCTCCCCACCCCACCCCACCCCACATCTTGCCACTCCCCAGCTTCTTCCAGCTCTCAGCCCAACTCATCTAAAAAAAAAGGGGGGGGGAATGACGGGATAATAAAAATGGGAAGCGAGTAAAATCACTTCAGCAACTTTCAACTTCGCTTATTTCAATCTTTCTTTCTTTCTTTCTTTCTTTTTCTTTCTTTCTTTCTTTTCTTTTTCTTTTGTCTTGAGGGGTCCTGGGTGCTCTCTGAGCTCCGCTGTTTTCTTGCCAACGTTTCATTACCCAACTAGGTAACATTATCAGTGCTTAAAAGGGAGTGGGGTGTGTGGAGAGGAGGAAGGACTGTGGGGTTTTGAAGGCTCTCTGAGCTTTCTTGCAGGAAAAACGGTACAATGGGGCCCAAACTCACTTCAAACCAATTTCTCACTTAGCCACATACATTTTGGAGCTCCATTAGGGTCGTAAGTCGAGGACTACCTGTGGTCGATAGATGTTCATGCCCATGTGTCCGTGGGTGGCTGATTTGTCAGAAATGCCAGGCTTCTAGAAATTCCCTGGCATTTTTATTTTTATTTTTTTCGTCCCTGACTTTCTCCCTTCATCAAACAGCAGCTTCTGTTTACAGAAGCGAGGCAACAGTTGCGAATGTTGACTGGGAGAAAAATCACAACAACAACGTCCTGCCAGGAGAAAAACCTTCCACCTCTTTGCATCTAAGTGTGTAAAAGTCATTTTCTCACAACTTCCCCCTTCCCGGATTTCCAGAGGCCATTTTCAAAGTGGAAGACCTCCCTTCCCTGAAGCGAAACTGAAAAAGAAGTGGAGCAAATTCGAGCCAAAGAGAGAGGGGGAGGGAGGGAGAGAGATTGTGTGTGTGTGTGTGTGTGAGAGAGAGAGAGAGAGAGAGAGATTGTGTATATGTGTGTGGGAGAGAGAGTGTGTGCGAGAGGAAGGGAGGGAGGGAGAGAGATTGCATGTGTGTGAGAGAGAGAGAATTTGAGAGACAGATTGTGTGTGTGAGAGAGTGAGAGAGAGAGATTGTGTGAGTGAGAGAGTGAGAGAGATTGTGTGTGAGAGAGAGATTGTGTGTATGTGTGTGTGTGAGAAAGAGATTGTGTGTGTGTCTGTGAGTGTGTGTGAGAGAGAGAGAGGGAGGGGAGAGAATGTGTGAATGTGTGTGTGAGAGAGAGATTGTGTGTGTGAGAGAGATTGTGTGTGTATGTCTGTGTGTGTCAGAGAGAGGCAGGGAGGGAGGGAGTGTGTGTATTATGTATGTGTGTGTGTGAGAGAGAGATTGTGTGAGAGAGATTGTGTGTGTGTGTGTGTGAGAGAGAGAGAGAGAGAGAGAGACCTTTTTCGTCTCTAACCATATGCCCTTACTCCCAGCTTACTCCGAATCTTGTTTCTGCCTTCTCCTTCCAACTTATTCCAGGCTTCTTCTCCCCCTCCCAAAAACAACTAACTACCCCGGATCCTTGCCCTTCCCTCCCAGGCCTAGAAGAGAAGAGGGAGAGGTGAAAAAAGAAAGGAGTGGCAACGTGGAAAAAGAAAGAAAGAAAGAAAGAAGGAGAAGGAGAAGGAGAAGGAGAAGGAGAAGAAGAAGAAGAAGAAGAAGAAGAAGAAGAAGAAGAAGAAGAAGAAGAAGAAGAAGAGGAGGAGGAGGAGGAAGAGAGAGGGAAAAAAAAGAATTTTGGAAACAAAAACAACCACCAAAAAAAAAAAAGAAAGAAAGAAAAGAAAGAAATTACACGTTTGAAGTTCCCCTAGTATGCAAAACCTTGGGGGGGGGAATCCACGCAGGGGCTAGGAAAGACCACCGCCTTGCCTTCTCTTTCGCTGAGACATTTCTCTCTCCCCCCCCCACTTTAGAAGAAGGAGGAGAAGAAAGAAAGAAAGGAAGGAAGGAAGGAAGGAAGGAAGGAAGGAAGGAAGGAAGGAAGGAAGGAAGAAAGAAAGAAAGAAAGAAAGAAAGAAAGAAAGAGGGAGGGAGGGAAAGAAAGAAAGATAGAAAGAGGGAGGGAGGGAGGGAGAGAGAGAGAGAGAAGAAGAGAGAGAGAGAGAAGAGAGAGAATGAGAGAGAGAGAGAGAGAGAGAGAGAAAGAAAGAAAGAAAGAAAGAAAGAAAGAAAGAGGGAGGGAAAGAAAGAAAGATAGAAAGAGGGAGGGAGGGAGGGAGAGAGAGAGAGAGAATGAGAGAGAGAGAGAGAGAGAGAGAGAGAAAGAAAGAAAGAAAGAAAGAAAGAAAGAAAGAAAGAAAGAAAGAAAGAAAGAAGGAGGGAGGGAGGGAGGGAGGAGAGAGAAAGAAAGAAAGAAAGAAAGAAAGAAAGAAAGAAAGAAAGAGGGAGGGAGGGAGGGAGAGAGAGAGAGAGAGAGAGAGAGAGAGAGAGAGAGAGAGAAAGAAAGAAAGAAGAAAAGCAGGGAAGCAAAGCCGGCCACCCCCCACCCCAGGAAGTGGGGAGGGGGGCTTGCTTGTCAGGCTGGAGACGAATCTGCAAAACGACGCCAAAACCCCCTCAAAATCCTCCCCAATTCAGCTGAACCCCTTCCCTCCCCCGGAAAGGACCCCTCTCCGCCCCCCACCCCCCATTCTCCCCCAAGGAAGCAGCAGCCCCCCTCCCCACTCAATAAATACCCTCGGTGCAGCCGAAGCGGCGCCCACCCACCCCTTCCCCACCGCCCCTACCTGGCCTTATTTTTTTACCTGCGATGGACTGGCGCCTGTTCTCGTCCAGGTGAGCCGAAATCACGTCGCCCATGGCGGCCCAGCGGACGGAAGAGGAGAAGGAGAAAGAGGAGGAGATGGAGGAAGGGAGGACGAGGCTGTTTGGCTAAAGGAGGAGAGGAGAAGGGCCCCGCCGGGCGATGCACTCCATGGGGCGGCCGGGACTGAGCCAGAGGGAGGGGAAAAGAGCCAGCGAGGCGGGTTCGTGCTGGCGCCCGCAGCTGGCTTGCTTGCTCACTCGCTCGCTTGGCTTCTTCCTCCTCCTCCTCCTCCTCCTCCTCCTCCTCCGACACGCCTTTCTTTACCCTGCTTTGCTCGCCTTCCCAGTCCCTCCGCGGGATTCCGTCCCTGATTTTATTTTATTTTTTATTTTTTTTTTGCGCGGGGAGGGGAGGACGGTGGTTTCCCTGCCCCCTTCCCTGCTTTCAGTGGAAGTTGAGAGAGGGGTTGAACGCCAGGGGTGCAAAATCCCAGCAGGTTCTGCCGAACCGGTAGCGGAAATTTTGAGCAGTTGGGAGAACCCGGCAAATACCACCTCTGGCTGGCCCCAGGAGTGGGGAGGGAATGGGGATTTGGCAGTATCCTTCCCCTGGAGTGGGGAGGGAATAGAGATTTTGCAGTATCCTTCCCCTGGAGTGGAGAGGGAATAGAGATTTTGCAGTATCCTTCCCCCTGGAGTGGGGAGGGAATGGGGATTTGGCAGTATCCTTCCCCTGGAGTGGGGAGGGAATAGAGATTTTGCAGTATCCTTCCCTGGAGTGGGGAGGGAATAGAGATTTTGCAGTATCCTTCCCCTAGAGTGGGGAGGGAATGGGGATTTGGCAGTATCCTTCCCCTGGAGTGGGGAGGGAATGGGGATTTGGCAGTATCCTTCCCCTGGAGTGGGGAGGGAATAGAGATTTTGCAGTATCCTTCCCCTGGAGTGGGAGGGAATGGGGATTTGGCAGTATCCTTCCCCTGGAGTGGGGAGGGAACAGAGATTTTGCAGTATCTTTCCCCTGGAATGGGGTGGGAATGGGGATTTGGCAGTATTCTTCCCCTGCTACGCCCACCAAGCCACACCCACAAAACCAGTAGTAAAAAAATTAGGATTTCACCACTGGTTCACACACACACACACACACACAGAGCGCCACTTTTCTGGGTACCAAGAAAGGAGACGATTTTGCGGGATTGAAATGGGGAGGGTGTCCCTTGGTGCTCTCTGAGCAGGGTGGTTTTCGATTCACTTAACAACAGTGGCAAGGAAGGTCGTAAAATGGGGCCAAAACTCACTTAACAACATAAAATCTGGCTCAGTTGTGGTCGTAAGTCGAGGAGTATCTGCATTAACTTATTCTACAATCCCCAAAGAAGTAGGAAGTTGGGGTTTTTTTTTTTTTTCCTTTTTCCCCTCTGCCCTGCACTTTTCTCTCTTCCCTTTTTTTCCTCTTTGTTTTTACCTTTTTAATTTCTGTTTATAGTTTTGTACTTGATGCTTGGATAAAACTAATAAAAATATCGAACTTGAAGAGTGAGCAAGAAAATCAAAGGACTGTACCGGAATTCCGAAATCCTCGGCGCTCTATGACCAGCGAGAACCGAATCAATCTGGATTTTATGCAAAAGAGTTCCTGCAATCTGCATGTTAAGGCAGGACATTAAATTAGACGGCAAACAATGTTGGTTCCTAACAGTAGGAAGTGACCTTGACTTCTTGCAGGTTTGGGGTTAATTGCTTGCTTCAAGGATTTATAAATAGTGCTTGCCACCTGTAAATAACAAGCCCAGCTATTGTTTTCTCCCAAGAAGCGCTTTGCAAGAAACCTAGATAGCTGGGAGCTACTAACTATCTAACCACTGCACCTGCTGACTTGTGAGCCCGAGGAGTTAAAGCAGCAGAGTTCAGAATTCCCTTGGCATGAAAAAGGAACAGCTGGGTGCTCCTTCTCTGCCTTTATTTACTTATTTTTATTTAGGATGTTTGTCCAGAAACCCATAAAACAAAAGCCTGCGCATCAGGGGTGAAATGTTCCAGGTTCGGACCGGATCACCCGATCCGGTAGTGATGGCGGTAGCAAAAATCCCTGCGCCCCCGTCCCCCATTCCCAGCTGAGGCGCCCGATCATCAGAGACTTTTTTTTTTTAACTTTTAAAAGCATTTTTTCTACAACCTCTCCGGCCGAAAAAATGTTTTTAAAAGTTAAAAAAAAAAAAGTGTCTGATGATCGCGGGCCTCAGCCGGGATCGTCAGAGGCTTTTTAAAAGCATTTTTTCTACAACCTCTCTGGCCGAAAAAATGTTTTTAAATTTTTTAAAAAAAGTGTCTGATGATCGCGGGCCTCAGCCGGGATTGTCAGAGGCTTTTAAAAGCATTTTTTCTGCAACCTCTTCAGCCGAAGAGGTTGTAGGGGAAAAAAATGATTTTAAAAGCCTCTGACGATCCCAGCTGAGTTGCCTGATCGTCCAAGGCTTTTAAAAGCATTTTTTTTCCAACCTCTTCGGCTGAAGAGGTTGTAGAAAAAATGCTTTAAAAAATAAATAAATAAATAAAAATGGCCACGCCCACCCAGTCACATTACCCCCCCCCACACACACACACACCAAGCCATGCCCACAGAACTGGTAGTAACAAATTTTACATTTCACCACTGCTGCGCATCCCAAAGAGGCATTTAGAAAATAGCAGCTGCTATTTATAGGGGGGGAAGGAAAAGGTTGGGGAAAAAAAGGACAATGGGGGGGGGGGGAAGAGAGGAATGAAATGAAGTCACAGGGGGGAAAAGACAAAATAACAGAAGGAAGACCATGATGAAACGATGCTTTAAAATGGTAAGATATTTATATGTTGTATGTTATGTGAATGTCATATATGTGTTATAATAAAGTTACAAATAATAATAATAAAAAAAATAGCTGCCTCTGGCACTCCCTCCCTCCCTCCCCCGCTCAGGAACCCCCTCACCCCCCACCTTCAATAACAGAAAACAATTCTGATTAAGGTCCGCGGTTTATTTATTTATTTATTTATTTATTTATTTATTTATTTATTATATTTCTATACCGCCTTTCTCCCGTAGGACTCAAGGCGGTGTACAGTCAAGAAAAATACAGACACACAAACATCATAAAATTGCTAATTAAAATTATTACTTAGTTTGGTCAATTAAATAAAACCCAGAATTAGATCACATTTAAAAAATCATTCACATATTCATATGTTTAGCCCCGCCTGTTGGAACAGGTTTGATTCAGCATTTTACAGAGGATGGTGTTTGTTTTGAGATGGAGCGGGGAAGAGAATGGGTTTGCATTGGCCCAATCATCTTTTAAATAAAGGTCAGCTTGCAAAGGTCAGAAAAATTTCTCCGGTGGACCGATTTCCAAAGCAATGGGTCTCCCCGCCACCCCCCGCTGCCCCCAGCTTGGTTCGTTCCCAGGGATCTAACCCTGTGCAATCCTTACAGTTGATGTGCTAAATCTGGTAAGATTTGGAGCGGGATGGAGCAGTGGTGAAATCCTCTGCGGGTTGCCACCGGCTTGCTGCCCGCTAAATGTGTGCTGTGCGCAAATGCCCGCTGTGCATGCATGCACAATGCACACCAAATGCACACTGTGGCATGCGTGCGCATTGTGCAGCAAACACGCGCTTCACGTGGAAAAAGGTTTGGGAAGGTAAGTAGAACAGCGAGGGGGAGGAGCAGCTGTGCCGCACGATTTAGATCTGCTAGACAGCAGGATTTCCTGGTTTCTAGCGAATATAAATCGCGCAGCACAGCTGATTGTCGGAAATACCAGTTTGGACGAACCAATAGCTTTTTTTTTTTTACTACCAGTTCGCCTGAACTGGTGCGAACCAGTAGCGTTTCACCCCTGGGATGGAGGAATGGGAGGTGGGGGTGGGGGACAAGATTTTTGGTCTCTTTCAGTGACTGGGTACTTTTTCCCCACTCTTCTTGGCTAAGGGAGTGGGGGAAGAAGAGAATAAGAAAGAGAAGAGGGGAAAAAGAAGAGATGGGGCAGAAGGAAAGAAGGACATAGATGGGAGAAAAGAGAAGAGAAAAGAAAGGACTAGAGAAGCAAGAAGAGATAAGATTAAAAAGAAGAAAAGTGGGAAGGAAAGATGAGAAGAAAGGACAAAAGAAAAGGAAGAAAAGAAATAAAAGAGAAGAGAAGAAGGACCGACGAGAGATGAAAGAGGACAGAAGAGAAGAGATGGCTTATCAGAAGGAAAAACTACACACATTTTGCTCAGATATTCACAACTGCCAACAAGGAGAAACACCAGTGTTTGATTTGGCACATAGGGAGAAGATAGTTTTAACACAGAGAGAGAGAGAGAGAGAGAGACTGAGACAGAGACACAGTGAGAGAGAGAGAGAGAGAGAGAGAGAGAGAGAGAGAGAGAGAGAGAGAGACAGATAGACAGAGACAGACAGAGACAGAGACAGAGTGAGAGAGAGAGAGAGAGAGAAACAGAGACAGAAAGAGAGATAGACACAGTGAGAGAGAGAGAGACAGCTAGACAGAGACAGAGAGCTAGACAGAGAGACAGAGTGAGAGAGAGAGAGACCATCCTTCCCAGACATGGAGCTGCTAAACCACAATCTCTTTTGAGTACTAATCTAAAGGCAGTTTGTTTTTGCTCCGGTGCTTTGTTTACACCCCCCCCCTATCTCAACTCCCCAGGCGAGACATTTACCCCCATCTCAACTCCCTGGGCGAGAAGCGTAGTAGCCCATGCAAGCCGTCTTGTACACAAAGGTCTCCTGTTTATTCGCTTCATCCGTGTTTGGCTTGGCAAGCGAAGGCTGGAGAAACAGGCTGCAGATTTTTTGCCAGCTTTTGGCTGAGATTGTTCCCTCCCTCCCTCCTCCTCCTCCTGTTGAAACACGTCTCCCCAAAGAACACTTCCGGGTTGGCTCAGATGATTTCGTTTGCCTTGAAAGCTTCCAGGGATGAAGCTCCCACAACTTGCGACAAAACCAGCAAGCACAACTTTTAGACCCGCGGAGGAGACAGGACACCGCGTTCATTGACAATAAACTGCTCCCCTTTGCAAATTAGATATTCGCAACCCTGAATTAGAAGGGTGGAGAACGCAACCAGTTTTATGCTACGATGGGTGTAGCTGCTTCCTTACACACTAGGCGTGTGAGCGCGTTGTGAGTGTTGCAGAGGTCCCAACCGGCTGCTATCGGCGGCGACGGGGAAAGAGACAGAAAATGTTAGTGTGCAAACTACCAGGTAGTCCTAGAGTTACGACCAGAATTGAGCCCGACATTGATGTTGCTAAGTGAAGACACTTGTGAAGCGAGTTTGCCCCGTTCTACGACCTTCCTGGCTACAGCTGTTAAGTGAATCATTTGACGTTTGTTAAGTCAGTAACACGGAATCTGGCTTCCCCCCACTGACTGTGCTTGTTGGAAGGCCGCAAAAGGGGAGAGGATACTGCAACCGTCATAAGTATGAGTCAGTGGCCAAGTGTCTGAATTTTGACCAGGTGGCCATAGGGATGCTGCAATAAGTAAAAAAGTCTTTTTTTTTCCAGTGCTGTTGTAACTTTGAATGGTCACTAAATGAACATCGTAAATCGAGGACTTTCTGTATTTACGTGCCCCAAGACAGGGGTTTCCATACAGGTAGACCTCGACAGTTCATTTAGTGACCGTTTGAAGTTACAACAGCACTTTCAGAAGTTGTGGGGGCTCCATCACTGGAGGTTTTTAAGAAGAGATTGGACAGGCACTTGTCTGAAGTAGTGTAGGGTTTCCTGCCTGAGCAGGGGGTTGGACTAGAAGGCCTCCAAGGTCCCTTCCAGCTCTATTCTGAATTGAAAATGGTTTTCCTTTTTTAACATTCTTTTCTTGCCAAAGATCTGGGAAAAAGTGGGAGGGAGGCGTGCAAAACTTATCTCGCCATCAGCAAACAGTTCTTTGCCATTCTCTTTTCCTGTTGCCAACAACGAATGATTAGGAGGAGAAGAGAACAATGTTTTTCCTTTCAAATGCCATTTGTCACAATTTCTCCCTCCAAACAAATTGCCAGACAGATAGATGATGGATGATGGATGGATGATAGGTAGGTAGTTAGATGATGGGTGGATGGATGGTTTAGGTAGGTAGGTAAAGAGAGACAGAGAAGATAGATAGATAGATAGATAGATAGATAGATAGATAGATAGATAGATAGATAGATGATGGATGGTTTAGGTAGATGGATGGATGGATTAGGTAGCTAGGTAGAGAGAGAGAGAGAGAAATTAGGTAGGTAAGTAAGCAGATAGATAGATAGATAGATAGATAGATAGATAGATAGATAGATAGATAGATAGATAGATAGATAGATGATGGGTGGGTGGTTTAGGTAGATGGATGGATGGATGGATTAGGTAGCTAGATAGAGAGAGAGACAGAGATTAGATAGGTAAGCAGATAGATGATGGATGGTTGGTTTAGGTGGATGGATGGATGGATTAGGTAGGTAGATAGGTAGGTAGGTAGGTAGGTAGAGAGAGAGAGAGAGAGAGAGAGAGATTAGGTAGATAGAGAGATAGAGATATTGCAATAGATAGTGTAGTCTTTTGACTTCATGGCATTTCTTCTTTTGATCCGTGATTGCAATCTATAACTCGGCCTGGAAATCTTCATTTGACTCTGCATTGCTCTCTGGTGTCCAAGAATTAAATTGCTGTTTTAAAAAAACCCAGGAATCTCACAGCTGACTCAGCTCTTTCCTTGGACTGGGTGTGCTGAGAATTAGCTTCTTAGGATAGTCAAGCCTGCAGTTACTCCTCGACTTAACAACCATTCATTTATTTGAAGTTACAAACCAGCACCGAAAAAAGTGACTGGCAACCAGTTCTCACACCCATGACTGACACAGCATCCAACAGACACATGGTCAACATTCGGACGCTTGCCTCTAGAAGTTGTGGATGCTCCATCACTGGAGGTTATTTTTAAGAGACTGGACAGCCATTTGTCTGAAGTGGTGTAGGGTCTCCTGCTTGAATAGGGGTTGGGCTAGTTAGAAGATCTCCAAGGTCCCTTCCAACTCTGTTATTCCTTCCTTCCTTCCTTCCTTCCTTCCTTCCTTCCTTCCTTCCTTCCTTCCTTCCTTCCTTCCTTCCTCCCTCCCTCCCTCCTTATGTCTTTATGTCCTTACATCCTTCCTGTCTAAAAGGATCTCCTGCTTGAGCAGGAGGTTGGACTAGAAGAGGTCCGAGGTCCCTTCCAACTTTGTTATTCCTCTTTCCCTCCCTCCCTCCCTTCTGTTCATCCATCCTTCCTGTCCCAAATGGGATAGGGTCTCCTGCTTGAGGTCTTCTAAAGTCCCTTCCAATTTTATTTATTTATTATTTATTTTGTCGCATTTCTAAGCCGCCCCACTCCCACTTATTATTCTATGTTCTCATCTTCTTCCTATTGGTGTATCCATGGGGATGGAGAGGTGAGGTTATCTATTATTGGCAGTACGGTTCTTCATTGCCCAAGGTAAGAAAAATAAAGATGTCACACCTGAAGACAGTAGGTTAAACAATTCAGCCTAGCTCTTTCTTCCAATATCCTACTGCTGATTTCCAAAGTTTCCAAATTCCCCTTTCTGCAGAATATAGTCCTCCTGAGGGTAACTCAACCATCTCTTCCTAGTTACTTAAATTAACCTCTATTGTACAGATACATACATACATATATATATATATATATATTCAAGGGACGTGGTGGCTCAGTGGCTAAAATGCTGAGCTTGTTGATCAAAAGTCGGCAGTTCAGCGGTTTGAATCCCTAGTGCCACGTAATGAGTTGAGCTCCGTGACTTGTCCCAGCTTCTGCCAACCTAGCAGTTCGAAAGCACGTTAAAAAAAAATGCAAGTAGAAAAATAGGGACCACCTTTGGTGGGAAGGGAACGGTGTTCCATGCGCCTTTGGCATTGAATCATGCTGGCCACATGACCATGGAGATGTCTTCGGACAGCGCTGGCTCTTCGGCTTTGAAACGGAGATGAGCACCGCCCCCTAGAGTCGGGAACGTGTGTGAGGGGAACCTTTACCATTATATATATCAAAACAGGACTTAAAATAACATCCTTGTAAATGCAATATTCTTCATCCTTCGGAAGGAAGTGTGGGAAATTGTACTGTGCAAGTCATGAGTCACAGTAGTGGCTTTTAACAACGGGCTGAATCGATGGAGGAGGGATACAGCTTCCCCGTATCTTCTTCCTTCCTTTCCCCTTGCAAGTCTTCTCATCTTTCTTTTCTAGGAGGAGCGGGGGGGCTCCATTCAAAGGTGAGTTTAGCTGAAGCAAACCGCCCCGATGGTAAACCCGAACTGATGGGAGACGTCACCATTGTGGAACACCGCGAGATCGCGCAAAGGCATCAGGGAGAGGTCGCCGGTGGAGAAAAAGAAGATGGTATCCATGACCGAAGATTCATTGTCCAGCTGAAAGAATCCCAAAGAGGTTAGAAGATGCTGTGCTATCCTGAGAAAAAGAATTGGCTTCTTTTATTTCTTTCGGTATAATTTATCTACTGTAGGAGAAGGAGTGGCAGAAACTGGGGGCAGAGTTAAGAGAGGAATCAGCCTGAAATCCCTATGTAGCCACAAGTGAACCAAGTCCAACCTCTCTTGAATTCCATGGACCCTTATCTAACTCCAAGCAGAAAGAGAGAGAGAAAGAGGGAGGGAGGAGAGAGAGAGAGCGAAAGAAAGGAAGGAAGAAGGAGAGAGAGAGAGAGAGAGAGAGAGAGGAAGGAAGGAAAGAAAAAGGAAGGGAAGGGAAGGAAAGAAGGAAGAAAGAAAAAAGGAAGGAAGGAAAAGAAAAAAAAAAGGAAGGAAGGAAAGAAGGAAGGGAAGGAAGAAAAGAAAAAGGAAGGAAGGAAGAGAAAGAAAAGGGAAGGAAGGAAGAAAGAAAAAGGAAGGAAAGAAAGAAAAAGGAAGGAAGGAAAGAAAGAAAGAAAAGGAAAGACAGGAAGGAAGGAAGGAAGGAAGGAAGAGAAAGAGAAAGAGAAAGAAAAAGACAGACAGGCCATGTCTCCCTTTTTTCCTTGCTTACCTCACATCCCTGGAGAGTACTCAAATAGCTTTGGTCCCGGGAATCCGTAAGAAACTTGACTTCCTTTTCCAGGTGCTTTGTGCTTCCATCTGAGTGGGGTCTGCAGGAATAGGATACTTTCTGGGTGGCCAGACTGCTGTGAAGTTTCAAAAAACGGAGCTGGACGGTGTTCAGGCCCCGATACTCGAGCTGGAACAGCCCCCCAAAAAAAGCAGAACGTCAGACTGCATCAAGCTGGCTGAGATATTACCATTTTTGAAATGATTCTCATCTTGGCTTCTAGAAAACCAGCAAATTTAATTTAATTTAATTTAATTTAATTTCGAATTTATATACCGCCCTTCTCCCTGAGGACTCAGGGCGGTGTACAGCCAAGATAAAAAACATAGAATACAAATATTAAAACATTTAAAAATATATATAAAATTTGAAGAAGGCTCCTAACCCATGGGCAACCCTGAGATTCTGGTTATTTCTAAATTAGCATCCCAACTGATCTAGAAAGCAGTGGGTCTCTTAAAATTTGAGTGCTTCTGGTGCAAACCCTTCTCTTTTAGAAAACCAGGTTGGCCAGCTCCAGGCTCAGTGGACCACAATTTCTCCAACCTTTTCAAAGCCTTGATAGAAAAGTTCTCCTTAAGAGTCTTCCCACCATGAATAATAACCCAGTGATTACAATTTTTGGACCTCTCTTGGGAAGCTCCTTGTCCTGGATGAGTTCCAGACAGAAGACATCTTTAGGATGGAAGTTCTATGGTCTTCCATCCAAGAGATGGAAAACATGGTCCACTGGATGTCGCTGAACAACACCACCCAACGGTCACAGTCAACATGGCCAGGGTAAAAGACATTTTAAATACATCAAGAGGATCACGGTATCCTGATGGATAGGTGGTGATAGATCCTGATAGAGAGGGAGCTGTTATGATGGACTACAATGAAGTGATAATTTCCCAGGAAGAAGGGAACACATTCCAGAAAGGGGAGGGAAGACCAGAGGCAGCAGAGTCCAGAGTTAGATAGGAAGTAGAGTAGAGTAGAGTAGAGTAGAGTAGAGTAGAGTAGAGTAGAGTAGAGTAGAGTAGAGTAGAGTAGAGTAGAGTAGAATAACAGAGTTGGAAGGGACCTTGGAAGTCTTCTAGGCCAACCCCCTGCTTAGGCAGGAAACCCTACACCACTTCAGACAAATGGCTATACAACATCTTCTTAAAAACTTCCAGTGTTGGAGCATAGAGGAAGCGAGTTAGTATAGCCACTCCCTAGACCCATGATGGCAAACCTATGGCACATGTGTGGCAGAGGTGGCACGCAGAGCCTTCTCTGTGGGCATATGCGTAATCGCCAGCTGCTCTACAGTTTCCGGTGAGTGCATGCGCACCGCCCAGCTGGTCTTTGCACACATTGAAGCACTGGAAACTGAAGATCAGCTGGCTGAGCTGCATTTGCGCACCGGAAACCCGAAGAACAGCTGGAAACTGGAAGACCAGCGCATGAGCATTGGCCAGTTGATCACGTGCTCCAACACGTACACATTCCGGTTTGGGCACTTGGTGCCGAAAAGGTTCGCCATCACTGCCTTAGACTCTCCCAGGGTTTATTCGTCAAAGAAAGAATAGTGAGGGTTTAATCCGGCAAGATTCTGTCTATTGTATGTAAGCAATAAAAGAACTGATCTCTGGCCCGGATTGTTTTGTTGTTCTTGGGCTTAGCCTGACACCCCACCACTACAGACAAACTTACCGGGAAACCCTCAGGAAGGGAACTCAACCATTCAAACTTGCCTTCCGATGTATACGATCTCAACCAAGCCTTGAGCGGGACCTGCAAATTTAAAGAAAGTGCAGAGTTCTCTTCTAAAACCTCGATTTTATTGTATTTATCGGAGTAGAAGATGCACCGGAGTATAAGATGCAGCTTAGTTTTTGGGGAGGAAAATAGTGTGTGGGGGAGAATCTGCCTACCAGCCATTCATCTGGCTAGCGTCCTTAGTCTGGTCAGCTTCAGCACATTAGTTTGCTGGTTTTTATCCCCTACGTCGGGATAAAAAAACAGCTTCTAAAGCAAAGCTGATCTTTGGAGAGAGAAGCAATGAGAAAAGCAGGCGAAGCGCGGAAGATCGCTTCACTCGCTAGCGCCTCGTTAGGGCTGATAAAAAGCTTCAAAAAAACTACAGAGTTTAAGACGCACCCAAATTTTCAGCCTCTTTTGGTGGGGGAGGAGAAAGTGCATTTTATACTCTGAAAAATATGGTATGTAGAATTATATAAACCGCAGGGGATTAGTCTGCTTTCAGACTCTCATCTCCACCGAAAAAATATATACATTATGGAGCTGCTTCCTATGTTCCTTGTTTTCCGATTCCACCCTAGAAAAGAAAGTGTGGGGTCCAAAAAGAGAGAGATTGCTTGAAACTTTATAGAAAAGTTTGCAGGACGACCCCCCCCCACCTTACCTGATTTTGCACGGGAGAAATACAGGTCTCTCCTCCCGCCGTGAAGTTGCAAAAGGCCATCAAAGAGTCTCGGGGGCTGCCTTGATTGGGATCGATGTAATAATATCCTTGGAATGAAAGAGAGAAAATTAATCTTTTTTTTTTTTAGCCCATGCAAAATGCAGAGAAGAAGAGGTGCATTATTTCAAAGGCACACCCAATCGGAACATCCCAACTGGAATTGGGAGATGTTGTGAGTTGTGATTCCATCTGCTTCTTCTATATCCCAAATCCCAGTTTAGGAGCTGATTCCCCTTTCTGTAGAATATAGTCTTCTTGAAGGTAACTCAATCATCTCTTCCTAGTTACTTAAATTAATCTCTTTTGTACAGAGAGGAGAGAGAGAGAGGCAGAGAGAGAGAGAGAGAGAGAGAGAGAGAGACAGAGAGACAGAGAGAGACAGATAGACAGACTGAGAAAGAGAGAGAGACACACACAGAGAAAGAGAGAGAGAGAGAGAAACAGAGAGAGACACACACATAGAGAGAGACACACACACAGAGAGAGAGAGAGACAGACAGACAGATACAGACTGAGAAAGAGAGAGACACAGAGAGAGAGAGAGAGAGAGAGAAAGAGACAGACAGAGACAGACTGAGAAAGAGAGAGAGACACACACAGAGAAAGAAAGAGACAGAGAGAGAGACAGAGAGAGACAGAGAGAGAGAGAGAGAGAAAGAGAGAGAGAGACAGACAGACAGACAGACAGACAGACATATAGAAAGACTGAGAAAGAGAGAGAGACACAGAGAGAGAAAGAGACAGAGACAGAAAGAGAGACAGACAGAGACAGAGAGACAGGAGAAAGAGACAGACAGAGACAGAGAGAAAGAGAGAGACAGAGAGAGAGGGAGAGAGAGAGAGAGAGAGAGAGAGACACACACACACACACACACACAGAGAGACATAGATATATAGAGATATAGATATAACATCCTTGTGAACATAATATTCTTCATCCATCAGAAGGAAGTATGGAAAATTGTACTGTGCAGTCATGAGTCACAGTTGTGGCTTTTAACAACGAGCTGAATCAATGGAAGGACGTGTCTTCTCCATACCACCTTCTTTCTTCCTTTTCCCTTGCAAGTCTTCTCGTCTTTCTTGGCAACTTTAAGACTTGTGGACTTCCAACGCCCAGGATTCCTCAGCAGGCCATTGGGAATTCTGGGAGTTGAAGTCCACAAGTCTTTAACGTTGCCGAGTTTGGAGAGCCCTGGCTTAGGCAACTAAGGGAAAGTCCCAAACCATTCCCAAGTAGCACCTTTATCAGAACCAGTTCAAACGAGAGCAAAGAATATGCAATCTTGGGTGTCCTTCCATTCTCCTGCATCCTCCATCACAAGACAAAGCTCTAAAAATCTAGGAGGACCTGGACATTTTCAGGATCATCCAATGAAGGAAGGACCTAGTTTTTCTCACCATCTGATAGGTGGGAATGAACCACCAAAAGCTCTTTGCAGGTAGTAGCTGGGCGGTCCTTGGTGCCATCAGGGGCATCAATCAGGCGTTTCAGCTCCTGCCGTAAGTTCTCCATAAGTGCCCACACCAGGCTGAAATTCTTGTGGGAAGAATAGACCTATAGAAGTGAAAACAGGATAGGAGAAGTATGGATGCTCTGGGAACTCTGGTGTCGGCGAAAGCTCCCGAGAAGGGCGTGGACAGAACAAACAAATAGATCACTGACAAATCAATCCAGAGTTAAACCTACCCTCAGATCTTCTTTGGAGGCAATCCGAGAAGCTCCGGGTGGTCCAGGAGAACCAGGTTTGCCCTAAAAAACCAGGAGATATTGATAATGCCACCCATGCGTCATGGAGTACAAACAGTCTACCCGTCTTAGGATGGATTTTGAAATGTTTATGTAGTCTACATCGGAGGTGGTAACCCTTTGAGAGCTGCATGCAACAAAATTTCATTTGAATGCATGTCGATTAGTGTACATTCAGAGTGACAGTACAGTTATTCTATCTATGTCTGTCTGTCTATTATCTATTATGTTTATCTGTCTATCCATCCATCCGTCCATCTATCCATTCCTCTCTCTCATCTATCTATCTATCTATCTATCTATCTATCTATCTATCTATCTATCTATCTATCTATCTAATCTATGTCTGTCTATCCACCCCATCTGTCCCTCTATCCATCCATCCATCCATCCCTCTCTCTCTATCTATCCTCTCTCTCTCATCTATCTATCTATCTATCTATCTATCTATCTATCTATCTATCTATCTATCTATCTATCTAATCTATGTCTGTCTATCCACCCATCTGTCCCTCCATCCATCCATCTCTCTATCTATCCTCTCTCATCTATCTCTCATCTATCTATCTATCATCTATCTATCTATCTATCATCTTATCTATCTAATCTAATCTATCTAGCTATCATCTATGTCTGTCTGTCTACCTTTCTATCCATCCCTTTATCATCTATCTTCTCTCTCTATCATCTATCTATCTATCTATCTATCTATCTATCTATCTATCTATCTATAATCTATCTATCTATCTAATCTATCTAGCTATCATCTATCTATGTCTGTCTGTCTACCTTTCTATCCATCCATCCATCCATCCATCCCTCTCTCATCTATCTTCTATCTGTCTCTGTCTATCTATCTATATCTGGTACTATACTGTTTCAGGCTTGCCTTGGTTTTGTAGAGAAGAAGGCACCTTGAAGAAAATATACAGTAGTTGTCACATGAAGACATGAAGTGTTTCTAGTCCTCCTGGAGGAAAGAGGGGAAGAAGGGGGCTAAGAAAGGTGAAGAGGGGACTTAACTCACAGGTAAGCCTACTTTCCCTTTTGGTCCTTGGTTGCCTTCTAATCCTTTCAGGCCCTATTTAAAAGAAAAAAAGTGGGGAAGAGAGTTATTCATATTTGGATAATGTAGAGAAATGTTTACATGCTGCCCAGCATCCACTGTTGAAAAATCACAACGTACCACCCAGTCAACAGAAGTCCACGGTCCCTCTGGCAAATTGCAAAGACACCAAGCTGCAAAATTTGGCATGCATTTATTACATGTATTTATTATTTATTTATTTATTTGAAGGAAGATCTACAGCAGTGATGGTTAACCTTTTCCGGACCGAGTGCCCAAAGCACACACGTGTGCAAATGCGTGCATGCGCGCGCCCGAACCCCCAAAATGCAATGCGTACATGCCCCCTGCATGTGCCCCATGCCCTGCGCATGCGTGCATGGGCCCCCACCCCTCGTGCATCCACCCCCGGCCCCCCTGCATGTGCCCCGCCCCTGCACATGCACAGCAGAGATCCAAGAACCAGCTGGCGTTCGCGCATGCGCGACAGAACTGAACTGGGGCGACGGCTCACATGCCCACAGAGAGGGAGCACGCATGCCGTAGGTTCACCATCACGGATCTATGGGGTGGATTGGGGTGGAGGCCAGCTTAGGGAAACTCCAGGGAAATGCAAGGAGGGTGGGCGGAATCTAAGCAAGGTAGAGGGGGGAAAATACTTACTTTTGATCCAAGGTAGCCCTGGGGAAAATTAGGAAAATACATATTTGTGGAAAGCAAAGGGGGGGGAGAAAGATAAGTCCAGCTTGACCCATAAAGTAGAGGTGTGTTTACAAAGCATTAGAGGAGAACTGGCACATCCAGATGAGGAATTTAACATGCAGTCAGTTCAATGTTTTCCTTCTCTTCTTTTCATCTCTCCTTTTTAGGAGAGGTGCGGTGGCCTAGAGAGATGGAGCTCTCGCCTCACAATCAGGAGGCCGTGAGTTCGATCCTAGGTAGAGGCAGATATTTCTCTCTCTCTCTGGGCACAATGAGAATATATCTGCTGAACAAAACTCCGCACTGGCGACAGGGAAGGCATCTGGCCATTCAAGCACTCTGCTAGCTCCATTCAGTTGCCCAGGCTCCCCGCCCCCCAAGGGATTATGGGGTTGTTAAAAGAAGATTGTCAACTCGCAAAGCATCCCTGGACTGCTCTCAAGTTGCCATAGGCCAGGGCGGATGGGAAACCGGCGAAATGGCACCGCAGACCAAAACAGATGCACATCCCACACTTATCTCTCTCAAGGCTGTATCCCAGGGTTACCTACAGCATACAGCAGCCAAGGGGAGTGACCCTTACAACCTGTGAAATTGCTCTGTTGGTGAATATGATTAATGACACACCCTGTGGGGAGGCGGGGGGGGGGGAACAGGATCATATTGGAGCGTAAATTACGTAGGGTCAGAGCTGGCTTCACTTGGGAACCTGCCGACATGTAGCTCCTAATAAATAACTGGATTATTTTTGAAGCTTGGCTCGAGACTCGTGATTTAATTAGGGCATTGTCGGAACCCTGACAAAGATGACGACTTTCATCTCTCCTTTTTCCTTAACCAAAAAAAAATCTACACAGGAAAATAAAGGCACTTACTGGAACACCAGGAAATCCAGCATAACCTTGGGCCCCGAGAAGGCCAACAGCACCCTGGGGGAAAAAAAGTAAAAAATAATTCAGAAATGGCTTTCATACACTCCTCCCTCAAAAGTGTATCATCAGGCATTTGTTCTTCCTTCTTTGCACTTTCCTACAGGCATAAGATGCAACGGTACGATATTATGGTGCCTAGGTGTGTAAAAGGAGCCTTGGTAGCACAGTGGCCTAAACACCCTGTTATTAACACAGCTGCCTGCAATTACTGCTGGTTCGAATCTCTCCAAGGCTCAAGGTTGACTCAGCCTTCCAGTTTGTGGGGGCAATAAGCTGGCTTTGTATAAATATACAAAAGTATAAGGCTATTGCTTAACGCACTGTAAGCCGCCCTGAGTCTCCGGAGAAGGGCGGCATATAAATCAAATTAAAAAAAAAGGAGGGATTTCAACCAGCGCTATGTCAGCATCCGTTCAAGTTAGCTTGAAAGCAGCTTACCTGTTTCCCCTTCGGTCCTAGCCTCCCAGGTAGACCCACGAGGCCATCCTCTCCCTGAAAGAGGCCAACGGAATTCCATGAGGACCGCTCTCTTGCTTAACAATAGAATAACAGAGGCAAAGGGGACTTTGGAGGTCGCTGTGACCGAGGCTTCCTGAGCCAGTAAAACACACGAGTAGTCCCCCCAAAAAACTCTTTTATGGCAACAGCTGTGAATTCTGTTCATTCACAGATGAGTCCCCAATAGTCGTAAAGAGTCCTTCGGGATAAGGCTCGGGAGTCGAGGGTTTCTCTTTCCTAGGGATTGAACGGAGGCAGCTCCGACAGATGCTGTGGACCATTCTTTTGGCCAAGAGTATATTTTACCGATGCAAAAAATGGTTTATAGAAGTAGCAAAGCTGAATCTGCTGAATTGGAGCGCAAACTATATAGTTAAGTTTCTTTTTTCCCCGAGATTTCCCTGTTATCAGTCTTTGACCAATTGAAAAGTTTCAGGCTGTTTGGGAAACGGATCTCTGTGTGCAATTGCTTCATCTCCACATTCTTTTAAGTGATCTTATGCTGGAGTGGTGCGTCCCCCTTTGTTGGGGTGGCACTACCTGGCTCCCAGACCCCCCTTGTCTTCCCACATTTCATTCTCCCCCCCTTCTCCCCATTGCAAAAATGTCAGGCGGCCAGATGCGAAGCGATGCTAGCAGGATGTCGGCCATGACAATATCTATAGTTATGCAGATCCTTGCTTCATTCTGGCAAGATTCTGTCTGAAGGCATTAGATACTCCTACATAGACCTCCTGATCACAAACTTAGGGTGTTCAAATTCTAGGATGAATATCAGCACCCCGATGTCATCCTCACCTTAAAGCCAGGATCACCTTGGGGTCCAAGAAGCCCTCTGCTGCCTCTGTCACCCTAGAAAAAAGAAGCAAGACATCGGGAAGACTCCATGGCATGTAAAAAGGTGGATTAGCTTGAAGAAGAATTATGACCATCAGATCATTACGTGGGTAAAGAGGGGTAACTAATATGTATATTCACTAGCCATCAGCACTCACCTTATGCCCCCTGGGCCCTTTTGTGCCCTTCGTGCCCCGAAATCCAGAAGCCCCCTAAAATTGGGGAAGGAAGGAGGAAAAAAGGGTGTAAGTTCTTGAGGCTAGGAAGGTTGACTGATCTGAGGGAGGCAAGGGAAGGAAGGAAGGAAGGAAGGAAGGAAGGAAGGAAGGAAGGAAAGGGAAGGAGGAAAGGAAAAGAAAGGAAGGGAAGGAGAGAAGGAGGGAAGGGAAGGAAGAAGGAGGGAAGGGAGTGAAGGAAAGGAAAGGAAAGGAGGGAAGGGAAGGAAAGGAAGGAGGGAAGGAAAGGAAAGGAAGAGAAGGAGTAAAGGAAAGGGAGGAGGGAAGGAAAGGAAAGGAAAGGAAGAGAAGGAGTGAAGGAAAGGAAGGAGGGAAGGAAGGAAAGGAAGGAGGGAAGGAAGGAAAGGAAGATGGGAAGGAAAGGAAAGGAAGGAGAGGAGGGAAGAGGAGGGAAGGAAGGATAGAAGAAAGAAAGAAAAGGAAAGGAGGAGGGGAAGGGACTCTGGTGCTAAGAGAGTAAGGTTGCCAGGATTTGGCTACAGATACTAAAAAAAATAAGGGGAGAGTGCCAGCAGGTTCAGAAAAATAATAATTGCTGAAACAAACACCATCTGGAAAAACATTGAAAGGGAAAAAATCACTTTCAGTATTAGGGCTCTACAAATCTGGAGTTTGTTGGAAGGCTGGGCAGGAGCCTAGGAAGGAGAACAAGCAAGGGTCTACCCCGCCCCCCTTGCATTCATGCCAGACTCACAGATATGCCCTGGGGTCCACGGACACCTGGGAGACCCTTTTCACCCGGAGAACCCTGGAAGAGAGAAAAACACCCGTGACTCGTATCATAGACTCCGACCAGTTTTTCAGCTAGGACCTTACCTTACTATCTTAAAGTCTTGCAGGCCAGTGGAAGAAGACGGAATGGCGACTTTTCGTCTCCTACCCTTGGCCACATCTCCTTCTTCACCAGCATTCTTACTCGGGCGATTCTCCTCTGACTTTTCTCCTTGGCTGGCATGACCTCACTCATTCGCCCTGGGCAATGGGCCACGGCCCCTCCGTCCCATGCACTTCAGTGCGGTCAATTTGCAGAAGGAGGGTTCGTCCTGGGTTTTTCGCCACCGGGACAGTTAGCAACCAACCAATCCCAGCAGCCATAAGCCAAATGCTTGTTAGGAGAAGCAACGGAAGGGGATGGAAACTCCCCTGTACCTATTCTTGCCTCCCTGATAAAGAACAGGAAGGGAAGAGAGGGGAAAGGGGCGGTAAGTAAATCTACTTACCTTGTGGCCTCTGGAACCTCTTGGAGATCGAGAACCGGCTTTACCACGCTTGCCCTGGGGGACACACACACACACACAATTCCATTAGCTTCAGCAGATGGAGAAAGAGAAGGAACATCTCAACCTCAACTCTTCAAACCGTCACAGAGCAAGATGGCTCCTTGGGGGAGAAAAGAGACCAATTCTTACCTTTCTGCCAGCTTTACCCGTCTTTCCGATTCTCCCCTCGTGCCCCTGTTCACCCTAAGAAGGAGAAGAACAAATGAAAATGGAAAAAAAGATATATATTTTGTATGTATCACTGTTCGAAAAGATGCATCCCTTTTTTGGGACAGGCCGAAACCATCCTTCTACATTTTTCAAGGATTCTGTTCAGGAAATAAGATCTGGCTACGGAGGGATTTTTCCTCCCATTTTAAGAAAAACTCCAGAACAATTTCAAAAGCTGGTCCATTCATACCTTTGTCCCTTTGCTTCCTTTCTCGCCAGCTACACCTGGTGATCCTGGAACCCCCTGAAAGACAGAGATGAAGCAAGAAGGTCTAAGACACACGTGTCCAACCTTGGCAACTTGAAGACTTGTGGACTTCAACTCCCAGAATTCCCCAGCCGGTAGAGTCTGGCCTTCAGCAGCCAAACAACCAGAGTTCCATCATTGGCCAAGAAGATGTTTTGGGAAATCCTCTGGCTGGCTGGGGAATTCTGGGAGTTGAAGTCTACTAACAAATCTCAACTCTTCATTCACTCTTGCAAACTACTGCAGCCCAACAATTCCTCTGAAAAGCTGGATTTTCTTTTTCGTTTTTCCAGAAATACTGAGAATCACATCAAGAACAGCTCATTTCAGAGAATACCTTCCTGGACTGTCAGCACGAGAAACCTACCTGTCAGGCCTGGAAGCCATCTTTTGCATTGGGCCTTCAGGCCTGCAATATTTAGTGCTGTGGGAAACTGGGAGGGGGGATTGTATGGAGCTGGGGAGATATGTAGTCAAAATAACATTCCTTTCTCAGAGAGTCAAGGCCACTCTGCCCTGCACCTGGATGGATGAAACTGGGAGGCATCTCCAGTTGGGATGGTGCTTGGATTGGACCACATGATGGATATGTGAGTGCTGGTTAGGGACTTGGACTTTCCTTTGGGTGGGGAAAACCTGGAAGCTTTCAGATTCGGGTTTTCCCAGATGTGCCAATATGACATTTTATTAAATGGAACTTTTGAGGAACTTCAAGCCTCAGAGTTTTCTTTCTTTCGTTGGGGGTGTTACTTGAAACCTGATACTAACTTTGGCAATGAAGAAAATTTGCATTTTGGAATTACAATGGTCCCAGTCCCCTTTGTGATATTTGAGAAGTCTGACAATGATTGCAAACCTTTCTTGCAACCTTTCTTCTCTTGGGGAAGAGAAGATGGCTTTTCAGTGTGCTGAGAAAGGGGAGGCAGATATAAAAAAAGCTTTAAAAGGTGTTATGATGTCTAATCTAGGTACTTTACCTGAGGACCAAAATTCCCTGTTGATCCGGGTTCTCCTTTTCCACCTGGAGGACCCTAAAATGAGAACCTGGAGTTTAAGAGCTATCTGAAGTACTGTGTCTCCCCGAAAATAAGACCCTGTCTTATATTTTTTTGAACCCCGAAATAAGCGCTTGGCCTTATTTTCAGGGAGGTCTTATTATTTTGGGGTGCATGGAGCAAGATGGGGATCCTCTTGCCATCTTACCTGATTTACAGCTTTGTCTCCCTAACTCTAACCAGAGGAAATGGTGGGGACTGGCTGCGCATGCAGTTAAATATTTTCGGGGAGGGCTTATTTTTGGGGAGGGCTTATTTTTGGGGAAACAGGGTATTATACTACTGAGCTGCCACAGAGAAGCAAGACAGGGTCCCAGCAATTTATTTAAAGCATTTTGACGGCCTCAGATGCATCTCCATTTAGAAGTTCTTCACACCAGAGTGGGGGGAAATCCTGTAGGTAAAATCTACTTGCTGTCAGCGCTTCAACGCTGGCATAGAGAGCAGAGGAGAGAGAGAGAGATAAGCTCTGAACTTTTGCCTGCTAAATCCCTTTGAAGTCGGGTTGTCGTGGAAATGAGGAGGGGGGGGGACATTCCTGGGAAATGACGGAGAAAAGAAGCCTGAAGAATGACTTGGAAGACAGCCAATGAGAAGCAGAGATTTGGGGATCGGAAAGGGAGGGGTTGGGGGGCAAAAGGTCAGTCTTGTCCGCATCGAGTCATGATCCGGTGGCTGTGCTCAATTAAAGAAAAGATTTCCTTAAAGATTGACAGTTTGGAAATTCATTTATTTTGAGATAGCATCGAAGTCTGACACTTACACCCACTCCCCTTTCTCCAGGCATTCCTCTTTGACCTGGTGGCCCAGCGTGGCCCTAAAATCAGAAGAAGAGTAAATAGACTCGTGTGAGATTTTGCAAAACGTTGGGGACAATTGCAACCCACGCCAGGCATTCTATGCTTTGAAGTCAACAAAGTGGGATGTGTTCTGATGTAAGAAAGTATACAGCACAGTCTTAGTCCCAGCAAACCTCTTTAATTCATACGGCTGTGAATTATTGTCATTCCCAGTCTGAAAGGCTTCTCAAACAGTCTTTCAGAGTAGTGTTTACAAACACTCACCTTATCTCCCTTGGAATGCTGCCAGAGAACTAATTGCCACACGCAGGGCAAAGCCAAACTTAGCACAGAGTCAAACAGAGCGTTTCCAGAGCTTTTACTGACCAGATGAACTAATCGCTTCCTGTAAAAGCTCACATCCCGTTCGTTTCTCTTTTATGTCTTATGGGAGGGGCCAATCATCTCCAAGCCTTACTCCCAAGTTGACCATGTTTTCTTAATTGTTCCTGGCTCCTGGCAGCTCTGCGAATGCACACACTGGGAACAGGCTCCCGCTGTTCTTCTGCCTCGCTGCTGTCAGACTCCTGACAAATAATTTACTAAGACTGTATTACTATTATTCTTCTCTTCCTTACTAGTATCTATCTCTTCCCACTTATTACTATAACCATGTTGCTTGTTTCTTTCAATTATATTGTTTTTATTTGTTTCCTAGTATGATTTGATAACTTATTAGTAACCTTGATTATCACTAAGTGTTTTATCTTTTTATTTTTGATTAATGTATTTTATTCTCCTTATGTACACCGAGAGCAGGTACACCTAAGACCAATTCCTTGTGTGTCCAATCACACTTGGCCAATAAAGAATTCTACCCTATTCTATTCAAATGTTATGAAGGTGGACAAATCCAATCATGTTCAGCCAACAGAGATGGTAGATACCTGCAGCCCACCAGTTCCTTTCTCTCCCGTCATTCCTTGGTCTCCTTTCTGGCCATCAAGACCTTGAGGTCCCTGAATTCCCTTGAGGCCTACAGGACCTGATGACCCCTGCAACACACACAAAAAACAACCCACATAATACCAAATGGTAACACCCTCCACAAAAGAATGAACCAAGCTCATAAAGGAGACACCCCATCACTTCCTTCTCTATTAGAACAACTAGACACAAGGACAGTTTTTTCCCGAACGCCATCACTCTGCTAAACAAATAATTCCCTCAACACTGTCAAACTATTCACTAAGTCTGCATTACTATTAATCTTCTCATCGTTCCTATCACCCATCTCCTCCCACTTATGACTGCATGACTGTAACCTTGTTGCTTGTATCCTTACGATTTATATTGATATTGTTTCCTGATTGCTTATTTGTACCCTATGACTATCATTAAGTGTTGTACCTTATGATTCTTGATGAACGTATCTTTCCTGTTATGTACACTGAGAGCTTATGCACCAAGACAAATTCCTTGTGTGTCCAATCACACTTGGCCAATAAAAAATTCTATTCTATTCTATTCTATTCTATTCTATTCTATTCTATTCTATTCTATTCTATTCTATTCTAGGAACTCAGCTTGGTAACAAAGACCATTTTCCCAACAATCTCTATCCTTAAATTTAAAATCCTCTAAATTACAAATCGGTTTGTTAGCCCTTCCTTACCAAAGATCCAGGTGATCCCTGATCCCCCTTCTTCCCATTTTCTCCTGGAGATCCCTGCAAAAGATCAAGGGGAATACTGTACGTTTTCTGTTTGGATCTCTTCAAGCCATGTTTGGCCGCATAGATATGTCAGATTCTCAGATTCTACCCAATGATCCTTTAGTTCTGGAAAAGCATGAAGATGGCGATGGATGAGAATTCTTTATCTCCTACTGGACAAGTGCAACTGGAACTAATTTTTTTTTAAAAAGGAACTTACTGGTTGAATCAGGTTGTCTTCAGCTTGTCAACTTTGAGCAGGACTTGTGGGTGACACTCACAATATTCCAATCAAGAACTTCAAATGCTCCATTTGACACAACTTACCATCATGCCAGCTATTCCCTTTGACCCCTTCTGACCCGGAGGACCTGGATTCCCCTAAAAAGAAAAGCATGGTAGATACTCAACAGTGGCTTTAGATTACTTTACTATCTTGCACTTTGAACTATGTTGCTGGAGAAGACTCCTGCGAGTCCCTTGGACTGCAAGGCGATCCAACCGGTCAGTCCTAGAGGAGATCAACCCTGACTGCTCTTTAGAAGGCCAGATGCTGAAGAGGAAGCTCAAATCCTTTGGCCACCTAATGAGAAGGAAGGACTCCCTGGAGAAGAGCCTAATGCTGGGAACGATGGAGGACAAAAGAAGAAGGGGATGACAGAGAATGAGGTGGCTGGATGGAGTCACTGAAGCAGTAGGTGGGAGCTTAAATGGACTCCAGAGGATAATAGAGGACAGGAAGGCCTGGAGGAACGTTGTCCATGGGGTCACGATGGGTTGGACACGACTTCGCAACTAACAACAACACCATCTTGCAAGTTTTGAGTGAAGAAGGCACTAAGGTGAGAGTATCATACATGTTGTACACTCCACAAAAATTCTAGTCCAAGCCAACCTCCTCTGTCTTCTCTCCAGCTGCACCTTTCAACATGCATCACCTTCAACATGCAAGAGCTGCGGTGGCGCAGTGGGTAGAATGTGCAGTACTGCAGGCTACTTCTGCTGATCACCGGCTGCCGGCAGTTTGGCAGATCGAATCTCACCAGGCTCAAGGTTGACTGAGCCTTCCATCCTTCCAAGGTTGGTAAAATGAGGACCCAGATTGTTGGGGGCCATAGGTTGACTCTGTAAGCAGCCACAAAACTAGCATATGTAGTTGAATTAAATGTTCTGTTTTCTTCTGAAACTTTTCTTTCCTTGGACTTATCCATGGTTGGCCTACCAGGGGTTGAACAGCTCAATAAATCATGTGTCGGCAGGTGTCGCACATTGGCGGTTGTGACGCATATTTTGAGTGACAGGGAGCTGGAGCAGAGGGGTGAAAGAGCCACATGCGGCTCCAGAGCTGAAGGTTGCTGACCCCTGTTCTATACCTTTAATCCTTCAACGCCTTCTGGTCCAGGAAATCCCCAGCTTCCTGGTTCTCCCTGTAACACAAAATACAGTATCCAAATGATGAAATAATGCTCAGGTTTTCTTACAACTCAAAAGTGAATAAGTAAAAGGCAGAAAAAGACGATGTTATGGTATGGTCCATCGAAGTTCAGGAGAACATTAAGGGATTCATGCAGAATGAAAGGAATTTTATAAGAAACCAAAAGGCCCACTAGATACCACCTGATATCCTCGGATTCCTTCTGGGCCAGGCATCCCAATCACACCAACTTGTCCCTATAGAGAAAAAAGAGAGAGAGAATTAGTCCTTTCAACAAACTCTCTGGAGGAGATCCTATTTGACCTGTTCTCTTTCCTCTTAAAGAAAGGTCCATCATCATCATGATCATCATCATCAGAAGCTCTAGGGCTGTGTTTCTCAACTTTGGCAATTTATAGATGTGTAAACTTCAACTCCCAGAATTCACACAACTTAAAATTGCCAAGGTTGAGAAAGACTGTTCTAGGGCCAAGTAAGAAGCTGTGAACTTGCAAAGCATCCCTGGCCTGCTCTCGAGTTGCCATAGGCAAGGGGGATGGGAAATCGACGAAGCAACACAGCAGCCAAAGACAGGAGCACATTCCAAACATATCTTTCTCAAGGCTGTCTCCCTGGGTTACCCACAGCGGCCGGAGGGGATTAATCTCTACAACCTGCGAAATTGCTCCATTGGAGAATGTGATTGATGACACACCCTGGGGGGGGAGGGGGGAAACAGGGTCATGATTGGGGCCGTAAATTACGTGGGGTCAGAGTTGGCTTCATTTGGGAACATGCGTACAGTTCTGAACTGGTAGCGAAGGTAAGTGAAACCCACTACTGAAGATAACCTTGGACCTCCAAGCTATTTATAGGAATGACGGAGAGTCCTCTTCTGTCTTCCCCACAACTTTGCAAAGGTGGTGAGGTCTTCCTCATCCCAAGTCTAGGTTCTCAATCCCAGCACAAAGTTTCTTTCTCCTGTTCTTCTTGGTGAGGTTCTTCTCATGATGTTCTACATCATGTTCTCAGGTGTAAAAATGAGAGGCTGGTTAGAGACCCCTCAAAAGTCAGGAGCAGGTAAGTCAGATTTGTACTTGCCAGAAAGCCTTCTTGACCTTTCTCTCCTTTGAGGCCCTTTTGGCCAACGTTGCCTGGGATCCCAGCTGGCCCAGGCCAACCGAAGAGTCCTCTGGTGCCAGTGCTGCCCTGTTCCAGGAAGAATGTGAGGAGAAGAATCGCTTCAGAAGATGGGAAAGAACAGCAAAAGATCTGGAAAGGTTGATTCAGATGTTCTTGTATCATCCAATCTAGTCAAATTTCCATATGTTACTCTTAAAGATTGACATTCACCTGAACCAGCAGCAGAAAACTGCAATGTAAGAGCCTTGGTAGTACAGTGGTCTAAGGCACCCTGTTATTAAGCTGGTTATTAAGACCAGCTGCCTGCAATTACTGCAGGTTCGAATCTCGCCAAGGCTCAAGGTTGACTCAGCCTTCCATCCTTTCTAAGGTAGGTAAATTGAGGACCCAGTTGTGGGGGCAATAAGCTGACTTTGTATAAATATACAAAAGGATGAAGGCTATTGCTGAGCACATTGTAAGCCGCCCTGAGTCTCCGGAGAAGGGCGGCATATAAATCATTTTTTTTAAAAAAAAATGTAAAACATTAAAGGTAAAGGTATAGGTTCCCCTCACACATATATGCTAGTCGTTCCCAACTCTAGGGGGGCGGTGCTCATCTCTGTTTCAAAGCCAAAGTGCCAGCACTGTCTGAAGACGTCTCCGTGGTCATGTGGCCGGCATGACTCAATGCCAAAGGCACATGGAACGCTGTTCCCTTCCCACCAAAGGCGGTCCTTATTTTTCTACTTGCATTTTTTACGTGCTTTCGAACTGCTAAGTTGGCAGAAGCTGGGACAAGTACCGTTATGCAGCACTAGAGATTTGAACCGCTGAACTGCCAACCTTTCGATCGACAAACTCAGCATCTTAGCCACTGAGCCACCACGTCCCATTAAATATAAAACATTACTGAAGCCAAATCCGCTCAATCCTGATATCACATTCTATTTCCTTAGTTTTACAGTTATTGATTCACACTTTCCTCCTTCCCAACTTAGGTTCAATTTTGAAAAGAAAAAAAAAAGTCTTCAAGAAGAACTCTTTCTATTATACCTTTTCTCCCCTGGTCCCTGGCTCGCCTGGGATTCCAGGATCACCACCATCACCCTGTGGAGGGAAGGACATGCTAAGACACGGAGGTCTTCAAGAGATGCCAAGCAGGATTCAAAAATGTATCCAGATGATACATTCTGGGTGACTTAGATTTTGCTCCTCTTTTTCTAGAGATGCAGCCAAACATAACTACCTCTTTCCCACGTTCTCCCATTTCTCCTGGTGGCCCTTGGAAGCCCCTGTCTCCAGGTTCTCCAAGGCTTCCCTTGAGGCCAGGATCTCCTGGGGTTCCTCTGTCACCCTGGGAAGGAACAACAACTAAATCAGTTTATCATTCCCAACAGCAATAGTAGTGAAGACAGACTTACCAAAGGGGGACAAAAATTAGAAACATTCTTGATGTTTTATTTTTCTCTGATATGTCTGAATGATGGGGACGGGGTATCCCATTGTTCTGGGCCATCCCATAGCCAAGACTAGCTTCACTACCTAGTTTGGGGGTGCTGTTGTAAATTGCTTCAAAATGAGATGGGTGGCAAATAAATTGATTGCATGAATGAATGAATGAATGAATGAATGAATGAATGAATGAATGAATGATGGATGGATGATGGATGGATGAATGATGCTTCAAAATGAGATGATATTAAATTGCTTCAATACATTTATTGCCTGAATGAATGAATGAATGAATGAATGAATGATGGATGGATGGATGGATGAATGGATGAATGGATGATGGATGGATGGATGGATGGATGGATGATGCTTCAAAATGAGATAGAAAATTGATTCAATAAATTGATTGCCTGAATGAATGAATGAATGAATGAATGATGGATGGATGGATGGATGGATGATGGATGATGCATGGATGAATGAATGAATGAATGAATGATGAATGAATGAATGATGAATGATGAATGATGAATGATGAATGATGAATGAATGAATAATGGATGCATGCATGCATGGATGAATGAATGAATGAATGAATGAATAATAAAGGAATGATGAATGAATGATGGATGCATGGATGAATGAATGAGTGAGTGAGTGAGTGAGTTTTGGGCCTGAAAGATATACATCTCCATCGTTTCTTGACGTGAGTTTAACTCACAGAAAGAGACTCTTGACTTGCAATCAGGGAAAATTAATAAACAGTGGGATTTCCTTGAGGGCAGAAGAGAACTGATCATATTTTTGCTTACGGGCAAAAATAGTCAAAAGGTATTCATTGACACTCAGAATCACCAGCCCAAATGAAAGAGATTGTGCAACTTTGCTTGCAAACTAAGAAAGAAGCAGGAAGATGGATTCTTCAAAGCATTTGGGGGGTTACTGACCTGTTCCCCTTTCATTCCAGGCTGACCTTGCCTTCCAGGCAATCCTAAGGGACCCTAGAGGAGAAAAAAAAATAGAAGCTTTTAACACCTCTTACATCTACTAGGTATTTAATTTAAATAAAGGAGCCTTGGTAGTACAGTGGTCTAAAGCACCCTGTTATTAAGACCAGCTGCCTGCAATTACTGCAGATTCGAATCTCTCCAAGGCTCAAGGTTGACTCAGCCTTCCATCCTTTCTAAGGTAGGTAAATTGAGGACCCAGTTGTGTGGGCAATAAGCTGACTTTGTATAAATATACAAAAAGGATGAAGGCTATTGCTGAGCACATTGTAAGCCGCCAGTTGCCTTTTGGGGAAAAAAAAAAACACTTTTGGGTCAGCCATGACCTGCATGATTGAGAATCTCCATAGACATCGAGAAGAAAACATGTCACCTGTTCTCCGTCCAGACCACGGATGCCAATGTCACCAGGATCTCCATCTTTGCCCTAAAGAGATGAAGAGAGCAGTCACTGAAAGGGCAAAGTCCTATCTAACACCAGATAGATTTTGAAGAGGGTAGTTCTTCTCAAAAGACACATCCACGCCATGTCCTAAACCCGACTTCCCCAAAACAACGATGCATGTTTATAAAATAAGCCATGTTCTAGCATAGCGCAATTCACACCTCTTCTTAAGCAATGGCTGGGTTTTGCACCATAGTTTCACATGGCTCAGATTTGCCTTGTCTAGAGTTAGGCCAGGGGTCAGCAACCTGCGGCTCCGGAGCCACATGCGGCTCTTTGGCCCTTCTGCTGTGGCTCCCTGTCAGGTGATCCCACCACTGGCTGGCCCCGCCCCTTGCCCTCTCCTCCCAGTCACTCCTCGCCTGGCCTGAGAAGGTAAGGGTGACAGCGGGGGATGAAGAAGTGGCCAGGGCAGAGAGAGAGAGAGATACAGAGAGAGGGGAAGAGAGAGAGAGACAGAGAGAGAGACAGAGAGAGGGGGAGAGAGAGAGACATAGAGAGATACAGAGAGAGGGGAAGAGAGAGAGACATAGAGAGATACAGAGAGAGGGGGAGAGAGAGAGACAGAGAGATACAGAGAGAGGGGGAGAGAGAGAAACAGAGAGATACAGAGAGGGGAGAGAGAGAGAGACAGAGAGAGATACAGAGAGAGGGGGAGAGAGAGAGACAGAGAGAGATACAGAGAGAGGGGAAGAGAGAGAGACATAGAGAGATACAGAGAGAGGGGAAGAGAGAGAGACATAGAGAGATACAGAGAGAGGGGGAGAGAGAGAGACAGAGAGATACAGAAAGAGGGGGAGAGAGAGAAACAGAGAGATACAGAGAGGGGGAGAGAGAGAGAGACAGAGAGAGATACAGAGAGAGGGGGAGAGAGAGAGACAGAGAGAGATACAGAGAGAGGGGAGAGAGAGAGACAGAGAGATACAGAGAGAGGGAGAGAGAGAGACAGAGAGAGATACAGAGAGGGAGGGGGAGAGGGAGGGAGGGAGGGGAGAGAGAGCAATGTTAAAAGGATTTTGTGGTTCCTGGTGTTTTTTAACAACTGGTTGTCTGCCCTAATGATCAGTTGGGTAGGCATGGCTGGGGGGGGGTGTCATGTGACTGGGTGGGAGTGAGTGACGTTGAGTTGGCCACACCCACCCAGGTTTTGTGGCTCCCGGTGTTTTCTTTTCAGTGGGAAACGGGTCCAAATGGCTCTTTGAGTATTTAAGGTTGCAGACCCCTGGGTTAGACAAACCAGCTTTTGTTGAGTAATTAACACTAATATGGTCCAGAAATGACACTGAACTATACACCAGGAGTCTGCAACCTTAAACACTCAAAGAGCCATTTGGACCCATTTCCCACAGAAAAGAAAACACAGGGAGCCACAAAAACCTTCCCGTGCCTGACTATTTCTTGAGCGGCCACAAAACTAGCATATGTAGTTGAATTAAACATTCTGTTTTCTTCTGAAACTTTTCTTTTCTTGGATTTATCCATGGTTGGCCTACTGGGGGTTGAAAAGCTCAATAAATTGTGTGCTGGTGGGTGTTGCACATTGATGGTTGTGATGCATATTTTCAGTGACAGGGAGCCACAGCAGAGGGGTGAAAGAGCCACATGCGGCTACAGAGCTGCAGGTTGCTGACCCCTGCCATACACCATGGCTTCCCTTTCTCTTGCTTTCCTCCCTTACCTTCTCTCCTTTGTCCCCCGGTGTCCCATCAAGACCAACCGGTCCACCTGTTCCCTGTGTGAATACAATAAATATATTTGAGAGAAAAGAATAGAATTTAGGACAAACAGTTAGGTAATATAAGATCTGCAAGCAAACTGTTACAGAGAGGAGGGGGAAGTCACAGAGAGGCTGTCACAGAGAGGAGGGAGGGGGTCAAGCTATTTTCCAAAGCACCTGAAGGCCAGACAAGGAACAATGGATGGAAACTGATCAAGGAAGAGATTCAACCTGGAAATAAGGAGAAATTTTCTGACCGGGAGAACAATCAACCCATGGAACAGAAGTTGCCTTCGGACGTTGTGGTTGCTCCATCCCTGGAGGCTTTTAGGAAGAGATTGGACAACGATTTGGTATAGGGTCTCCTGCTTGAACAGGGAGTTGGACTAGAAGACCTCCAAGGTCCCTTCCAACTCTGCTATTCTATTATTCTATTCTGTTATTCCCGTATGATATTTCAGGGTCATCTTAACACAGAGCTTGGTTGTTCCTACAGGCCATCTTGGGAAGTCAAAGAATGAGTTTTCTGCCACTCCCACCCAGCTCGGTTAATGAAATATTTGCTGATAGTGTAGCCAGGCTCTAAGATAAGGTGTATTCAAAGTGTATTATTTACCTGGTTTCCAGGTGGACCAGTCATGCCCTTTGGGCCAGTAGAACCTGGTTCCCCTCCTCGTCCCGATTTTCCTGGGACCCCGTTGGGCCCTTTTCTTCCTGGAGGCCCCTGAGAAGTAAAAGATAAAAATAAGGTCCAAAGTATGCAAACTAGTATCATAAAACACAACAAAGCATCTGTAGATTACCTAACACTCATGTCAGAAGCACCAAGGTTGAATGGATTGAATGGTGACATCACCGTTGCCTGGGAGGACACCGAGTTGGGGCTCCTTTCATGTCCCCAGCTGGAGCTGGAGCAAGGGACGAGAGCTCATCCCACCCAACAGCAGCATCTGTGTCTCGAACACGAGCTTGCTAATCTCCAGCCCAGCGTCCTAACCATGCGAGCTACCGGGCTCCATCAGTTCTAGATTTGCGAGTTTGATAGAGAAAGGTTGGCCGTTGCATGATGGGAGCATGGATACCTGTGGCCATGTCAAGACTGAAAAATGCTTTAAGCTTCCCGTGGCTATTATTGCTTTTCAGCTTGCCAACGAACAGGGGGAGAGGGAAGGGTGAGATGGAATGTGGGAGGCTACAATCTTCAACCGTGAGAGCCAGGGACACTTCTGCAGGTGTCTGCCAAGAACGTAGACTGTTCTCAAAACAAAAGGCTTATTCCCAATTGGGCAATATGACCTGTTCCATGGGAGGAGGGGATGAAATTAATCTTTCCCGCCGCACAGGAAAATTTAGAGTTGGTTTTGCTTTGCTTCAGTGCCAAAATGATGTACTCAATAAAGGTTTTTGATGTACTCAATAAAGGGAGGGATTTTAAGGTTCCTGAAGATGCCTGTTTTTATTGAGTCCATTGGTCGGACGGTTGACAGTCAACTTTGGTTCAGAAAAAGAATAGGAAATCCCTCGATCTACCCAAACATTCAATGACCCACTCAGATATCTGTACACTTACCAACGGCCCAGGGAATCCTCTGGGACCCAATTCACCCATCCAGCCCTGGAAGAGAGTGAGATATAGTGAGATAGATCTCCACTTAAATATTTAAATCTGTTTGTGCAAAAAAAATTGCAAAAAAAATCTCCGCATTGGCGACAGGAAGGGCATCTGGCCAGTAAACACTCAGCTCAATTCAGTGGCCCAGCCTCCACCACACAAGGGATTATGGGGTCATTAAAAGAAGATGATTTGTGAAAAATATCACATGAAATGAGCGAGGGGAAGACATTATGTCCATACGGGAGCCCCACACCTGCATGGATATGTCCAGGAGATCTGGTTGAGAAAACCCATCTCCCTTTCCTCCCATAACCCAAGCAAAATGGAAAAGGAGAACATACCTGCGGGCCGGCAAGACCTTTCAGGCCAGGAAGTCCAGTTGGACCCTACGCAGAGAGGAAAACCAGGAAAAAATAAAAATGGCATTCCCGTTGACCTCGTCCATCATTGCAACCAGGTTTCTCCAGAAAACACAGGTGCGTTTGGCGCCTTGTTACGTTCTCTGCATGGAGCAGTGTTTCCTGGCAGGCTACAGATTCAGAATATTCTAGTCAACGGCGATTCGTTAGAAACCCAAGATTTGCACAGCAGAGGAAAAAGGGACTTACTTTGGACCCCTGTGTCCCTGGACAGCCTGGAGGGCCTTGGATTCCAAGTTCTCCCTATACAAAATGGAAAGTCGGGAGGAAGGGAAGAGAGGGTTAATTTAGAACCTACCAAACCCTCTTTAGACTGCAGAGATGATATTTGCCGGTTCTCCGAACTACTCTAAATTTCCGCTACCGGTTCACCAGAACCTGTCAGAACCTGCTGGATTTCACCCCTGCTCCAGTCCCCTAATCATCTTGGTTGCTGTTCTCTGCACTCTTTCTAGAGTCTCAACAACTTTTTTATAGTGCGGTGCCCAAAACTGGATGTAGTATTTTAGGTGTGCTCTCACTACCACTAGGTATGGTATTACTACCTCCCATGATCTTGATTGAATCTCTCTGTTAATGCAATTTAGGAGTACATTGGCTTTTTTTGGCTGCCGCTGCACACTGTTGGCTCATATTTAATGGTTGTTCACTAAGACTCCAAGATCCCTCTCACAGAAGGAACTGCCAGAACTAACTGAGACTCCTTACCTTTCTGCCCTCAAGTCCTGGTTGGCCTCTGTCTCCAATTAATCCTGGAGAGCCCTGGAATGGAGGGTTTTATCAGTGTCAAGGGAAGTAGCTTGAGATGTTCTCTGCTTCTACAACCTAATGTCTCCACAAGTTCTGATCAAAGAAATATGGAGGAGAACATCTGGAAGATGCCAGGTTATCTATGCCTAATCTTCATATCATCACTACACCAGTGGTGGGTTTCAAATTTTTTTACTACTGGTTCTGTGGGTGTGGCTTGGTGGGTGTGGCATGGCTTGGTGGGCGTTGCAGGGGAAGGATACTGTAAAATTTCCATTCCCACCCCACTCCAGGGGAAGGATACTGCAAAATCCCCATTTCCTTCTGATCAGCTGGGACTTGGGAGGCAGAGAATAGATGGGGGCGGGGCCAGTCAGAGGTGGTATTTACCAGTTCTCCGAACTACTCAAAATTTCTGCTACCGGTTCTCCAGAACTGGTCAGAACCTGCTGAATCCCACTTCTGCACTACGCCCTTGAGAAGAACTGCCGAGGGAAATGGTGAGATCTTGTGGGACCACCCAGCTCTTCCCAAATCAGGTGTCCCTCAAGTTCCTTCCACATGGCAGCAAATTTCTCACTTACGTTGATGCCAACAGCTCCTTGTGGCCCAGCTGGGCCAGGTTTTCCAGGAAAGCCCTGCCGACAAAATGCACAGATAAACAATGGTTTGGTTTATACACTGTACACTTATGGACCTAATGAACCATTTTCATGTTTGCACCATAACTCTAATTGTGAGTTAAAACGTGAGTTTGATCCTAGGTAGAGGCAGATATTTCTCTTTCTGGGCATGCTGAGAATATATCTGCTGAACAAAACTCCGTATCGGCGACAGGAAGGGCATTGGGCCAGTAAAAGACTCTGCTAGCTCCATTCAGTTGCCCAGACTCCACCCCACAAGGGATTATGGGGTCGTTAAAAGATGATGATGATGATGATGATGATGATGATGGTGACCATAAATTAGCTTAACTAATTGGCTAACTAATTAGCTTAACTAATTAGCTTAACTATTGGACTATTTTTTTTTTGCATATGCAACATAGACCAAATTGAGTTTCTAAGCCAACGGTGAAGGTATCCACCCATTCTCTAGTAACCGTCCATGGAATAAATAAGATCTCAAACGTGGCTTCTTACCATCAGTCCTGGGAAACCTGGATTGCCATTTTCTCCTGGTTTTCCCAGGGAACCCTATCAGGGAAAAAAGAAGCCATTTACAAGAAGATTCCGCAAAGCGTAACATTAGGTTGGAGAAGACTCCAAGATCCCTTCCCTAATATTGTATGTTCTATTATTCTATGTTCTGGAAACAATACAATATTAGGGAAGGGATCTTGGAGGTCTTCTAATCTTCTAGTCTTCTAATCCAATCTCCCTATCTCATTCTGGATAAATGACAATCCAATCTCTTTTTAACAACCTCTTGATGGAGCACCCGCAGCTTCTGGAGGTAAGTCGTTCTGCTGGTTAATTTTTCTCACTGTCAGGAAGTTTCTCCTTAATTCTAGGTTGGATCTCTCTTTCATGATCTTCCACTGGACAGCCATTTGGGCTGCCTTCAGGTGCTTTGGAGAAGAGGTCAATCCCCTTCTTTCTCTGTGATAGCCCCTCAAATATTGGAAGACTGCTATCATGCCACTCCTTCTTTTCGATATATCCTTCTGGATATATCTAGTTCCCAGTACTTAACATGCCACTCCTTCTTTTCGTTAGACTGGATATATCTAGTTCCCAGTACTTAAGTCCCAGCCCTTACTCATTGACATGAGTGAAAGCCACCAGATTCCACTTACAATTGATCCTGGAGCACCATTATGTCCTTGGGCTCCTTGCAAACCCAGAGGACCCTGCAGAAAAGAAACAAAACAAGGTTGTAACTCCAAGCAAAGAAACTTCTTGGATGAGAAGCGAAAGAGAAAAAAGAAAAAATCAAGAAAGTCCACAAAGGTGCTTTTTTTCCCCCCAAGAAGCAACCGAACTTTCTGGTTCTTCTCTGAAGACGTTTCTCTTCTCATCCAAGAAGCTTCTTCAGCTCTGAGTGGATGATGGTGGGGAATGGAAGGATTGCTATTCCTTGCAGACAGCTGGTCTTTTGCATCCTTTTAGAGGGTCATTGAGGCCACTTGGAGGTTTATCTGTGTCTTTTGTTTCTCCTTGAAGACATTTCGCTTCTCATCCAAGAAGCTTCTTCAGCTCTGATGGGATGGTGGGGAATGGAAGGATTGATATTCCTTGCAGACAGCTGGTCATTTGCATCCTTTTAGAGGGTCGTTGAGGCCACTTGGAGGTTTGTCGGTGTCCTCAGGATCCCCTGAGGGGTTCTCCTGGTTCCTGTAGTCCTGTGACCCTGAGGACACAGATAAACTTCCAAGTGGCCTCAACGACTCTAATTAAAGAATGCAAATGACCAGATGACTTGCAAGGAGTACAAATCCTTCCATTGAGCACCATCCAGTCAGAGCTGAAGAACTTCTCGGATGAGAAGCGAAATGTCTTCAAAAGAAAAAGTAGAAAGTCCAGTTGCCTTTCAGAAAAAAGCACTTTTGGGACAACCATGAGCTGGATGATTGAGAATCTCCATAGACAGGTTTTCCTTGCTGCATCTTTAATGCCCATCAGTGCTGAGAAACCGAGTGTTTAGATTCATGCATGCCTCTTTACAAAGTATTTTTTAAAAAAAAAAATGCTTCCACTCACCGCCAAACCAACTGGACCAGGACTTCCCACGTTCCCAGCGAGGCCCTGCAGAAATGAATGATTCAAATAATATTAAGGACCGAGTCTTCTTTTTCTTAATTATGAGTGATATATCTCACCACATATTGTGAGATGGGAGATCAGGCGAGCTTGCTGATTAAAACGGACAGAGGAACACGGATGTCGTGCAGGGTGGGCATCAAATTTTTTTAGCAAGGGGTTCTTTGCCCGGTTGCTGGGTAGGCGTGGCCTAGTTGGCCTCCTGCACATTGGCAGGGGGAGCATTTTTGCCCTCTCTGGGCTTCAAAGGCTTTCTTCGAGCCTCCGGGAGAGTGAAAACGGCCTCCCCAGGCTCTGGAGGCCCTCTGGAGGCCGGAAACAGGCCTGTTTCCAGCCTTCCCGAACTTCTGGTAGGCCCGTTTTTCGCCCTACCCGAGCCTCCATGCGTGCCCTGCACTTACCTGCATCCAAAACGGTCCGTGTGGGAACTCCTGGGAGGGGAGGGGAGGGGTGGCTGGGACCAGCCAGGAGTGGGATTTGGGACTTCTCCGAACTGCACAGAATCTTAGCTAGAGGTTCTCCCAAACCCCTGCAAACCCCCAGCAGCCCCACTCCTGATGCCGTGTCATTTAGCATCCATAACTAGACTCAAGTCTTGGTTGTCTCGGTGTCCCAATCTTGCTTTGCGGAAACCCAAGAAGGAGAGAAATAACATAGAATGGAAACCTGTCTACCAGCTTTTCCTTCTGCACCGACGATTCCTGGAGCACCTCGTAAACCCTAGCAGGAAGTTGGAGAGTAGGGAAGAAGAAAAAGAAGAACAAAGAACTGTTAGGAATTCTTCAGGGTCTCCTTCAATATTCCATAGGGCTCAGGATCCAAATACAGATGGTCCTCGATTTACGATCACAATTGAGCAGTGGACATTTCCCTTGCTAAGAGAGACAGATAAATGAGTTTGGCCCTATATTACAACCTTTCTTGGTTGGGAATCACTGCAATTGTTAAATTAGTCACATGGTTGTTAAGTGAATCTGGTTCCCCCGTTGACTTTGCTTGTAAGAAAGTCGCCAAAGTGGAATTGCGTGACCCCGGGACACTGCGAAAACGAACCAGTTGCCCAACCATCTGAATTTTTGATTGTGTGACCATGGGGTGGGGATTCTACAATGGTCGTAAGTGTGAAAAATGGTTTTTCATTGTAAACTTTGAACGGTCACTAAACAAATCATTGCAAGTCAAAGATTCCCTGTACTTGAAGTAGAAGTGGACAATATTACAAAGATTTGGAGTGGTGTGCCAGGGATTTCACTCCTCTTCTGCACCCAAGAACTCAGAAATGTTGTCCTTTTAAATATATTTGCATTTAGTTCTCAAATTTAGAGACCACCCAGGTCCCTTTCAGAGTCTTTCCAACTAAATCTGTTTCAGAGTATTAAAAGCTTTATGTTCCTGTTCAGTTTTTTTTCACTTAATTATATTATTGTTTATAGTTTGATTAAAAGTACCCTGTTCTCCGAAAATAAGTCCTAGCATGATTTTTCAGGATGCTCGTAATATAAGCCCTACCCCCAAAATAAGCCCCAGTTAAGATTGTCAGCCAGATGGGTGCATTTAGTACCGTATTTTCCCCAAAAATAAGACCTAACCAGAAAATAAGCCCTAATGCATCTTTTGGAGCAAAAATTAATATAAGACCCGGTCTTATTTTCGGGAAAACATAGTAGCTCAAGATCTCCCACAGGAAGATGAGGAAGTAACAGAATAAGTTATAATAGGTACAACAGCACAATATTTTCATGGTATTTTCACAGGACTGGCTCATATGATGTCTTTAAATAAACTTTTTAAGCAATGACTCAGCCACCTTTAAAAGCTGCTATTAAATACATATTTCTCTTCCCTTAATGCATACTTTGAACTTACATTAAGAAAAAAATAAATGATGTGAGCAACACTGCAGCCAATGTGGTAGCCGATAATCCAAGGCACTTTTTTTTTTTTGCTCATTTTTGCCAAAGATTAATCCGCATGTCCCTAATTAGGAGATGTAATTTAGTTCAATTGTGTGTCCGGTTAGAGAAATGGGCGACGTCCCCTTAAGCTATCGCCAAAGCAAAACTTAAAACCAAGTTTTGGGCAACCGCTTTTAAAAGATGATGGAGGATAAGGAATGATTTGGTTAAACGTGGGATGAATCAGATGGCAAAACTTATGGATTTCATTAAAACAAAATCTATTTTTTCTCTTCCCCTGTTCATGTCTAGGCATCTACCCAGCTCTTGAGACCAGTGTCCAGTGCCAAGTTTGACCTCTGGAACATTCTGTTTAAGAGCCAATGATGCCTTGAAAAACACACCCCGTGTGTCATTCCCTCAACCCACCAAGCCAGCCCACACACATCTGAAGTTGGCTTGAAGACCTTCTAGAGTATGGAGTACGTCAGCTAACGTCTCCTTCTCACAACTCTCTTTTACAGCATGGAGAATTGTCAAATTCTGGCTACCTTGTGGAAAAGGGGACAACCAAGAAATCCAGTAGCTAAGAAAATATAAGCTAGTCTATACAGTACATTAGAAAGAGGAGGGAATCTTCAGACTTACTGGAGATCCGGGAAGTCCAACAAGCCCACGCTGACCCATCCTGCCCTAAAGAGAAAACAGTTTAGCAGTTACTATGAGTGTTGGCTCTCATTTCTCCCTTTCTACAAGCCATACTTGTTCCCTTTGTGGGTAACTAGCTAGCCTAAACAGGGCAGGAAACTAGTGTTAGTATTTTGGTTATCCATCTTTCCTTCTCTGCTAGGAGCTTAGCTGCTCTAATTGTCCCATAGCATCCTCGCCTTTGGGAATAGTTCAGTTGCTGGTCATGAGCGGTGGACAAGAACCGTTATCTAGGTACAAGGGCTGAAACATTTTTTAAGTTCTGACAAATGAGGTAACATTCAGAAGCTGGTGAGGATAGGGTAGGGTGGGGTGGGGTGGAGTAGAATAGAATAGAATAGAATAGAATAGAATTTGGAATAGAGTAGAGTGGAGTGGAGTGGAGTGGAATGGAGTAGAGTAGAGTAGAATAGAGAATAGAGAATAGAGAATAGAGAAAATGAATAGAATAGAATAGAATAGAATAGAATAGAATAGAATAGAATAGAATAGAATAGAATTTTGAATAGAGTAGAGTGGAGTGGAGTGGAGTGGAGTGGAGTGGAGTGGAATGGAGTAGAGTAGAGTAGAATAGAGAATAGAGAATAGAGAAAATGAATAGAATAGAATAGAATAGAATAGAATAGAAGAGAAGAGAGAAGAGAAGAGAAGAGAGAGAGAAGAGAAGAGAAGAGAAGAGAAGAGAAGCTGGAAGGGGCCTTGAAGGTCTAGTCCAGCCCCTTGTTCAAGCAGGAGACCATTGAAAGTATTGAGTTGATTTCCTGATCTGATGTACTTAATGGAGACTGACACGTAGGTCAGGTTGAGAGATGGTCAAACAAAGCTTCAAGGCAGTCCCACAACCATAGCCAGAATGACCTTGAGGGACAAGAGGAAAAGTCATGACCAAAGTATTGGTTAGATCAGGGGTGGGCAAATGTGGCTCTTTTACAACCTGTGGACTTCAACTCCCAGAATTCCTGAGACAGCTTGGGAGTTGAAGTCCACAGGTTGTAAAAGAGCCACATTTGTCCACCCCTGGGTTAGATAAAAGGAACTTGAGTTCAGGGCAAAACTTAACGTGAAGAAACGTCTCAGGCAAGCGCTTCCCTAGTTTCACACGAAGATGAAGGAAGGGAGAAGAGAGGTTCTATTACTACAGCTTTGCCATAAAAGTAACACTGATTTACATGCAGGGATGGGCTGCTGGGGGTTTGCAGGGGTTTGGGAAAACCTCTAGGTAAGATTCTGTGCAGCTTGGAGAACCCCCAAATCCAACTCCTGGCAGGCCCCATTCAGAGGGCCTCCGGAGCCTGGGGAGGCTGTTTTCACCCTTCCGGAGGCTCAAAGAAAGCTTCTGGAGCCCGGGGAGGGCAAAAATGCCTCCCTCAGGGTTCAGGAGGCTGACTAGGCCACGCCCACCATGGCCACACCCACCCAGCAACCCTTGCTAAAACTTTTGAAGCCCACCCCTACTTATAACTTATGGCTTAGGACCCGGGTACTTGCGGGACCGCCTACTACCACCAATAGCCTCCCACCGGCCGGTACGCTCCCATAGAGAGGGGCTCCTCCGGGTGCCGTCAGCCAAACAATGCCGACTGGCGGCCCCCAGGGGGAGAGCCTTCTCTGTGGGGGCACCTACTATCTGGAACGAGCTCCCCCCAGAGATACGGAGGATCCCAGATCTGCGCACCTTCCGCCGCGCCTTAAAGACCTTACTATTTCACCAGGCCGGCCTGGCCTAATTTTCCCCCTCTTTTATAAAAGATTTTTAAAATTTTAAATATTTTTTAGTATTTATATATTCAATTTTAAATTGGTTTTAAAAGTTTGGGGTTTTAAATTTGTCGGGGCCAAAATTATTTAATTTGATTTTATTCTATTTTTTAAATTTTGTATTGTATGTGTTTTTATTGTTTGGCTGTGCACCGCCCTGAGTCCTTCGGGAGTAGGGCGGTATAGAAATCTAATAAATAATAAATAATAATAATAATATAAGGTGTTGGTTTCCTAGTCTGTTCTACCATGGCTGACAAGCAGATTTGAACCCAAGACTCCCGAACCAAATTCAGGGTCCTAAGTATCACGTCATCCTTACTTTGCTACCTTGTGGTCCTGACCTTCCACGGATGCCATCCGGCCCTTTATTGCCCTGCAGTTTAGAGAGAGAGAAAAAAAAATATCAGTTTTGTATTGCATTCTTAACAGCCGTTTCCCCCCCCCACCCTTGTGTCATGGGCCTGACCATCATTCAAAGAGAAGATGTTCTTCTGGCCTCCTCAATATATTTGAATCGGTGGCCACTTCCAAAGGGTGCTTTCAGGGGAGATGCCATTAAGGATTCACCAGCATTTTTGGGGTCCCCAAATGAGATTAAAACAACAAGACAACCTTAAATCCTTTGGTGCCATTTTGACCAGAGAAACCGATTGGACCTTCTTCTCCCTGAAAAGATATAAGATTTAAATGTTTAAATGTTTCCAAACAGAAAATCCTTGCAAATTTGCAAAACTATAAATTTGTAAATGCGATTTGTAAACTCTAATAAAGGACCATCCAAGGTCTCCTTTCTACTGTATGATGTCTTCTCAAGTGGCCACAATTTACTAACACTAAACTCCCCTCTTGAAACTTCAGAATTAAGACTCAACTAATTCTTAAATTTGGAAAAACAAACAAACCAGCCTTACCGCAGATCCTGGAAAACCTGGTAGTCCTTTATGGCCTGGAAATCCTTGGAAGCCAGAAGGTCCATGAAAACCTGGAGGTCCTCTTATCCCCTGGAGACCGAGAGCACCCTGTAAAAAGAAAATGGAACCAGCTGATCTCTTGACTGTGGTCTTTGATACCTGCAGACCTCATGTTCTCTAAAGAAGAAAATAGGTCTTGTAGATCCAGGTGTCAGGTTACGATGTCGTCTCAAATAAATTGCATTTCCAAACAAAAAGTCTTTGATGAAATCTTCCTTTTACTGAGTACAACAACCTGTCCCCGACTCCATCGTAGCCGACACTGACCCTCCGACCCCAAACCCTTCCCTTTCCGTTCCCCAATTCTCAGCGTCTCATTGGCCATCTTCCAAGTCACTCTCCCCCATCTCTACTACTTCAACTCACAGGAATGTCCCCCCTCCCATCCCATCTCCTAGGGGATATTATCTACAGAGAAAATAAGTAGGTGAAAAGTCAAGCGTCTTCTTCTCCTCTTTATGTCAGTACTGAAGTGCTGACATCAGGGGTGGGATTCAGCTGGTTCGGGAAAACTGGATGTTAATTTTAATCTGGTTCACCAAACCGGTTGTTCCAAGGACTGCCTGACCCCACCCACCCCACCTCTCCCCTCCCAGGAGTCTCCACGCGGCCCATTTTGGATGCCAGGTAAGTGCAGGGCATGTGCAGAGGCTCTGGGAGAGTGAAAAACGGGCCTACTGGAAGTACCGGAAGTCTGGAAACAGGCCTGTTTCTGGCCTCCAGAGGGCCTCCAGTGCCCGGGGAAGGCAGTTTTTTCCCTCCTAGAGGCTCCAGGAAAGCCTCTGGAGCCTGGGGAGGGCAAAAATGCCCCCACTGCCATGGTGCAGGAAGCCGAGTAGGCCATGCCCCCATGGCCATGCCCACCCAGCAACTGGGCAGTGAACTGTTTGCTGAAATTTTTCAATTCCACCCTGTACCTGGAATTTCTTGCTGCTTGAAATAGATTTTAAGAGTGAAAACTAACGCTGGGATGTCTGCTATCATTTCTGATACATGGCATGATACTCTTACCTGTTCACCTTTCCTTCCAGCATCTCCTTTGGCACCTTTTAAGCCTCGGTCCCCCTAAAAAAGGTAGAAAAGAAAGAAAGAAAGAAAGAAAGAAGGAAGGAAGGAAGGAAGGAAGGAAGGAAGGAAGGAAGGAAGGAAGGAAGGAAGGAAGGAAGAAACAACCAACTGTTTTTCTTACTTTCTGGGAAAGGTGATTCATCCAACTGACCATCTGTAGAAACCCGGTAACTTACTTGGTTCCCAAGAAGTCCTTGAGATCCTGGAATTCCAGTCACCCCCTTGGATTGGAGAAAGAGAAAAGGATTAGTAAGAGCCCCTGCCCAGACTACGGGAATAACTTATTCTCCTTTTGTGGTGCTTCCAACAAAGTTGGAATGGAACACTTGGAGTCTAGAATGTTTCCGTCTTGAAATTATTTCTGTTTTTCTCTGTAGATTTCAATACATACCTTTGGGCCTTCCTGTCCATGTGCCCCTCTTAAACCAAGAGATCCACTTGCTCCCTGGGGGTTGTGGGGGGGAAGAGGAATAAAAAGCATCACACAAAAGCCACAACTGCATTGGACAAGGTCAAACTGTGTCAAATCAATAAAGGAGACAAGCAACCTAAATAAGTAAGGCTGGAAAATTTACACACATTTGCAGTTGAGTATAGTTTTGTCTTGCATGAACCAACAGGCTCCCTGAAATAATCACAATGAGTTAAATGCCTTTGCAGGTACAGGTTTCCCTTGCACATATGTGCTAGTCGTTCCCGACTCTAGGGAGCGGTGCTCATCTCTGTTTCAAAGCCGAAGAGCCAGCGCTGTCCGAAGACGTCTCCGTGGTCATGTGGCCGGCATGACTCAACGCCAAAGGCGCACAGAACGCTGTTCCCTTCCCACCAAAGGGGTTCCCTATTTTTCTACTTGCATTTTTTTTACGTGCTTTCGAACTGCTAAGTTGGCAGAAGGTGGGACAAGGAATGGGAGCTCACCCCGTTCCGCGGCACTTGGGATTCGAACCGCTGAACTGCCGATCTTTCGATCGACAAGCTCAGCGTCTTGACCACTGAGCCACCGTACAAGCATACAAAAGACAACGGAGCACTGGAATATTTCATTAAGTTCAAATTAGGTTTCCAAAACATGAGTCACATATTTCTAGCATCAAAACATTGAAGTCAACTTCATGGAAGACCCAACACCATCCCATCTGAAAGTCACAATCGTTTGCTCTAGAAAAGAAGGGGGAAAAATAATTCTTACTGGTTCTCCTTTGGCTCCAGGGGATCCTTCCTTCCCAGTTGGGCCCTAGATGGATAAGATACTGGTTTCAAAGAGCTACAGGGTGACAAACAGTTCTGGTGGATTAAACTCCGTGTTGCCATGAACATCTTTGAGAAACTCACCTGTAAACCTGGAAGACCTGGGAATCCATAGCTTCCTTCCAAGCCTTGTGGTCCCTAAGGGGGAGAAATGTCACATAAGAGAGCAACGACGGGAAGGAAGGAAGGAAGGAAGGAAGGAGGGAGGGAGGGAGGGAGGGAGAATCTCTGATGATGCTACCTAGTTGGATAATGAAACATCTGAAGGCAAGCAGCCAAGTTCAGATGGATGGATGGATGGATGGATGGATGGATGGATGGATGGAAGGAAGGAAAGAAAGAAAGAAGGAAGGAAGGAAGGAAGGAAGGAAGGAAGGAAGGAAGGAAGGAAGGAAGGAAGGAAGGATCACTGATTATGCTACCTAGTTGGATAATAAAACATCTGAAGGCAAGCAACCAAGTTCAGATGGATGGATGGATGGATGGATGGATGGATGGATGGAAGGAAGGAAGGAAGGAAGGAAGGAAGGAAGGAAGGAAGGATGGATCACTGATGATGCTACCTAGTTGGATAATAAAACATCTGAAGGCAAGCAACCAAGTTCAGATGGATGGATGGATGGAGGGAAGGAAGGAAGGAAGGAAGGAGGTCTCTTAGTAAAGACATGGAAGAAATGCTGTTGCTGCAGAAATCCTTCAGTTGTTTGCTTCTTTGTCATTTTTAGATTCAACCTCTTATGTTGACATAACCAGTTGGAAAAAAGATGGCAAGCGCCATTCCTTCATACTAATCAGCATCAATGGAAAACCCACAGTCAAGATTCTTCTGGTGATGGAGATGGAGATGATGATGATGATGATGGAGGAGGAGGAGGAGGAGGAGGAGGAGGAGGAGGAGGAGGAGGAGGAGGACAACATACCTGAGGCCCTGGGATCCCTAGAAGGCCTGGGGGGCCCTTGTCACCCTAAACAAATTAAAAAAGGATATCTGAAATTAGCAATCCTAATTTAGTATTTCAAGAGCTATTTGGTGCCACATAACCCTGTTTCCCCCCAAATAAGACATCCCCTGATAATAAGCCCAATTGGGCTTTTGAGCACATGGCAATAAGGCCAAGTGCTTATTTCAGGGTTCAAAAAAATATAAGAGAGGGTCTTATTTTCGGGGAAACACGGTACTACCTGCCTGAACTAGGCACAAGCTAACTTCCAAAAGCTAAGCTAATTTTGACTTATTTTCAGCATTTTGAGAAACTAGGCTGTAGGCTGAATGGGGAAAGAAAGGCGGCAATAGCAAATTATTTCTGTTGCTAAGCGAGGCATTTGCTAAGTGAATTTTGTCCCATTTTACGACCTTTTGTGCCACTCTTCTTAAGTCCATCCCAGCAGCTGTTAAGTGAGTCACACGGTTGTTAAGCAAATCTGGCTTCTTCTCGGTGGACTTGGCTTGTCAGAAGGTCACTGCGACCGTCATAAATAGGCTGTTGTAACTTCGAACGGTCACTAAAACGGACTGTTGTAAGTTGAGAACGCTCTGTAGCCCTGAAGAACAGCCGTTCCATAAATTTGCCTTAAGTTGGGCGTCACTCACGCACCTCCCTGGCGGTTTAGCAACATGGGGCCTGTCTCCACCCTGCCACCACAATCCCTGAGGAATTTAGAAGAAGCCCACTCCGTAGCTTTGTACCTTTTTCTGAAGACATCTCACCTGTGTCCCTTTGGGCCCTTGCAATCCAGCTGCACCGCGTGGTCCTTGCTTGCCCTGAAGCACATAAAAATAATACAGTCATATAGAGTCGTTATTACAGCTTATTTCAGTGATGGGCGAACCTTTTAGAGACTGAGTTTCCCAAACGACTGCAACCCAAGACTCACTTATTGATCGCAAAAGGGCCAACGTGGCAATTTAACCTGAATACTGAGGTTTTGCTATCTGAAATAACGGTGAACAAGGCAGGGTTCAGCTAAATGTTCTAAGAAAAAAGTGATGAATGCACTTTTATTTATTTATTTATTTATTACGTGTATTTATATGCCACCATTCTCCCAAAGGACTCAGGGCGGCGAACACAAGTTAAGAAACAAGTACAATAAAATCATAATTTAACCCAAATAATTAATTAGTAGTAAATAATAAAGCCCGGAATCAGTCTCAGCCTATTTGTTTGAAAAGTCTTCAAGTCCCGACGGAAGGATTTTTTTTATGCCCCTCCATTTGTTTTCTGCTTTTGAAATATTACGTTTAGCAACGTACTGGGCTGCGTAAGGTCCTCTCAATTCCAGTTCCAATTTTTGCAGTTTCTAGGATTCGGAGCAAAGAGGGATTTTATTGGTATATTACAGCCTGTCCAGCTGAAATTCCCAGAGGAGACAGTTGGGAAATCAATCTTCAATGATTGCACGATTCGTTGTGTGGCTGCTTGCCATCTCAAAATAGCCACAGTGGATGGTCTGAGTTGATCCGATTCCAGAGTTCATAGGTTTGTGTAAATCGCTGCTTGGAGAAGGAGCAGGTGCGATTTGGAGAGAGAGGGACTGAAGAAATTATAACATTCTTACCAAAGATCCAGCAGGTCCCGGATGCCCACGGAATCCATGTTCTCCCTACAGGAGAGACAGCAATATTGAATTGGCACACTGACTTTTCTATCTTGTGGAACCCTTGGTGGCCTCTGAGCTTGGCGGTTTCCTTGCAGATAATTCATTACCCAACTCATCAGTGCTGGAAGGGAGGAGGAGGAAGAGGAGGAAGAGGAGATGGAGGACTGTGGGGTCCGTAGTGCTCTCTGAGCTTGATGGTTTTCCTGGAGATGTTTCATGACCCAACTAGGTAACCTCACCAGTGCTAGAAGGGAGTGGCATTTGCAGGAAGGAGGAGGAGGAGGAGGAGGAGGAGGAGGAGGAGGAGGACTGTGGGGGTCCTTAGTGCTCTCTGAGCTTGGTGGTTTTCTTGCAGACATTTCGTTTTTCATCTAGGTAACTTCACCAGTATTAGAAAGGAGTGGCATTTGCAGGGAGGAGGAGGAGGAGGAGGAGGAGGAGGAGGAGGAGGAGGAGGAGGAGGAGGAGGAGGAGGAGGAGGACCGTTGGGGTCCTTAGTGCTCTCTGAGCTTGGTGGTTTTCTTGCAGACATTTCGTTTTTCATCTAGGTAACCTCACCAGTATTAGAAGGGAGTGGCATTTGCAGGGAGGAGGAGGAGGAGGAGGAGGAGGAGGAGGAGGAGGAGGAGGAGGAGGAGGACCGTTGGGGTCCTTAGTGCTCTCTGAGCTTGGTGGTTTTCTTGCAGACATTTCGTTTTTCATCTAGGTAACCTCACCAGTATTAGAAGGGAGTGGCATTTGCAGGGAGGGGGAGGAGGAGGAGAAGGAGGAGGAGGAGGAGGAGGAGGAGGAGGAGGAGGAGGAGGAGGAGGAGGAGGAGGAGGAGGAGGAGGAGGAAGAAGAGGAGGAGGACTGTGGGGGTCCTTGGTGCCCTCTAAGCTTGGTGGTTTTCTTGCAGACATTTTGTTCTTCATCTAGGTAACATCATCAGTGCTAAAAGGGAGGAGGAGGAAGAGGAGGAGGAGGAGGATTGTGGGGTAGTTGGTGTTTTCTCAGCTTGGTGGTTTTCTTACAGATGTCCCATTACCCAAGCTAGGTAACACCATCACAACTGATGATGTTACCTAGTTGGGTAATGAAATATCTGCAAGAAAACCACCAAGTTCAGAGAGCATCAAGGACCACAAAGTTCAACCTTGAGCTACAAATATTCTCTTCTATCAGTACTTTTCGATTCTTCGGTCCTTGGGAACGGGCTGGCACCATGAAAACCCTTGCCCAACTTGACCTGAATGTAAAGCACATATTTTGCTCTTTCCAGGAACCCTGTTGTAAGATACTCAAGGGCCAACTGAAAGTGGCAGAGGCAGTTATCAAGATAATCCCAACTGTTGTCCTTCCTGAAGTACGGAGATGAATGAGGAACTACTTACCATGCGCCCTGGAGAACCTGGAACACCAAGGAGGCCTTTGGCACCCATGACTCCCTAATAAAACACAACCAGCACCGCCGTGAGATTTCCTGCTAGAAGCAACCTGAAACGTTTCTCTTAGAAGTGATGATAGTAATTATTACTTTAGGAGATGGTGCTACCAGTAGCTATGATGGCTCATAAATAGCAATTAACATTCAGCAATCACCCTGTCAGTTGTCACTTTATTACTTGCTGTGCATCGCTATTATGCAGGGACAGACTGCTATGAACTGTGGGGAGGGGGGATGAGGAAGGTGAGGCTTGGGAAATCGAAAATATAGACTGTACCACCTCAAGACCATGCCTCAAGATCATCCAGCTGGAAGAAGAAGGGAGCTGCCTACCAATCTGCGCTGGGACTGACTGTTTTGAAAACATCTTGCATCAACTTGATCGGTTACAGTAGGGTGGGCACTAAGGGACAGTTAGAGGGGTGGAAAAGTAGGGATTTTGGCGTGCAATTCTCATTTCTGGCTATGCAATACTGCAATACACTTGATCCCTAATAAAACAAATGGAGCCTCCACTTTTATTTGGAGGTTCAAGTTGTGGCAGGTCTGACACAACCAGATTTATGAAAGCATTCAGGGTTAATGTAGAGCCATGGCAACAAGAGACATCACCCTGCCAACAAAAGTGCGTATAGTCAAGGCTATGGTGTTCCCAGTTGCAATGGATGGCTGTGAAAGTTGGACCATAAGGAAGGCTGAGCATCAAAGAATTGAGGCCTTTGAACTCTGGTGCTGGAGAAGACTCCTGCGAGGCTGCAAGGAGACTGCGAGGCTGCAAGGAGACTGCAAGGCTGCAAGGAGACTGCAAGGCGATCCAACTGGTCAGTCCTAGAGGAGATCAACCCTGACTGCTCTTTAGAAGGCCAGATCCTGAAGAGGAAACTCAAATACTTTGGCCATCTAATGAGATGGAAGGAAAGACTCACTGTAGAAGAGCCTAATGCTGGGAACGATGGAGGGCAAAAGAAGAAGGGGACAGCAGAGAACGAGGTGGCTGGATGGAGTCACTGAAGCAATCGGCATGAGCATAAATGGACTCCGGGATATGGTAGAGGACAGGAAGGCCTGGAGGAACATTGTCCATGGGGTCGCGATGGGTCAGACACGACTTCGCAACTAACAACAACAACTTCCACAGATTATAACAGTTGACATGAGAGAAAGATTCAAATGCCACCCAACGGCTGCATTAATCACGCACAACGCGTTGGCAACAAAATGGTATATTTTTGTAGAAGACGAGGACCGTAATAATGACAACCTGTTTCAAGTATTAATATATACTCTTCCCAATTCAGTCCTTGGATGACACGCCATCACCTAAGCTCTTTGCAAAATGGTTTAGGTGACTAAAAAGCGATGAGGTTAACTAACTTACTGGAATGCCAAGAGGTCCAGGAAGTCCAGTTTCTCCTTTCACACCCTGGAGAACAATAAACCATCATAAGTGATGAGTATGTCATTCCACCAACCTTCTCTCCTACAGGGAGAGAAGCCTGCTGAGATTCTCTTTCCCTATGGAGTTTCATCTAGAGCCCTGTTGGTAGATCCTGGAATACAGCCTTCTCAATGGTGACACCCGATGTGAGGATAATTCACCCCCCGCCCCCACTGCACTGGTTTTACAAATGGGTCGTTTGTAGAACATCTTCAACTCTTGCTTATCATTGATTGATTTCTGCTTTTCTAGGATTGGATGTAGAGGTGGATCATTCACTGAAATGTATTTGAATGTTAGTATCGTTCATTCATTCATTCCCCATGAAGAAAATGGATTGATGTGACTGATAAGAGTTGACATTGACCCTACAGCACAGAGTCATCAAACACACAAACACACACACAGAGAGAAACCCTTTGGGATCATTTTGGAAGTGTTGTTGGTTTCAAGTGAGAGCTATTTTGAAGCCCATCACCCTTCTGGGGATGTCTTGTTTTGCCCTTCACCAAGTTGGGCAGAAAAAGAAAGAAAGAAAGAAAGAAAAGAAAGAAAGAAAGAAAGAAAGAAAGAAAGAAAGAAAGAAAGAAGAGAGGGAGGGAGGGAGGGAGGGAGGGAGGGAGGGAGGGAGGGAGGGAAGAAGGGGAGGGACGGAAGGGGAGGGGAGAGGAGAAGGAAGGAAGGAAGGAAGGAAGGAAGGAAGGAAGGAAGGAGGAGGAAGGAGGAAGGAGAGAGGAGGGGAGAGAGAGAGGAAGGAAGGAAGGAAGGAAGGAAGGAAGGAAGAAGGAAAGAAAGAAAGAAAGAAAGAAAGAAAGAAAGAAGAAAGAAAGAAAGAAAGAAAGAAAGAAAGAAAAGGGGAAAGAAAGAAGGATGTCTAAAATCGTCTGCCCACCCTCAAATGTCCATAATCCACTTTATGAGAACTGAATCCTCAAAGGCAGCTTAAAACTCCCAATACTATCGTGAAATAATCTCAGTCCTTTTGATCTGGGGGTTGAACTCAATCCTTTCTGACTTTAGGATCCGGCAAAATAAGCCTTTATAACTACACTCACCTTGGCTCCTTTCTTTCCTTTCTCTCCAGGTGGGCCAGGGTCTCCAGGAAACCCCTAAAAGGAAAAAAAAAGTTTGGCTACGTTTCACTTGCCTACTCTGATCTCCGATTCTCCATACAAGGTACATGTATGATGGATAAGACACAGTGAGAAATTACCCTTTTGGGCCTGGCTGGTGTGTTCTTTGAAGAGCTCCTCATTCCTTACTTGCTTTTGAATTAGCCACGGTGAAGAATAAAATGGTAGAACCTTCCTAGCAATGGAGGGAGGCACCACTTCATCACTGAGATTGAATTTCAAGTTGTTGGCCTTAGAGAGAGCATGAATGGAGCAACCAATCTGTGTTCCTACTTGGATTATCAATTCCATGGATGACTTCTGGTAGAGCCCATGACAATGCTCTAGGACAGGGGTGTCAAACTCGATTTCATTGAGGATTGCATCAGGGTTGTGTTTGACCTCAGGGGAGCAGGGGGGGCACAGCCAGGGGGGGCATGGCCAGCTCGACGTCACTCATGTCGGAAGTGCCTGTGGTGGCCCGAGCACTCTGCCAATGAAAACAAACTCCTGAGCTCCGTTTTCGGCTGCGACGGCTCCCTGCAACCCTGTGCCAGTGAAAACGGAGCTCGGGAGGACTGTGCGTGGCCCTCACGAGCTCCATTTCCGGCTGCAATAGCCTCTGCAATCCTGTGCCAGTGAAAACGGAGCTCTGGAGGACTGTGCGTTGCCCTCACGAGCTCCGTTTCCGGCTGCGATAGCCTCCTGCAATCCTGTGCCAGTGAAAACGGAGCTCAGGAGGACTGCGCGTGGCCCTCATGAACTCCGTTTCTGGCTGTGACAGCCTCCTGCAGCCTTCCCAAACTCTGTTTTCACTGGCAGAGGTACCACGGGCCAGTCCTTCACTGTTTCCAGGCCCATCCCACAGGCCAGTTCTAAGCACCCTGCAGGCCGGATCTGGCCCCTGCGGCCTTGAGTTTGACACCCTTGCTCTATGAAGTCATCCAAGGTTATATGAAACGAAGCATTAAAAATGATTAAGAAACTTAGTTCACCCTAAAGCTGAGATACCCAACACTGATGGCCATCAGGGCCACACGCCAACCTCCCAGTCTTCTAAACCTCCCCTTATCTCAACTCACCTCTTCTCCTCTTTCCCCAGGGGGTCCGTGGTCTCCTTTAATCCCTTGGGGGCCCTGGAAAGAAAGAGGAAAGGTGAACGGCCATTGAAAAATAAGAGATCAGAAATTAGCGTTGTATTTTTTTAAAAAAAGAGAGAGGAGTTTCCCTGCAACCTAGCTTTTCAATGATTGGATGGTCATTGGTGCAGTTGCCTCCCAGACATGCCAACTGTGAGTAAATCAATCTCTGAACTGGCCTGCTACTCAGAGTAAACATAACCATTTCCATGGAGGAAGTACATTTATATATTTTTTTCACTTCTTTCTCGGGACAACGGATGTGGATTTAAAAGGTAAAGGTTCCCCTAGCACATATGTGCTAGTTGTTCCCGGCTCTAGGGGGCGGTTCTTATTTCCGTTTCAAAGCTGAAGAGCCGGCACTGTCCGAAGATGTCTTCGTGGTCCTGTGGCCGGTGTGCCTCAATGCCAAAGGCGCATGGAATGCTGTTCCCTTCCCACCAAAGGTGGTCCCTATTTTTTCTACTTGCATTTTTTATGTGCTTTCGAATTGCTAAGTTGGCAGAAGCTGGGACAAGTCACAGGAGCTCACCCCGTTACACAGCACTAGGGATTCAAACTGCTGAACTGCCGACCTTTCGATCGACAAGCTCAATATCTTAGCCACTGAGCCACCACTCTACAATTACATACGATCCTGCAAAGAGGACAGTTCCTACCTGGTCCCCTTCCATTCCAGGTGGTCCAGGGTTTTGATCCACTCCCGGAAGACCATCTGATCCAGGAAATCCAGCATGTCCTGGGAGACCAGGTGGCCCAGTTTCACCCTTAAGGAAGAAAAAGCATCTCAGGAAAAGTCTACTCTCGAAGAGCGCATCCAACAAGCTATTTTGAAAGCGCTTCTAGCAACTCAATTTTTACTAATAAGAATGCAACTTGGTGAAATCACAACAACTGGGATGAACAAGAAGGACAATGTGGATGTGTGGCTTTTTTTGATCCGAAGAAGGAAAGGTCTTTGGAATCTAGTATGGGTGCTGTAAAAGAAGAGCAGGCAGAGCTGGAAGGCAGGGTTAAATGTGTCATTAGTTTGGAATCATTGAGTAGCCGCATGAGAGCCAAGTCCAGCCTTCCATGGATTCCATTGACCCTTATCTAATGCCAATTTAGCTTTGATCAGGGGTGAAATGCTACTGGTTCGGGCCGGTTCACCTGAACCGGTAGTAAAAAAATGCTTTAAAAAAGTTTTTAAAAAGGTTCCGACGATTGCGCAGTACAGCTAATTGTCACAGCTGATCGTCAGAACTTTTTTAAAACTTTTTTTTAAGTTAAAAAATGCTAAAAAAAGTTTTAAAAAGTTGGCCACGCCCACCCAGTCACATGACCACCCCCATCAAGCCACCCCCACCAAGCCACCCCCACGGAACTGGTAGGGAAAATTTTTGAATTTCACAAGAAGAGGGTAGCAATCTTACCTGGTAACCAGGTAATCCTTTCTCACCTGGCTGCCCTGGGTATCCGGGAGGACCCTAGAAATATAAGTTCAATTTACATACAGGCAATGCAAGTTGAGTTCTTTCCCCCATATAAGAAAACCAGAAAAATATTTTTAGGAGGAATATTCCCATATAGGAGGAAGGAAAAAAAAAATCAGGCTGCATCGTAAATGATATTCATAAAAGTCCTAAATCGTTGCATGAGATGGTCAACAGTCACAAAATTCTGAACATTTGATCCCCTGTAAAATGGCATAAAATTTGCTTTGATTTAATTCATGAGAAAAGTGACTGCCAAGACGAGTTCATGAAACGGGGGTCTAATTAAGATGAACAAGTTCGTCAAAGCAGGACCAAAACAGCCTAATTTCCCCCTTAACAAAAGTCAACTAAATCAAGTCAACCAGAATTATACTATGGTATGGACAAGTTCATAATTCCAAATTGCTTCCGGTTTTTTTCATGCTTACAGGTAATCCAGGTTTTCCTACGTGGCCAATCGATCCTGGAGACCCTCTCTGACTCTGTTTGAGAAGGGAAAAAAAACATAATTATTGATTATTGATTTAAAGAATATCAATGATCATTGATATCAATGATCTTAGTGAAAAGTCAAGGTCAATTCATGACATTCAAATATTTGTTTTCTCTTTTTTTCCATCCCTTTGTCCCAGCAGGAAGAAGTACTATCCTCAGGAAGGCACAGAAATTGAAAAATACTGAGATTTTTTAAAACAGAAATTGTGTTTCATTAGCTGAAAATTTGAACGCAGGGCTCTTGGCTCAGACAGAAATTCCACGCGCCATCTGGTGGCTAGAAAATACCCAACATTAAATTGTCATTTCATGTTTTAAAATGTATATTTAGCTGTTTAAACGTTGGCAGATTTTGGTAGCTTAGAAAACACCTAACTGTACTGATTCACCAGCCAAGATCTTTTAACTTTGGCAATTGGGTGAAGTCAAAAAGTCAAGGCAACGAGATTGAGTTGACTCAACGCAATGAGTCAACCCAATGAGAATCAACCAATGGAATAGCTTGCCTTCAGAAGTTGTGAGTGCTTTCAAAAGAGACTGGACAACCATTTATATGAACTAGTATAGGGTCTCCTGCTCAAACAGGGGGTTGAACTAGAAGACCTCCAAGGTCCTTTCCAATTCTATTATTCTCTATCCATGAGATAGCTTGCAATTGAAATGTTTACCCTGCTAAAATTCTTTCGCACTGAATGTCTGTTTCTAGTTTGATTGGGTCTAATATTTCACGTTTTGCCCTTGAACTGATTAAAAAAAACCCTTATTATGGAATAATCATTTTTTTTTTAAAAAAAGGTTTCTACTTACTGGCCATCCTGCTTGAAGAAGTTGATAGAATGAAGACTGCTAAACAGGGGAAGAAAAGAAATAAATTTGGCGTTATCAAAGAGAATGGACAAACAGGTGCACATATAGAATAGAATAGAATAGAATAGAATAGAATAGAATAGAATAGAATAGAATAGAATAGAATAGAATAGAATTAGAGTATAGAGTATAGAGTATAGAGTAGAGTAGAGTAGGATAGGATAGGATAGAATAGAATAGAATAGAATAGAATAGAAGTAGAGTAGAGTAGGAGTAGAGTAGAGTAGAGTAGAAACAGAACAGAACAGAACAGAAGTAGAGTAGAGTAGAGTAGAGTAGAGTAGAGTAGAGTAGAGTAGAGTAGAGTAGAGTAGAATAGAATAGAATAGAATAGAATAGAATAGAATAGAATAGAATAGAATAGAATAGAATAGAATAGAATAGAATAGAATAGAATTCTTTACTGGTCAAGTGTCTTTGGGGCATATGGTCTCAGTGTACATAAAAACTAAGATATGAGTGAACCAATAAGCAACTATAATTTAGCATTTCAAACACAAAATGTGCAATCACTCTAAAGAGCAATCAGCAACCATTATCTTTTGTACAAGCAACAAGACCAGAGCAGTACAAATATTGAAAATAATATCTTGGGGACTAAAAAGGCATACAAAGGATGGAAGAAAGATTAAGATGTTAATTGCTCGAATGAGAGAAGGCTGGAAAGCATAATTGTATGTTTTATTTAAATTTCTTTATTCTCTTTCTCCTACTTTCTGTTGATTTTTTTTTTTTTTACTGCGTCGAAAATAGTAATAGATATAAATAACTAAAGTTCGGCATCCAGCGGCTATTGACGGAGCCAAACCCACACCACCAATAAAGACTAAGAATTAAGGAGGGGGAGAAAAAAATTAAAGGGGACACAGAGCTGAAACATGAAACGAGCAAGTTGCTATTCCGAATAGCATCCCTCGATGCTGCAATTTCAAATATTTGTTTACCGGTGGAACCATTAAAAAAAAAAAGTGATTAAAAAAAAGCAATCGAAGGAAGACACACGAGCTGGATAAGGCACCTACGTAAATCCAAGTTGCAAAATAAGAAAGGAAAGACGAGATAAACGACGGCAAGTAATATTAGAAAACTGCTGTTTTAATCCTCTCGAATGGCAGTCAGCCAGTCTAGGCTGGGGCAAGTATTAAACCCTTGGGTGAGTTATCAGATTTCCAGCAATGGCTACAGTTTGCAGAAGTCAATTAAGACCCCTTTTTTCATTTTTCATAGTTTCAGGATTTGGATTTCTGCATTTTAAACTTCACACCTGTGTTCTATTGACCTGGGGGCTTAAATCAAGAAATAAGCCCATTGGCATCTGATGGTTATTGGCATGAGCCGCGGTGGCGCAGTAGTTAGAGTGCAGTACTGCAAGCTACTTCTGCTGACTGCTGGCTGCCTGCAATTTGCCAGTTCGAATCTCACCAGGATCAAGGTTGACTCAGCCTTCCATCCTTCCGAGGTGGGTAAAATGAGGAGCCAGATTGTTGAGGGGCAAGAGGCTGACTCTGTAAACCGCTTAGAGAGGGGTGTAAAAGTACTGTGAAGCGGTATATAAGTCTAAATGCTACTGCTATTCCTTCCTTCCTTCCTTCCTTCCTTCCTTCCTTCCTTCCTTCCTTCCTTCCTTCTTTCCTTCTTTCCTTCCTTCTTTCCTTCCTTCCCATGGTGGTGCAGTGGTTAGAATGCAGTACTGCCAGCTGATTCTGCTCACTGCCAGGAGTTTGATCCTGACCAGCTCAAGGTTGACTCAGCCTTCCATCCTTCCGAGGTGGGTAAAATGAGGAGCCAGATTGTTGGGGGGCAAGAGGCTCTGTAAACCACTTAGAGAGAGCTGTAAAAGCACTGTGAAGTGGTATATAAGTCTAACCACTATTGCTATTGCTACCGTATCACCTAGCAACTCATTTAACAAATGTTTCACTTAGCAGCGTCAATTTTCGGCTCTATCGTGGTCATAACCGGAGCAACCTAACGGTTAAATGCGCCTTAACATGCAACATTGACCTCAAGCAATGCTGCACGTCTAGACCCATTTCTGAATGAATTTGAGACGTGGAACGGAGGAGAAATTCATTTAATTCGTGCTTTAAACAAGCCGTGCGAATCTGCATTTCCCTGTCTGGGAAACAGCTTGGAACGCAACTAACCCTACATATTGAATATTTGTTCAAATTACTGCAGCGGCTCAAAAATTGCAGACATCTGTCTTTGAGGAAAGCAATTTGGTTTTCAGAGTTAAGTTGCCCGCAAAGGGATTTGAGTAATAAAGCAAAGAAGTGTTGAAATCAGTAGACAGACGTTCTTGAAATCTGGCCAAGCCATTCATGTGGATTAGCTTCCCTATCTCCTCGACAGTTTTAATCTCCGACTCCCGTTTCCAGCTCCGAGTTTCTATCGTGTTTCATTATCTTTTGATTAAAATGTTCGGGCGGGACGCCAAAAGATTGGAGGCGAATACCGCTATGGGAATGAAGACTTACCGTGAAGGCTAGCCAGTCCTCCTTGGAGTTTCTACCAAGAAAGATAATAGGAAGACCGGGAGCGCCAACATCTCCTGGATTGCCTCTGTGTCCCGGTTGGCCAATCGCACCAGGATAACCCTAAGAGAATTAAAATATATAGATATTAACAGTTGTTTTGTATAAGGGCTAGGACAGGACTGAGGAACTGACGAATGCTCCACTGACCAACCATTGTTGGATGTCACTTTTCAGCAATTTGAGACAACACAGTCAATGGCTCAGCCAAACCTGGTTGAGATGTTACCTTGGTGCCCTCTGAGCTTGGTGGTTTTCTTGCAGATGTTTCATTACCCAACTAGGTAGCATCATCAGTACTAGAAGGGTATGGGATTTGTGAAGAGGAGGAGGAGAACGGGGACTGTGGGGTCCTTTGTGCCTTCTGAGCTTGGTGGTTTCCCTGCAGATGTTTCATTACCCGATGAGGTGACATCATCAGTGCTAGAAGGGAGTGGGGTGTAAAGAGGAAGAGGAGGAGGAGGAGGAGGAGGAGGAGGAGGAGGAGGGAGGGAGGGAGGGAGGGAGGAAGAGAACTGTGGGGTCCTTGGTGTTCTCTGAGCTTGGTGGTTTTCTTGCAGACGTTTCATTACCCAATTAGGTAACATTATCAATGCTAGTATAGTACAGAGCAGTACCACGGTAGCACTGATGATGTTACCTAGTTTGGGTAATGAAACATCTCCAAGAAAACCACCAACATTAGACAGCTTCAAGAACCCTACAATCCTCCTCCTCCTCTTTCTCCTTCTCCTGCTGCTCCTCCTCCTCTCCACACACCCCAAATAAAAATTCTCTATGTATGGCCAGTTCCTGATGAATTAATTCAAAATCATTTGTTCTATGGACCTAAACCACATGAAAAAGAAACAAGGCCTTCAAATAAATGGGAAATCTTTAAACAAAAAACTATACCTTGATGCTGCCAAGAAAATTAAAAGATGCTTGCTCCTGGGGAGGAAAGCTATGGCAAATCTAGACAATGTACTAAAAAGCAGAGACATCACCCTGCCAACAAAAGTGCGTATAGTCAAGGCGATGGTTTTCCCAGTTGAATGGATGGCTGTGAAAGTTGGACCACAAGGAAGGCTGAGCGCAAAGAATGGAGGCCTTTGAACTCTGGTGCTGGAGAAGACTCCTGCGTGTCCCTTGGACTGCAAGGCCATCCAACCGGTCAGTCCTAGAAAAGATCAACCCTGGCTGCTCTTGAGAAGGCCAGATCCTGAAGAGGAAACTCAAATGCTTTGGCCACCTAATGAGAAGGAAGGACTCCCTGGAGAAGAGCCTAAGGCTGGGAATGATGGAGGGCAAAAGAAGAAAGGGACGACAGAGAACGAGGTGGCCGGATGGAGTCACTGAAGCAGTCGGCGTGAGCTTCAATGGACTCCAGAGGATGGTAGGTGACAGGAAGGCCTGGAGGAACGTTGTCCATGGGGTCACGATGGGTCGGACACAATTTCGCAACTAACAACAACAACAAATTCCAATCTTTTCCATTCAACTCACCTTGTCTCCTTTGGGTCCCATTAATCCAGGTGTTCCACGACAACCCTAGAAAATCCAAAGACAATGTAGAGTTATTTATTTATGGTATCTAATCATCCATTCATTCTTATAGTTCACCTCTTCACCGTGAATCTATCAGGTGTTCCCATCCATATTTACAGGATGGAACCACATCGCAAAATTCTAAAATGTGTGGGATCCTGGTTTACCTACAATAGGGAATATTGGTTTGCTATCTAAATTAAGACATAATTTTTCCGCCTACTCCACAATAGGACTTTCACCAGCTCACACAGTTTTTAACAGGAGAGAATAACAGAGTTGGAAGGGACCTTGGAGGTCTTCTAGTCCAGCTCACTGCTAAAGCAGGAGACCCCATACAATTCCAGACTAAGGGTTGTCCTCCAGTGATGGAGCACCCACAGCTTCTGAAGGCAAGCTGTTCCACTGGTTAATTGTTCTGTTAAATTCCTGCTTTGCCCAATCATAAAAGGAGCAGAGAAGACACACAAGAGGCCCTCTACTTACAGGCAAACCTGGTGGCCCTGGTAGCCCACGTGCTCCTGGTTTAAGACGGCTCCCTTGAATATTCCTTAACTTCCATAAGGAGTCTGGATCATGGTTCTGAAGAGGAACTTCACTCAACTTATGCCAATAAGCATCTCCCTTGAACGTCTTAGAGACAGGCGCACCTTGTAGTTCCTTCACAGCATTGTCAAGTTCTGCTGAAGCTCTGGTAGAGTTTTGTCCAGTGTCTTGATCTAGAGATGCCTTCAGCCTGGACTGAAGGATTAAAATCTCAGGTATGTTTTCTGGAAATTCACTCTGCTCAGGGACAACTTTTGGCAGAGCGGAATGGTTAAAATCCACGATAGGATTGTGGAAGTAGGCACCAATGTCACCCTTGAGCTTCTTCTCAATAAAGTTCTCATCTAGAGATCTGGAGAGGTCCCCTTTCTTGGGACTCGGAGAAATGACTCTGAACAGAGTTCTTGAATGAATATTGTTCTTATTAAATACGTGGGTAACATTCGTAAGGGAGCTGTCTGTTTTTTCTCGCTTCTCTGTAACCAGACTTCCATTTCTGGATGATTGAGTGTCGGAGAGGCTGAGGAGCTGCAAATCCGAAACCATCCCTGAACGAAGAAGCCTTCTCCTGGAGAACCTGCTGAGATTTTTCAGAGAATCTTCCCACTCTCGGGGATATGTCAAAACTGCATCTGACTCCAAGCCCTAGGAAAAAAAAAACAGTTTAAAAGCTGGCTGTGTACCAGTTTTTGAGTTCACACAACATCACAATCATGGCTTTGTCTAAGCATGGCTCACTCAGCAAACTACAGCTGGCTTGTCATAATGTGTTTAAGCTAACTTCATTTTTTTTATTAACTCAAGTGGGGTTCATAGGACACAACACAAGGCAAACAAATTACATTCTGAGCTTAACGGACTGGATGATACATGGATGCCTCATATTCACTATAAGAATGAGAGTCTTACTTTATATTTTAAAACGAGTGGAGGAATATTGTCTCACATCCTTAAGCATTCCCAAATTTGCCTCTTTGTTTAGAGAAAAAATAATCATCATTTCCAATTCCTCATGATTTCAATTAAAAGTGCCTAACATCCTTAGTCCATCTAGCAATTACTAGGAATCTAAGAATTCTAACTCTGGAAGGTTATGACGAGGGACTTTTTTTACATTTATTTTGACCCTGCAAGGTTTACAGATTAACAGGAAGGATTACAAGCAGCAGGCAGAACCCAAATCAAGCCTCAGTTTGTGACCTCAGCTCAATAGTGTAATGCATTGTGATGTTGCGACAGGTCCGGTGGCAGGTATCATCTAACAAGTAGATGATACTCTACTCTACTGAATCATCTAGTGAGGTATCATCTAACAAGTAGAAGTAGGTATTTGTGTAAGGAGGACAAAGGAAGGCAGCCCTTGTAGGTAGGCTGCATTAACAGAGGGACAGAATCAAGATCATGAGAAGTGTTGGTATTCCTTTATAATGCCACACTTGGAATCCTGCGTCCAGTTTTGGTCACCACAATATAAAAAAAGATGTTGAGAGTCTAGAAAGAGTGCAGAGAAGAGCAACAAAGATGATTAGGGGACTGGAGGATAAAACATATGAAGAACGGTTGAAGTAATTGGATATGTCTAATTTGATGAAAGAGGGACGCGGTAGCTCAGTGGCTAAGATGCTGAGTTTATCAATCGAAAGGTCGTCAGTTCGGCGGTTCAAATCCCTAGTGCCGTGTAACGGGGTGAGCTCCCATTACTTGTCCCAGCTTCTGCCAACGTAGCAGTTCGAAAGCATGTAAAAAATGCAAGTAGAAAAATAGGGACCACCTTTGGTGGGAATGTCACAGCATTCTGTGCGCCTTTGGCGTTGAATCATGCCGGCCACATGACCATGGAGACGTCTTCAGACAGCGCTGGCTCTTCGGCTTTGAAACAGAGATGAGCACCGCCCCCTAGAGTCGGGAACGACTAGCACCTATGTGTGAGGGGAACCTTTACCTTTACTTTAATTTGACGAAAAGAAGGACTAGGGGTGACATGATAGCAGTCGTCCAATATCTAAGGAACTGCTACAATGAAGAGGGGTCAACCTATTTTTCAAAGCACCAGAAGCAACGGATGGAAACTAATCAAGGAGAGAAACAATTTATAACTAAGGAGAAATTTCCTGATAGTTAGAACAATTAATCCGGGGAACAAACTGCCTCCAGAAGTTGTGAATGCTCCAACACTGGAAAATTTTTAAGATGATGTTGGATAACCATTTGTCTGAAGTGGTGTAGGGTTTCCTGCCTAAGCAGGGGGTTGGACTAGAAGACCTCCCAGGTCCCTTCCAACTCTGTTATTCTGTTGATTCGCTTACAGACAAACATTCATTCTGGGTGCAATAAAGAAGGGGAATAATGAAGAATATTTCAGAAAGAAAGAGCAGTATCAACAATGGAGTGATGGAGCTGGTTAATATGGAAACCTACCTTAAGGAGGTTGGCAACAGCTGGTCTAACAACCCATAATCCCACGAAAAGCAATCTGAAGAAGAGAGATCTCATGGTATTCTGATCTAGGTGGAGTTCAGGATCCAGGGATCAAGACTGGCAATAGACAGAACATTCAGAGTCTCAGGGTTTTTTTGGTGTGAGAGTGGTGAAGATATATAGAGGTCCTGCCCATTTGGTCACCGCTGAGCAAGAAAAACCACAAGGACTGCCCAGTTCCCAAGACGTCACATCAGTCCAAGGAGGAAGAATGGAGGAGAAGGATAATTTTTTTTCTCCCCCGTTTTTGACTGGCATCTGGCTTGGCTTGGCCCCTTCTTGGCAACGGAATGGCACACCTCGTGGAGTGCTTTATTTTAAATGAGCCACGGCAACGAGCTTGGTGCTTTGCCAAACAGGTTGCTGCTGAAAAAGTACAAGGGGCCTTCCATTCGCAAGGAGGTGACACTTGATTTTAAAAAAAAAATGGAAGTCAGGGAAGAACTGTGGATTCTTTGATCGGGAGACTAGATTTTTTTTTTTCCAACTAAACTGCAAAAGGCAACCTTGGGATTTCTCTCCCACCCTCAGAAGATCTCAGTTAGCAAAGAAAAAAAAAGCGGTGTGGGGAAAGGGAACAAGGAGGAGGAGAAGATAGATAAGGAAGACAAGAAGGAGAAGGGGAAGGAGAAGGGGAAGGAGATGGAGGAGGAGGAGATAGATAAGAAGGAAGGAGGGGAAGGGGAAAGAGGAGGAGGAGGAGGAGAAGGGGAAGATAGATAAGGAGGACAAGAAGGGGAGGGAGAGGAGGAGGAGGAGGAGGAGGAAGAGATAGATAAGGAGGACAAGAAGGGGAAGGGAAGAAGGAGAAGATAAATAAGGACAAGAAGGGGAAGGGGAAGGAGGAGGAGGAGGAGAAAGAGGAGAGAGATAAGAAGAACAAGAAGGGGAAGGAGGAGAAGGGGAAGGAGGAGGAGAAGGAGAAAGAGAAGAGAGATAAGAAGGACAAGAAGAGCAAGGGGAAGGGGAAGGAGGAGGAGGAGGAGAAGGAGAAGAAGGAGAAGGAGAAGAGAGATAAGAAGGACAAGAAGAGGAAGGGGAAGGAGGAGAAGGAGAAGGAGAAGAAGGAGAAGGAGGAGAAGAGAGATAAGAAGGACAAGAAGAGGAAGGGGAAGGAGGAGGAGGAGAAGGAGAAGATAGATAAGGAGGACAAGAAGGGGAGGGGGAAAGGAGGAGGAGAAGGAAGAGGAGGAGGGGAGAAGGAGAAGATAAATAAGGAGGATGGGAAGGGGAAGGAGGAGGAAGAGGAGGAGGAGATAGATAAGGAGGAGAAGGAGAAGATAGATAAGGACGCCGGGAAGGGGAAGGAGGAGGAGGAGGAAGAGGAGGAGGAGGAGGAGAAGATAGATAAGGAGGACAAGAAAAAGGGGAAGGAGAAGGGGAAGGAAAAGAAGGAGCCATCATGAGATCAGGGCTCATTCCCTCCATCTTTTTTTTTCTTTGTGTGAGAATTTTGCCTCCCTGCCTCATAAGTGCTCATGCGCCCAAAAGCTTCTGCCACAAAATGAGTATATCTGATCACTGCCATGTCAAAATAACAGACACCAAGATGGTAAGAAGATTTGCTCTTTCAAAGAACATCTCAAAACTATTCACAAGAAGGCCGACAGAAGCTGGCCCATAGAATGGAGCCTAGAATAACCCAAGAAGCTGAATTTCCATATGTTGAGCCCCACCCCACCCCCCCGCAAATTTTACTGAGGTAAAGCAGAACCCGGTTGACTTGATCTAACTAAGGATGACGAAGGAACGTAGCCTCCAAACGTGTGAGAATTGGAGGGAAAAATAAGTCACTTCTCCAGCGCCACAGATTCTTAGTAATGAATTTGTGGGCGCTTCCTTCACACAAATTGTCTTACATTACCTCCGAGAGGGCTTTGTGTTCTCAGAACTTTGCTGAACCTTGGCAGACAGTGGGCGCTTTCCTTCCCCAGCTGGCACTTGGCAAACTCCTTCCCAAAGTTTCATTTAGAGGTAATTAGAGAGAAGCCTTCTCTTTGGAGACGTTGGACAATGAGCGTCTTGCCAAGGGAACACCCAGCCGCCTATAAATAGCTGAGAAGGAAGTTCTGACACGGTCTGGTTCCCGATTCTTTATCATGGTTCTCCATGAAAAGCCAGTGGTTTACAAAGCAACTCCCCACTTTTCCAAAAAAGGGAGCTCCTGTTTGCCTCGTGTACCAACAACTCAACAAAAGTAGGAATTGTTGCATCGCACCTTACAAAAATGATGTGGCACTTAGGTCATCAATGTCCAATTGAAGGCATTGTTGTGTCCTAGGCTTACGGAGTCATTACAAGACACAATTAGTCCCATACAAACCTATTTTATTGTAACTGCTGAGAATTACGTTCATTCCCAGCTGAGTCCCAATTAGTTGCCAAAAACAAGTCCTTCGGAAGAAGTCCTTCAGGATAATCACCAACCTTTATCTTCTTTGACACTTTGCCAAAGGCCTTACTTGGCAAAGCCCCATGAAGTTCAGAAACAAACAAGAGATGCCAACTGGAAACAGAGTTAACAACGTTGCTTTCCTGCAAAAAGGCCCAAATGCCTCTGTTTCTCTTTTAAGCCTTATGGGAGGGGCCAATCATCTCCTGGCCTTACTACCGAGTTGTCCCTTTTGCTTTAGCTGCCCTTGCCTTCTGGCAGCTCTGCGCATGCTTGCACTAGGAACAGGCTCCTCCTGTTCCTCTGCCTCTCTGCTGTCCGACTCTGGGGGCTCCGGAGTCCATGCATCACTCCCAGATGGCCTTGGCCCAATCTTTGCCTCCGATGCAGAGCCCTCGTCCAGGCCTTCCCCTGACTCTAGGACTGGCCCATGTTCCTCCCCAGCCTCCTCACTGTCTGATTCCGCTGCCAGCTCCGCAGGCTGCTGGCGGACCACAACAGGCATACTGTCTTTTCTAGGACCTGCTGATGAGTGAGACAGGGATAAAGAGATTGACATGTTGTCATGTATTCAAGTATTCCAGTACAACTAAGATCATGGCATCCGGCCCTCTCAATTCCTGGCAAATAGATGGGGAAGAAATGGAGGGAGTGACAGATTTTATTTCCCTGGGCTCCAAATCACTGCAGATGGGAACTGCAGCCAAGAAATTAAAAGACGCTTGCTCCTGGGGAGGAAAGCTATGGCAAATCTAGACAGCATACTAAAATGCAGAGACATCACCCTGCCAACAAAAGTGCATATAGTCAAGGCTATGGTGTTCCCAGTTGCAATGGATGGCTCTGAAAGTTGGACCATAAGGAAGGCTGAGCGCCAAAGAATGGAGGCCTTTGAACTCTGGTGCTGGAGAAGACTCCTGCGAGTCCCTTGGACTGCAAAGCGATCCAACCTGAGCGGGGTGGGGGCATCGGGGGGTGGGGTGGGCTAGAAGACCTCCAAGATCCCTTCCAACTCTTATCCTTCTGCAATTTTGAAACCCTAACCCTAATCCCCTCCCCTTTATCATACAAAGGGAGATGAATTTCGTTAGGAACATAGACTAACCTAAAACCTATTTTATTTTTTATTTCTTTTGCTTTTCTGCACGGAAATTGAAATGACGAACCTTACCAAACCAAACCAGAAATAAAATAATAAGTTTTAAAAACCAGATCGGGAGCCTGCTGGGCATGAAAAGCCGCTTCTCGTTAATTCCACAAGTCCAGAGACAGTAACCTCCCCTCTGATTCGGAACAAATTTCTTACCACTGTGGCTATTTAAAAAAAAAAAAGAAAGAAAGAAAGGAGGAAGAAAGGAAGGAAGGAAGAAACCCTAGTATCATTTTCAAAAAGCTCCAAATTAAAAGCAGAATAGGGAAGAACAGGAGCCTAAGGAGGCAGGGAAAAGCAGGGGCATCCACAGTTCATGTCTTACTCTGCAAAAACCAACAGAAAGTATCTAAAAATATACATATTTTTTTTTAAAAAAAATATGTGCTTACTGAAATCACGAGGCGCAAGATGACGTCAAAGTTGGCAAGGAATAGTCCCTTGGTGGCCAAGCAGCCAACTTTCAAAAGGCTGCAGTTGACTCCATCCTGGCCAAAAGAAAGTCCACCAGAATCCCGATAGGATAAAGCTAGTTTATCTAGAAAGGTGGAAGGGATGGGAAGAAAGAAAGAAAGAAAGAAAGAAAGAAAGGAAGGAAGGAAGGAAGGAAGGAAGGAAGGAAGGAAGGAAGAAGGAAGGAAGGAAGGAAGGAAGGAAGGAAGGAAGGAAGAAAGAAAGAAAGAAAGAAAGAAAAGAAAGGAGAGTTTAACAGATTAACAGAGTTGGAAGGGACATCGTAGGGCATCTAGTCCTACCCAGTGGTAAAATCCAATTTTTTTTTACTACTGGTTCTGTGGGTGTGGCTTGGTGGGCGTGGTATGGCAGGGGAAGGATACTGCAAAATCCCCATTCCCACTGCACTCCAGGGGAAGGATATTGCAAACTTCCCATTCCCTCCCCATTCCTGGGGGAAGGATATTGCAAAATCTTCACTCCCTCCCCACTCTGGGGCCAGCCAGAGGTGGCATTTGCCGGTTCTCCGAATTACTCAAAATTTCCGCTACCGGTTCTCCAGAACCTGTCAGAACCTGCTGCATTTCACCCCTGGTCCAACCCCCACCCAAGCAGGAGACCCTACACCATTTCTGACAGATGGCAGTCCAGGCTCTTCTTGAAAGCTTCCAGGGATGAAGCTCCCACAACTTCCGAAGGCAACTTCTGTTCCATGGGTTGATTGCTCTCTCACTGCCAGAAAATTATTTCCAGGTTGAATCTCTCAAGAGAATTGCAGGGCAAGAAGTCATAGGGGGAAAAAAAAACCCCATGCTTTGCCCTTCAAGAATCGAACCATGTTTGAGCAGAGGGTTGGACTAGGAGACCTCCAAGGTCTCTTCCAACTCTGTTATTCCGTTAAAAACATGGGAGATTTATAAGAAGAGATTGGACAGCCATTTGTCTGAAATGGGATATAAGGTCTCTCGCCTAAGCAGAGGGTTGGACTAGAAGACCTCCAAAGTCCCTTCCAACTCTGTTATTCTGATGTTCGTGCACCCCCACGCCCACCACCTCACCTGCGGGCAGCGGGGAATCTGCGTCCCGGTTCTCTCCATCCAGCTGCATCCACATGTCCCGGGACCCCAAAAGGAGGAGAGGGGACAGGAGTGCCAGCAACATTGCCGGCTTTGCGCGGACTGAAGTGGGAGTAGGTCTGGCGCCTGCTGCAGGCAGCTGTTGCGCGCCTTGCAGTATGAGCTCGGGCAGGCGCAGAAAAGGTTAATGGGGGCTGCTCCCCCCGCCTTCTTATTGGGGAGTGGGCACCGACCATGTGCTTAAGGTGAACGTGAGACAAGGAGCTGCGCCTCTGGTTGACAGAAAGGCAGCTAGCTCCCCCAATGTCTGGGACGAGAAGAAGGGAATGGGGGGAGAAATCAGGCTCAGTTGCTGCTTAATCCTGGTTTAAATAAACCACAATGGGTGGACTCAGCAGACACTGGGAATACCATAGATGAAGTCACACTAGGTTTTAACCAAGGTGATGTTGGATGCAATTGTGATCAATGTATCAGGATCAACCGACGATAGATGTGATCCATTTTTAGGATCAACTGGGGATGCTAGATGTGATCAGTTTCGCAGGACTATGGAGCAAGCATTGTGTTCTTCCCACGATGGTTGATGGAATAAGCCACAATTGATTGGGCTGTTGATGCAATATGCTAAATTATAGACTTACTTCCGATAAGAGCATGTTTGTAGCTCAGGGTTGAACTGTGGGGTCCTTGGTGCTCTCTGAACTTGGGTTGTTTCTTCCAGACGTTTCATGACCCAAGTAGGTAACACCATCAGTGCATTCTCAGATTGTTCTTATCCCATTCACATCCCTACTTAATTGTTTCATCATTCAGGTGGACTCACTCACTCCAGCAAAGAATGTACAATAAATATTCTCACATGTTGGTTACTTGTGAACCAGTAAAACACTGCTCTGCGCACGCCCAGCCAGCCATGCTACACTTCCCAGATTTTGCTCATCGCCATCTCTTGCACGCTTTTCGTCGCAATAATGCAATATCGGGTTTTCCAGTCAATCGTATAGAATGTGAAGGATGTGTGCTTGTGTTTTATTTTGATAGTTATAACGTACACTGAAGATGGCATCTAATTTCGTTGGACGAGGAGCAATGACAATAAAGTAAATTTAACAATCCTGCATACTTAGCTATAGCTTCACTAAGCTATGGATTTGGCATCTGTGCAAGGGCCGTGAACTGCACCTGTGGAGTGACCAGCCTGAAAGTGTTCTTCACAGAGGCCTTCACCATGGAAACTTACCCTCATGATGTTGGTTGGTTGATCAGGAGCTTAGAAACTAAAATATATGAAGAATGATTGAAGGAATTGGGAGTGAAATCCAGCAGGTTCTGACAGGTTCTGGAGAACCGGTAGCGGAAATTTTGAGTAGTTCGGAGAACTGGCAAATACCACCTCTGGCTGGCCCCAGAGTGGGGTGGGAATGGGGATTTTGCAATATCCTTCCCCTGGAGTGGGGAGAGAATGGGGATTTTGCAGCATCCTTCCCCTGCCATGCCCACCAAGCCACGCCCACAGAACCGGTAGTAAAAAAATTTGGATTTCACCACTGCCTTGTTTAGTGAAATGAAGGACCAGGGGTGACACGACAGCAGTCTTCCAATATTTGAGAGGCTGCCACAAAGAGGGAAGGGGGTCAAGCTATTCTCCAAAGCACCTGAAGGCAGGACAAGAAGCAACGGGTGGAAACTAACCAAGGAGAGAAGCAACTTAGAACTAAGGAGAAATTTCCTGACAGTTAGAACAATTAATCAGTGGAACAACTTGTCTGCAGAAGTTGTGAATGCTCCAATACTGGAAATTTTTAAGAAGAGATTAAACAACAGTTTGGAATGATATAGGATTTCCTGCCTGAGCAGGGGGTTGGACTAGAAGACCTCTAAGATCCCTTCCAGCTGTGTTATTCTGTTTTCTTTTATCTGTTTTCCATTCATCAGCTTGGAAGGTGAATCTATCTTCGAATACCTTTCTTTTTTTAGGATTTATAGTTTCTCTTCCTGCGGTCATTATAATTTCACTGTGCTCTTCCCCTCTCCCCCGTCTAATAAAGGCCATATTGAACAAAAAAAAAATGTAGCCTCTAATTTTGTTTGTAATTCTGTTATGAATAAATCTGAACTTCAAGTACATTTCTTCCACCAATATAATAATTGTCAACCTTGGAGCAAACATCTTTGAGGCTTCATGGTTGCCACAAGGCAGACTGTGGAGAAAGGGAGGGGAAAAATTAGATTGCTCGGCTTTGCCGTCAAAATACACAGTTTTTCTTGTGGGAACCAAGGTCATTCCAACAGGTGACTGAGAAGAGGAGGAGTGGAGTAACCAGGCAACCTACCAGCACCACTGTTGGACAATGTGACCGATGACCTGGGAGGAAGCGGGAACTTTTGCTTTTTAATCGGTTTTCACCAGTTGTGCCAATATGATGTATCCAGTAATTTGTTCTTTGAGGAATCTACCTGCTTCGGAGTTCTCCTTTCAATGAGTGTATTACTTGGAACGCTGACAATAATTTTCACATATTCTTCATTTACTTACCTCTCATTCTTAAACCTTGCGTGCCACACAATAAATTTGCTGTTGAGTTCACACCCGATTAATTAAATCTCTCTCTTTCTTTCTTTTTTTTTTTTTCCTAAGGGTTTATTTAAATTCAAGGACTTTGCTTCATACAAAATGTAATTGTAGAAACAATGGCAGAATCCAAAGTTTGGCTGATAAATATGATTCAGGCAGCAAGTCATTCAATCACAGATTTTTTTTTTTTAAATTTTCCCAGCCCCCTTCTTAAAAGTTCCATTTATGTTGCATTTTGGAACTTTTCTGTGGGTTTTTTTTTTAACACTGCTTTTTTTTTAATATAAACTTTTTGCAACAAACCCCCGATTGATATCAAATATAATTAAAAATTAACAACAGGTGAATACATTGTATCAAAAAAGTACGAAGATAAACATTTTCCTCCATGCACCTTATATATATATATAGTCTGTGCTATATATATATAGAGGTTGGTATATATTTATATTTTATGTATATATTTTACATGCAAACGTTACTTATTCAAAGTATAGCCACCACTAGACTGATTTTGGATGCAAAAAAGAAAAATGATGGGTGCATTTTATGTTTTGGCAACTCGCTAGAAGAATTTAGGGAAACCTCTGAGCCCTGAACTTCTGGTGTCTTCGTTGACCTGCCTGTGGTATTATCTGAACAGTTCAGAAGGGGTTTACTGTTGACTTCTTTTGAGCTGGCCTTCAATTTTTTTTGTGTGGCTTGCACAACCCTGGATTTTTCTGGTGCTCGCTTGTGCAAATACTAACCAGCTCCCACTTGGATTACAATTTTTTTTCCCGACATCCTCTAAGGTTGGCTAAGTATTGCCATTTGCTTAAGAATGACCTCAATGTAAGGGTGAAGACTATCTCAAGGGCAACCTCAAGGAAAGTCTGAAGATTATCTCAAGGGCAACCTTCAAAGAAAGACTGAAGACTATCTCAAGGTCAACCTTCAAGGAAAGACCAAATATGATCTCAAGGTCAACCTTCAAGGAAAAACCAAAGACGATCTCAAGGTCAACCTTCAAGGAAAGACCAAAGACGATCTCAAGGTCAACCTTCAAGGAAAGACCAAAGACGATCTCAAGGTCAACCTTCAAGGAAAGACCAAAGACAATCTCAAGGTCAACCTTCAAGGAAAGACCAAAGACGATCTCAAGGGTAACCTAAAGGAAAGACTGAAGACTACCTCAAGTAAAAATTGCCTGGTGAAAGGCAGGTTGATGACCCAACTTTGCTCAATGATGCAATTCTCCCACTTAGCATGTGAATTCTCAGCAACCTCCACTCTCTGTTGGTGACTGTAGTCTGTAGCTTCCTTCAACACTTGATAAACCCACTTTGGGGGAAGTGCCTGCTCGTTTGGTCCCAAGTGGTCCCAAGTCTTTGAAAGTCCTCCCTTCATGGTCACCACCATCTCTAGAAGGGAACCTCATTTGCGATGAGCTCGATTTGAGATAACACGTGCATCGAAAAGAGAGCTGGGTGGATTCTCCAAACCAGTGGAAAGCCAGTTACCAAAAGCCACTACTACATGCATTTCAACAGTGGCAATATTTGTGATCATCCTTCCCCCCACCCCAACATCTCCCAGAGACATCACCTCCCAAATATCGTCAATCAATTATCCAAACTTGTAATTTAGCAGCTGCGAATGCCACTTACAATTGGACAGGGTGGTTGCATCATACTGGTTTAATAAGAAAAACGGGAACGCAGGACAGCGGTTACAGAATAAAACCAACCAACCAACCCCATGCACAAAATTGGGAGAAAACAGATTTTTCCCGGCGAGTTTGTTCTCCGTATCTTGGATTTTTTTTTTCTAAAACAACTCCCCTTCCTTTTTTTATTATTCTTATTTTGTGTGTTTTTTTTAAATGGTTTTCCCCAAGAAAGTATTTGTGCCTTCCTATTGGTAAAAGGTAGAAAAGATTTGGTCACAGTCATGCTTTTGCTTGGAAGAAGGAAAGGAAAACGTCAACTTGGTTAAGTTGTAAAATAACATGATGGTCTTGTATGGCTTGATGGATTTCGCTCCCATTCTTCGACTGGAGTTATGAAAAAAAAGTACCGCTATCGTTGCATAGCCCTAGTTTTATTTTGTTGCATTTTTTAAAGAATCGTATTTTTTTTTAGAAAGAAAAAAGATAACGCAGCGTCCACCCGAGAAGGACGAACTATTCTCGGTGAATCGGTTTCCTGCATGTATCCTCCATTTTTTAAAAAAGTTATCTCCATCAAGCCAACCTATTCTTCACCCCGGACAAGAGAACACCAGTGGTGGGATTCAAATAATTTAACAACCAATTCTCTGCCCTAATGGCCAGCTGGGTAGGCATGGTTTGGTGGTCATGTGACCGTGTGGGCATGGCCAACTCAACGTCACTCATGTCGATCGGTGCTTCGCTTTAGCTGTTACAATGTAACAAGAGTTAACCAGAGAGGCAGTTTCTGTAAGCAGGGCAATAAAGATTAGGCTAGAAACAACGCCAGAATGTTTCCTTCCTTACAGGATTAGCCCTGTAAAGTGGGAAAAAACAAAAGGAGATTTCTTCCAACAACCGGTTCTCCGAACTGCTTAGAAAGTTAACAACCGGTTCTCCCGAATAGGTGCGAACCGGCTGAATCCCACCACTGGAGAACACCATACGACTTGCCTAGGCTAATTTGTATGCCAAAATGCAAATTTAGAAAGAGCCGCTTGCATGTTAAATAGAGTTTCCCTACAAGTGGTCCTCAACTTAACACCCATTTATTTAGTGACCGTTTGAAGTGACAACAGCACTGGAAAGAGGATGATGTACGACAATTGTGGCATCCTCGTGATCACGTGACCAAAATTCAAAGGCTCGGCAACTGGCATGTACTTATGACAGTTGCTCCGTACTAGGATCATGTGATCAACTGTTGTAACCTTCCCAGCCAGTTTCTGACAAGCAAAGTCCAAAGGGAAAGCCAGATTCACTTAAGGACCGCAAGAGTCAGACACCCCCCACAGCGATTCGCTTAACAATGGTGGCAGAAAGATGTCATGAAACTTAAGACTCTCTTAACAACTGCCTTGCTCAGCAGTGGAAATTTCGAACTCAGCTGTGGTCTTAAGTTGAGGACTAGTTCCCACGCTAAAGGGGTAACTATTACCGTAGAAAAAAACATTTGTTGCCCTGGGTGCTAATTCTGGCAGTTCTGAAGATGCCCTCATATTATTATTTTTTTATGCTTAATGACATCCAACATTTCAGCTGCACTTCTGTTGGGACGGCTCAATCGGAAGACTCTTAGGCCTAAAGTAAAATTAATAGTGCTCCTGTTTACGTGTTCAAAAGGTGGCGGATTAATAAAAGAGAAAGATGTTACACACGCATGCATCCATACACAAACACGCAATCTAGGGATGAGATTACTTGGAGATCAGAATCTGGAAAACGCAGTTTTTAAAAGAGAGAGGCGCATCTTTCTGAGATGCTTCAACTTGAATTCCCAAAAGTTGGTGTCTATGCCTTTTTTCCCCCAAGTTGTGGTCATAAGTCGAAGGATTACCTGTACAGGATTTCCAGAAGATTTACGAATTCAAATCCCACTGCTTTAAGTGGGAGAAGAAGAATTTTGAAGTCCGAGATACCCAGCTTTCTATTTTTAAAAATGTGTTCGCTTAAAAACCTCTGACTCACAAGCGTCCAAGGGATAGCTTTAAAAGCAAAATGTTGTATTTTCTTGTCTTTCCAAAAAAACAACAACACATTTTCCCAGTTCAAGAATTAAACTACTTTTTTACGGTCTCTTTGTATATTCTGTGCGCCTGGTCTGTGTTCTCTGTGTTAAGTGGTTAAGCTTTTCCTTTGCAGCCGATTTTTGCTAAATAATAATAATAATAATAATAATAATAATAATAATAATAATAATAATAATAATAATAATAATAATAATATTTCCCCCTTAGGTTGAGATTCATTCCTCCCGTTGCAAAAAAACTCTCCCCTTGCTTCTCTGTGGCTATTTGGATCAAGTATTAAAGGAGATATAAAATACTGCCTTAATGCAAAAAATTGCAAGCTTTTTCCGCCCGGGTACATGGGATTATAGCAACACCTAGTGACAATTTAAAGTTATTAACTAATAATCATAATAATAAAAAGATATTAGCCTTAGATGCTAATTTGCAACTGCCTTTTAAAGCATGCCACAGTAGCACTTGCTGGGATGGGCAGGGAACTGATTTAAAACACATAAAGTGCTAAAAAGAAATGTGGGACATGCTTAATTTTTGCAAAGTTTTATTCTGTTTCTCGGGCTGGGTGGCTTTTTAGAGGTTTGCTGACGGAGAAACAACTATTTTTTTTTTCCCTTCCCCATCCCATCTTATTTTTCCAGTCCTGTGCAAGCAGTTCTCGACTTAAAACCATTCGTTTAGTGACTGTCCAAAATGACAACAGCACTGAAAAAAAAAGCGACGTATGTTTTTCGCGTTTACGACTTTTGGAACGTCGTGGCCACGTGATCAAAACTCAGTCGTAAAAGGGGACAAGACTCACTTAACAACCGCCTCGCTTAGCAACAGAAACGTGGGGCTCAATAGTGGCCGTAAGTCGAGGACTAGCTGTCTCTTAAAAAGATTCTGCTTTCAAAGCTACACGGGACACTTTCTCCTGGAACTGAAGTGCAAGCTAGATATAAAATGAAACACACTTTTGTGTCTAGCTTTATAAAGTTGTGTGTGTGTGTGTGTGTGTGGGTCTTTCATGCAAGGGGTTCCAACTTTTTTTGTGCGGGGGACAGAGGTTATTATACTTAATTGTATTTGCTGCAGGCAAGGGTTTGCCCCTTAGTTTCGATGGTGCAGATCATGGCTTCTTAAAAGCTATGGTTTGGCCTGGGAGTCAACTCCTGGTCTGGAAAACCAAGAACAGGAATAGCTAAATGTCTATGGAGATTCTCAGTCATCCAGGTTAGGATTGTCCCCAAAAGTGCTTTTCCAAGAGGCAACTGGACTTTCTTGCTTTTTCTTTGAAGACATTTTGCTTCTCTGAAGAAGCTTTTTGGATGAGAAGTGAAACGTTTTCAAAGAAAAAGCAGAAAGTGCAGTTGCTTCTTGAAAAAAAAAAAACACCTTTGGGACAAAGAACGGGAATCTTTTTTTCCAATTTCAGATGGAAATTGTTCCCCATAACTAGGAATAACCTCCGGATTATGGTAGAGGGTTGTTTTTTTTTTTTTTTGGCTTTTAAATGCTCTCCAAATATTCTTCCCTTCCCTCTTTTCCCCCACCGCCGTTCAGATGAAAGCTGGATTTACAAGCAAGGGTTACTTTCAAAGATGAAAATACCCTGTTTCCCCGAAAATAAAACCCAACCGGAAAATAAGCCCTAGCATGATTTTTTTTCAGGATGCTCGTAATATAAGCCCTATCCCCCAAAATAAGCCCCAGTTAAGACTGTCAGCCAGACAGATGCATTTAGCCTGACTAGGTGGCTCGGTGGGTAAGACATTGAGATAGTCGATCAGAAAGGTCGGAAGTTTGGCAGTTCAAATCCCTAGTTCAGGTCTCCTGCGTGAGCAGGGGGTTGGGCTAGATGACCTCCAAGATCCCTTCCAACTCTGTTACTGTTATTTAGTACCGTATTTCCCCCAAAATAAGACCTAACTGGAAAATAAGCCCTAATGCATCTTTCGGAGCAAAAATTAATATAAGACCTGGTCTTATTATCGGGGAAACACGGTAACTGTAGGACTCTGTCCTTCTAATAGCAAATTCCTCCTGGGGTGCCTTCACATGTTACACTCAGAGCCGCCCTGAGTCTTCGGAGATGAGCGGCATATAAATTTAATTAATTAAATTTAATTAATTAAATTTTTAAAAGTATTTTAAGCTATGTGGAAAGTGTCGTGTCAAACAGAGACTCTTGCTCTGTTTTCCCCCCCACCGGTTCCCTTCTGACAATTATTTTGGCTCTGTTCCTTCTTTCTTCTTAACCTCCTCCATGCCCAGAACCTCAGCTGCTTTGGGCTGAACCAGGGGTGAAATCCAGCAGGTTCTAACAGGTTCTGGAGAACCGATTGCAGAAATTTTGAATAGTTTGCAGAACTGGCAAATACCACCTCTGGATAGCCCTAGAGTGTGGTGGGAATCAGTGGTGGGTTGTCCCCGGTTCTATAGAACCGGTAGTAAAACCGGCGGGAGGCTCCGCCCACCGACCCCGATGTCATCAAAATGCTTCTGCGCATGTGCAGAAGAGAGTGCGCATGAGCAAAGCGAGTGTGCACACGTGGCCCCATTGTGAACTAGTAGTAAAGGTAAGTAGAACCCATCCCTAGTAGGAATGGAGATTTTGTAATATCCTTCCCCTGCCATGGCCACCACGCCACACCCACAGAACCGGTAGGGAAAAATTTTGGATTTCATCCCTGGGTGAAATGCTACCGGTTCAGAACGGTTCGACTGAACCGGTGGCGGTGGGTGATTTGGAGAACTGGTAGTGGCAGCAGCGCAAGTCTCCGCCCACTCGTCCGGATGTTGCTACTTCCTGGTTTTAACCAGGAAGTAGCCTTTTTTTCACCCAAAGCAGAAGGCTTTGAGCATCTGCAGAGGGTCCAAAATCAAATGTGACGCAGAACGCGCACTTCCAAACCGGTAGGGAAGTAAGTAGATTTCACCCCTGGGCTGAACGTCAATGAAATGGGTCCTATCTTCCAAAGCAGCGGTTTGGCATCTTTTCAAAGCAAAGGTTTGGCTCCCTAGCGAAACTACCTTCCTGAATTCAGAACCAGCGCACGCATGCACACTAAACCCCGTGCGTGCAGGACATTAAAAAATATATATATAAAAACCACGCAGACACAGACAGACAAGCATACAGACCCAAAACGGGGGTTGAGAAATAAAAAAAATAAAAAATAAAAACGGAATCTCATCCCTGAGAATCGGAATTAACTCCAACCAAATGTCTGGGTGAAGGATTTGCCCCCCCCCACCCCACAACATCCCGTCCCGAGGCCGCTCCCGAGATTCAGTCTCCAAGACACGGATTTCAATCCAAAGAGCTGAATGAAGCACTCCTTTCCCCCTTTTTGCTTCTATTGAGTTTTGCAAAAGCATCCATCCTGAGGCAGAAGGCTTCTTTCTTGTGTAGGGTCTCCTGCTTAAGCAGGGGCAGGGGGTTGGACTAGATGACCTATAAGGTCCCTCCCAACTCTGTTCATCTGTTGTACACCTTCCAGGACCCATCAAACATCCTAAAACAAAACCTGAACTTATTTTATTTGATATTCTAAAATCGTTCTCTGGCCTCGTGTGAAGTGAAAAGATCAAATCGAGCTCTGGGTGACGTTGAGAGCCCACTAAAAGCTATGCCAGAAGATCAAAGAAGCTTCTCTCCTCAAGACTCCCTCCTGCTTCTTACTCTATTCTATTTCGGGGGAGATGGGGGAATACAAACACAACTGCATCGTTGCCACAAGAGGTTCCCAAAGATTAGGCACTTAGAAGTAAAGAACGGGCGCCTTCAGGAAGGAGAAAAAAACAAACCTTGGAATGGCCAGTAGACGAGTTCTCCACTGGGAAGGACTCTCCACATTTTGGCTGTGTTCTTGTCTTGCTTTCTTTCGCTATACAGTTTAACCCCACCCACCCCAGAAAGTGGACACAATGAAAAGGAAAAGTTTATCCAACAGCTCAATATAAAACACAACAGTTCTGCCCACCCCACCCTCCTCCTCCTCCTCCTCCTCCTCTTTCTCCTCCTCCTCCTCTTCCTCCTCCTCGTCCTTTGTCTTCTCTTCTTCATCCCCCTCCTCAGCTCGGATTTGTAAACAAGATGTAAATTTAAGATAGGGGCCACCAACTCTTTTGTCCGAGGAGAAGAGTTCGACATCAAGAATGAGATTCAAGATGTTGTCCTTGCCCAAAAAAACCTCTCCTCTCTTTGAAGGGCTTTTTCCAAAAACGCTGGTGGGAAGGACTCACAAAAAAAACAAAACGTGGAGACCAAAGGATGGACCAAGAAGTTGGGCGTAGCCGTATGGTGCTCGGATCCATTGGAAGTTTTCCATGCCTGGCTCGGTTGATAAGGGGTCACCGTTGGCCAAGGGTTGAGAAGATCCATCTGGATAAACTCTCTTCTTAAAACGTGGACACAATAAAACATAGGTTGGTGTTCTTTGTACATCAGGGTGATTATTTTTTTTTAATTTTCTTTTGTCTTCCACACCTGCTAACCCCCAACTGTGTAGATTTCCAGTCTTTTAGTCTAGGGTTTTCTCTCTGGGCTTTTGTTGTAGCCTCGTTAACTTGGGGTGGAAGGTGGTATCTCCCATGACATGGCAACAGGGAGCAGAACAGAAGGACGCCTGCTCTACTCGGACCCTCTGAACCAGGTGCCTTTCCTGATGGATCAATAGCTCTTCTAGTGCAAAAGAGGAAACCGGGGACAGAGAGGGACCAGGCGTCGTGGGGTCCATGGACCTAGGACCATTTTGGCAAGGCTGTTCCACAAAGAGGCAGCTGCTTTGTATCTTCTTTCCCCACCACCCCCCAGCAGCCTTGATGTCACAGGGCTGGATGCAAAGACATAAGCACGTCAACGTGGCGGTTGTCCGGATGATAAAACTCATCGAACCTCCAGTGTGCAACTTGGTTCTTGTCCTGCTAGCACCAATCATCTTCGTCTCGCTCGTGGTAATAGCTACGCGCCCTAGTGCTGGTGCCAGAGCCGGCATTTAGTCCCAAGACATAATGGTACCCATTGGGAACTCGGCGGATTTGATGGGACTGGGATGTTAGAGAGGAGACATAAGAGGTCCGGGAGGATCTCCCTGAATTGGTGGCCACTGCCTCCTCAAAGGTGAGCGTGTCCTCAGGCATCATATGGTATGAACTGTCACTCTCTTCTCGGTGTCCCAGGTAAGGGTCCGAACCGATGCGTGCCATCAGGGTTGGTGAGGGTCCCTGGGAGTCGCCATGCAGCAAAGCATTGTGCTCAGAGAGACCCCGGCTCAAGCGTCCCGGGGAGAAAGTTGGCAGGCCGGTCTGGAACCCAGAGAAATGCACAGGCGAGGAGTTGGCAGTCTTGTAGGTAATGCTGGGGCGTGGAGTCAGCGGAGTTTGCGGCAACTGCCTCCGACCACGGCATGGGGTGCTAGCACCAGAGGTCAACAGCAGGGGGCTCCCGTTAACTGAACCACTGCCCTACATGAAGATTGGAAGAAAGTAAATAAACAAAACAAAAACCAGGAGGAGGAGGAGAAGGAAGATATGGAGAAGGAGAAGGAAGATATCGAGAATGAGGAGAAGGAACAGAAGGAACAGAAAGATATGGAGGAGGAGGAGGAGGAGGAGGAGGAGGAGAAAGAAGACTTAGAGAAGGAGGAGATGGAGGAGGAGGAGGAGAAGGAAAAGGAAGAGAAGGAGAAGAGAAGAAGGAAGAGAAGGAGAAGGAAGATATGGAGAAGGAGGAGATGGAGGAGGAGGAAAAGGAGGAGAAGGAGAAGGAAGATATGGAGAAGGAGAAGGAAGATATCGAGAATGAGGAGAAGGAACAGAAGGAACAGAAAGATATGGAGGAGGAGGAGGAGAAAGAAGACTTAGAGAAGGAGGAGATGGAGGAGGAGGAGGAGGAGAAGGAAAAGGAAGAGAAGGAGAAGAGAAGAAGGAAGAGAAGGAGAAGGAAGATATGGAGGAGGAGATGGAGAAAGAAGACATGGAGAAGAAGGAGAAGGAGAAGGAAGAGAAGGAGGAGAAGGAGGAGAAGGAAGATATGGAGAAGGAGAAGGAAGACATGGAGAAGGAGAAGAAGGAGAAGAAGAAGGACAGCGAGGAACAGTAAGAATACCAGACAAACACAGTCACATGTTGGAGTAGAGTGGCAAAACGCAATGGACAGAAGAATGAATGATACGAACAGGGGAATGTATCATAGGATAAAAAACAAAAAACAAAACAAAAAGGGGAAAGAGAGAGTTTAGACACGCACAGTCAAGGACAGGGAGACTGCTCCAGAACCATTTGAACAGAGGGAGGGATAGAGGAAATCAACTGGGAGGAGAAAGCATTCCAAATAAAGACAACCAGTAAGACAATACTGGGGAAGCAGACAACCTAGTAGACCAGAGAGCCAAGTGATCCACCTTGAAAATTCAGGAGATCCACTGCATGCTTCTAGATCAACGTCAAGTCCTTTCAGACTTGCAAGATTCTATTCAATGTAGCCTTACAGTAAGTTAAAATTAGCGAATCTGGTCACGATTCTTCTCTGATCTACTTGGAAAGGCTACCATGTTGCCTTCACTTTCTGGGGATGTTTGAGTCCAATCACAACCAAAGGCCGGCCACATTGATCAGGGGTCCTAGGGAACCCCCTTTCTCATCCCTTCTCTCTCTCTCTCTCTCTCTCTCTCCGCCCTCCATCTCCCATTCTCACCTGTTTCTGTGTCTCGTGGTCCAGCCCTCCACCAGGAGACGGAGGCCTACTGCACTCAGAGGACTTGGGCTGAGAATGGTCCCGACTCCCGTAGCGGTCGCAGGAGTAAAAGCGTTGCTTTTCAGAGGAAGAGGAAGAATGGACTTTCCGTTCCTGGGACCGGCCCCGCTCCTGCCTTTTGGACTTGGAGGTGGCTTCTCCTGCTGAGAAGACAATAAGACGACTCAGGAACTGTCTGTTGTGGTCCGCAAGCAGCCTGCAGAGTTGGCAGCGGAGTCAGACAGTGAGGAGGCTGGGGAGGAATATGTGCCAGTCCTGGAGTCTGGGGAAGGCCCGGACAAGGGCTCTGCATCGGAGGCAGAGATGGGGCCAGGGCCATCTGGGAGTGACGCGCAGACTCTGGAGCCCCCAGAATCGGACAGCAGAGAAGCAGAGGAACAGGAGGAGCCTGTTCCTAGTACATGCATGCGCAGAGCTACCAGAAGACAAGAGCAGCTAAAGCAAAAGGGACGACTCGGGAGTAAGGCCAGGAGATGATTGTCCCCTCCCATAAGGCTTAAAAGAGAAACAAAGGCACTTGGGCCTTTTGCAGGAAAGCAACGTTACTAACTCTGTTTCCAGTCGGCATCTCTTGTTTCTTTCTGAACTTCGTGGGGCTTTGCCAAGTAAGGCCTTTGGTAGGGTGTCAAAGAAGATAAAGGTTGGTGATTATCCTGAAGGACTTCTTCCGAAGGACTTGTTTTGCAACTAATTGGGACTCAGCTGGGAATGAATGTAATTCTCAGCTGTTACAATAAAATAGGTTTATTTGGGACTAATTGTGTCTTGTAATAACTCAGTAAGGCTAGGTCACAACACTGTCCTCCTTGAAGGCATTGTATGTAATTGTAGACCCACAGCAATAGACGACTTTATATTGTCATTATCTTTGTCATCATCCCTGTCAAAGTTCTACTGCAAGGTATTTGACAATTTAAAGACAAAAGGGAGCGGCTTCGTTGGCTTTGGAGGAGAATGGGGAGGAGCAGACCCAGTCAAGCCAGGGCCTTTCAGGATTACAATGGTTTATAGATAGGGAGGAATGGGGGCAGGATGCCCAAGAGAAGCTAAGCAGTGAACATGAGAGGCAGAGCTCAGGCGATGAGCAGGGACAGCTCCCTCCTGATCCTCGAGCATGGAGAGTGGAGAGAAGGTGAGAACAGCGCAGGCTGACCCAACTACTCGGGAGGAGAGTGCCCTGCTCCTCTTCACAAGGCACACCTGGGGACTGAGACTTAAGGAGACCCTGCGGGGAGGGGCATTTGTTGGGAACAAACGCTGAATTCCTGAAGTGTTGAGTGCTGACATTTGAACTTACCTGGATCCCTTGCATTCTTTCTGGATTTCTTGCTTTGCAGCTGTGGTGCTCACAGCGTTGGGCTGGACTATTTGCAGCCAGAGGTTGCTTGAGGTGTGTATGTATGTGTCATCACTTTGCTCTGGGACTTGCTAGAAATGTGGGAGTGTTTGAGGAACATTTGGAGCAATAAAGGGGCGGTTTGAACTGCCATGCCCCGGGTCATCACAGCGCCCTTACCAGGAGCTTCACCATCAATCAAATGATTGGGTGGCTTGTCAACCGACTTCTGCTTCTTCTCTCTCCGCCGGTGGCAACGATGGTGATGATGATGATGGGTGTGTTCAGCTGGCCGGGGATGTTCGTAAAGATGCGTGGCGCGGGGACGCTGTGGGTTGAGCGTAGAGACTGAGCGCTTCATGGGGCTGGTGTCCGGAATGGGCTGTGGCAAGAGGGAGGAACAGAGGAAAGAAGACAAAGAAAATGCAGAGAAATTCATTGGATGTACGCCATCAAAAGATAGCATCTCTTCCTTCACACATCTGTGGACTGTGGGTATTTGTTTCAGCAGAAGAACAGAGTTGTAAGGGACCTTGGAGGTCTTCTAGTCCAACCCCCTGCTCAAGCAGGATACCTATACTATTCCAGACAAGTTGTTCCAATCTCTTCTTAAAAACATCCAGTGATGGAGGACCCAAAACTTCTGGAGGCAAGTTGTTCTACTGGTTAATTGCTTTCACTGTCAGGAAATTTCTCCTACATTATCCCAAAGGTTGGCTTTATTTTTCCTTGAAGATGTCTCACTTCTCGTCTAAAAAGCTTCGTCAGTTGAACTGAAGTGAACCGAAGGCGAACCGAAGAAGCTTCTTGGGTGAGAAGCGAAACGCCTTCAAAGAAAAACAAGGAAGTCCAGTTGCCTTTTGGAAAAAGCACCTTTGGGACAACCTGGATGACCTAGCATCTCCATAGACGTTTAGCTCGAAGTTGATCCCTACGAAACCTTTCCCTTAAAACCCTTTAGCATTTGTGGTGCTCTCTGAGCTTGATGGTGCACTGATGATATTGCCTAGTTGGGTCATGAAACGTTCTGCAAGAAAACCACCAAGCTCGGAGAGCACCAAGGAGCCCAATGTTCAACCCTGAGCTACAAAGACTTAGCTCCTCCAGATCGAGTGTTTCCTTCCATCTTAAAAAAAGCCACTGAGAAGGTGACTCTTCCTTGATTAGATTTTTACAGGACAGGACAGTTCAAACGAGCTACATACTGATAGATATCGCCCCGGTGACCGTGTTTTGCTCCTCTGCAAGAAAAAAATGGCATGGATCCCAAACCAGCAACAGTCAGACATCCCAGGAGGCACACGTGACAGACGAGATGACCAAAGAGAGGCAGGGAAGGAGGGAGGGAAGGGTAGAGAATGAGACAGACGAAGGCCGAGGAATTGGGGAGGGGGGGTGAATTGAGACAAGAGACAGAAATGAACGTTAGTCAGCAGTTATTCATGAGGAAAAGATGGTTGTATGAACATGGTTTTCAAAGGAAGCGGCGGACTGCAAGAAAATAAGGTTCTCAACGAGCTCAGGGAGCGAGGTAATTTCCCACAACCCAACTGCCATCCGGAGTCATCCGTCGCCATTGGTGATTACCACTGCTAGCCCTGATGATGTTACCTAGTTGGGTAATGAAACGGCAGGCACTTCTCATCATCATCTTCATTTAACGACCTCATAATCCCTGGCGGGGTGGAGTCTGGATAACTAAATGGCGCTAGCAGAGTGTTTTAATGGCCGGATACCCTTCCTGTCGCCAATGCAGAGTTTTGTTCAGCAGATACATTCTCAGTGTGCCCAGAAAGAGAAATATCTGCCTATACCTAGGACCGAACTCACAGCCTCCTGAATGTGAGGCGAGAGCTTCCACCTCTAGGCCACCGCACCACTCTAAACGATCAGCACTTCTCATGCCTGTCATCATTTTTATGGCGATGGTTAAGCAGATATGCCAGTGGTGAAATCTAAAATTTTTTTACTACCGGTTCTGTGGGTGTGGCTTAGTAGGCATGGTGTGGTTTGGTGGGCGTGGCAGGGGAAGGATACTGCAAAATCTCCATTCCCACCCCACTTCAGGGGAAGGATACTGCAAAATCCCCATTCCCACCTCACTCTGGGGACAGCCAGAGGTGGTATTAGCCAGTTCTCTGAACTACTCAAAATTTCCACCACCGGTTCTCCGAACTACTCAAAATTTCTGCTACCGGTTCTCCAGAACCTGTCAGAACCTGCTGGATTTCACCCGTGAGATATTTTATTTATTTATTTATTTATTTATTTATTAAATTTTTATACCGCCCCCTCTCCCGAAGGACTCGGGGCGGTGAACAGCCAAGATTAAAAAACATATAATATAGACATTAAAATACAGTTAAAAGAAAATTAAATCCAAAATGGCTCCCCAATTTAAAACGCCTTACCCATAACCCTATAATTAAAACAAATTTAAAATTTCCACACGTAAAAGGGGGAAGGTATGCCCCCCAATGGGATTTTCCAATGTATTTTCCCAGGAAACGTAGATAAGGCAGCCTCGATGGGCTCTGAACCTATTGGTGATGTCTATTTCACTCTCCAAATTTGAGACTGTCATTGTTCGGAAGACGAGAAATGAGTCTTAGAGAAGCTCCTCTTTTTGGAGGAAGGTTAAGACGGTGCCCAAAATGTCGATGGATTCTATGAACTCCCTAACAAAATGCTTGTGAAAACATCCAGAATAATGCCTTGGAGACTGGAGGGTCTGAATCGCTCTTTACTCTTTGCCTTTCATTCCCTGTTAGGACACCCATACACACTGATGAGGCTACCTAGCTTGGTAATGAAACGTCTGTAAGAAAATCGCCAAGCTGAAAGGGCATCAAGAAAATCCCAGTTTCTAACACCAGTGTTTACCTGAGTCTCGGCTGCCAGCCGTGGCATGGAAGCCGCTCGCCCTTGAATTTCCAGTCCTGGTTGATGCTCCCCGTTGGCTAAAGTTGGGCTGATTTTTTGCATTTCTACAACCTGGAAAATACAATGACAGAGTAACAGGAATGAGTAAGAAGCTGTTGCCTACAAACATTCCCAGTAGTTTCTTTTTTTTTTTCTATTTTTATTAAACATTTTAAAAAAACAAAACGAAAGCTTTAACACTTTTTCTGTTTCAACAGTTTTGCACCAGTCAAAAATTTCCTACTTATACATTTTTTCCTCCCTTATTTCTACTATATCTTTTATACATATACTTCTAATATTTATTTATTTATTTACACATATACATAACAATACCCGTGTACCCACTATTATTTCTACAATTTTTGTTTCCTCATATTGGCAGTTATACTTCAACTCCTATTTCGACCATTATTTAATTTTCCCCTTCCTTTTATCTCTCTCCTCCAACCATTCTCCCACACTAAGTAATATTCTGTTTCCTCTTTTTCTTGTATCTCCTTTGTTAATTTGTCCATCTCCGCACACTCCAAAACCTTTCTGATCAGATTATCTTCGGATGGTATATTATCATTTTTCCAATTCTGAGCGTAGATTATTCTTGTTGCTGTGGTAATATGGATAATTAAATATTGTATTTCTCTTTCGTATGACCCTGGGAGTATTCCTAATAAAAATGTTTCTGGCCTCATCTCTATCTTTTGTTTGGTTATTTCTTCTAATTGTGATCTGATTCTACTCCAATGTTGTTTCGCTTTGTGGCAGGACCACCACATGTGATAATATGTTCCCTTTTGCTGTTTGCATTTCCAACATGTTGGTGAGGTATTGGGAAACATCTTTGCCAATCTGGCTGGTGGCAAATGCCACCTGTAAAACATTTTATACAGATTTTCTTTATAGGATACAGACATTGTCAAGTTTATAATTTTTGTTCCATAATTTCTCCCATTTATCTAATTCAATGTTGCATCCGAAATTTTTCGCCCAAATGATCATATTTTCTTTAAGTACCTCCTCTTCCAATTTGTATCTTAATAAATGATTGCAAATTTTTTGGATCAATTTATCTTCTGTACCTTGGAGGATTTTGTCTAATTCATATACTTCTCTTTGGAATCCATATTGTGTCAAATCTGTTTTATATCTAGATTTTATTTGCATGTAAGGCCACCAATCAATGTCTGTACCCTGTTCTTTTAATTCCTGCCTTGTTTTCAATTCCCTTTGACAATTTAACAATTATTTAACATTCCCAGAAGTTTGCCTGTGATGTCCAGGATCCTTGGTGCTCTCTGAGCTTTGTGGATTTCTTGCAGTTGTTTTATTACTGATCTAGGTAACATCATCAGTGCTAGAAGGGAGTTTGCTTTCTCTCCCTTCTAGTACTAATAATGTTACCTAGTTTGGTACTGAAATGCCTGCAAGAAAACAACCAAGCTTGGAAAACACCAAGGTCCCCAGAATAATATATCCTCCTCCTCCTCTTCCTCCTCATCCTCCTCCTCTTCCTCTTCCTCTCCTCCTCAAACCCCACTCCCTTCTAGCACTGATGATGTTACCTAGATGGGTAATGAAACATTTATAAGAAAACCACCAAGCTCAAAGAGCACCAAGGCCCCCACGGTTTAACCCCGAGCTACAAATTTTCTTAATTTACTGCATTATGCTTCCCCCCCCCCATCCTTATTACTTTCAGTCATCTAGGAACCCCAAATTTCCCCCCCTTTTTTTTCCCCTGTTGCAAACGAACCAGCTCGTTCAATCAGCACTCCCTTAAGAGATCAAAGAATGCCAAAATTTGGGTTTTTGCTAAGTAGATGAGGCCAAGCTGAAAAGGAAGCTGGAAGGCAACATGGCGTTAAGATTTTCTAGGAAAATCCTTATGTTTTCCTCTCGTCTGTACTGTATCTCCCACCCTCTTGCTTGCCTGCTGGACGGGAATTTCCTCCGAATGGCCTCGTTCAAACACTGGTGTCCTAGTTTCATAAAACATGTTCTGGGTGTGTTGGATCCCCCAGGACACGGATTCTTTGATGCCTCCTCCTTCTGGCATTGGCCTGTTGCAAAAGAAGAAGAGAAGAGGCTCTTAGAAACCACGTGGCAGAAAGGCTGTCCTAGGGAGGCCTAAGAAAGAACCATAAAATAGAAGCATTTTTGCAATTCTTTTGCAACTGGAATCCGGAGAGGCTTTGTATGTTCTAGGGTTACCTTTAGATGTTCCCTTCAGAATCAGTTTCATGCAACCATAGCTGGTCCTTGACTTACAGCAGTTCATTTAGTGAATATTCAAAGTTAGAATGGCACTGAAAAAAAGTGACTTACAACCATTTGGGGACTCTCCCCTGCTCTGCCCAGCCTGACTTTGCCCTTCCCCAGTTTCCTCCACAGCCAATGGAGCCACTCTCTCGTTCTCTCTCAGATGTCCATCTTCCATCTCAGATTCAGACTCCAACGGGGGGCAAGACACTGGAAGAACCTCATCCAAATGAACACCAATGGAATATCGGAAAAAGGAAACACCCCACATCTAGAACATCTACCAACAAAATGGATACTCGTGCCATTTTGTCAAACTGCTGGTCTCTGTCCACAGCTGAAAATGTTCAACTAGCTGCCTTAAGCTAGTGTTGTGGTCCACCAGCAGCCTGCGGAGCTGGCGGCGGAATCAGACAGTGAGGAGGCTGGGGAGGACAATGGGCCATTCCTGGAGTCAGGGGAAGGCCCGGATGAGGGCTCTGCATTGGAGGCAGAGATGGGGCCAGAGCCATCTGGGAGTGATGTGCAGACTCCGGAGCCTCCAGAGGCTGACAGCAGAGAGGCAGAGGAACAGGAGGAGCCTGTTCCTAGTGCACGCATGTGCAGAGCTGCCAGAAGGCAAGAGCAGCTAAAGCAGAGAGGACGACTAGGGAGTAAGGCCAGGACATGATTGCCCCCTCCCATAAGGCTTAAAAGAGCAGCAGCGGCTCCTGGGCTCTTTGTAGGAAAGCAATGTTGCTACATTTGTTTCTTGTCGGCGTCTCTTGTTTCTGAACTTCGTGGGGCTTTGCCAAGAAAAGCCTTTGGCAGGGTGCCAAAGAAGACAAAGGTTTGTGATAAGGCCAAAGTTTGAAGGACTTGTTTTGGAATTAATTTGGACTAAGCTGAGAATGAAGTAATTAATAAAATATGTTTGTTTAGGACTGCTTGTGTCTGGTAATAACTACTTGGGCCTAGGTCACAACAGCTAGGCTGAAGCGATGAAAAAGAGGAGAAGGAGTACTTACAGGGCGCCCCCATTGTTGAGTGACGCGGAGCTCTTTTGACGCAGGAAAGCATTGGGGAATCCTGTCTGGCTTTGCTCGAGGGCCGCTTTCAGCGGATGGAAAAGGGAAACAGTGCCAGTCTAGAAGAAGAGAGGAGAAGAGAGAGAGAGTGGATTTCACAGAATCACAGGGCTGGAAGAGACCTTGGAGGTCTTCTTAAGGCGGTCTTTATTCCATCCCGGTCAAATGGTTGTCCAATCTTTTCTTGAAAACCTCAACCAATATATCACCCACAACTGAGTAATGAAACGTTTGCAAGAAAACCACTCGGAGGCAAACTATTCCATTAATTAATTGTTCTCACTGTCAGGAAATTTCTCCTTGGTTCTAAATTGGATCTCTCTTTAACAAGCTTCCACCCACTGCTTCCTGTCTTGCCCTCTGGGGCTTTGGAGAACAGGTCAGCCCCAGTGGTGAAATCCTCTGAAGTCTGCTACTGGTTCTGTGAGTCTGCTACTGAGCGCGTGCCCGCACAGCGCTTAAAAAAAGAACATTTTGAAGCCTTCCGAGTCTGCAAAGGTAAGTAGAACAGCGAGGGGGAGGGGGAATCCACTGTGCCACGTGATTTAGATTAGCTAGAAAGCAGGAAATCCGATGATTCTAACTAATATAAATTGTGCGTCACAGCTGATCGTCGCCCAGCTGATCGTCGGAAATACCGGTTCGCCCAACTGGTCCGAACTGGTAGCATTTCACCCCTGGTCAGCCGTGTCTTCTCTGTGTCAGCCAAGTACTAAAAGACAGTTATCGTTTCACCCCCTAGTCCTTCTCTTTGTTAGGTTAGACATATCTAGTTCCCTCAACTGTTCATTGTATGATTTAGCCTCCAGACCCTTTATTGTCTTTATTGATCTTTCTCTATACTCTTCCTAGCCTTAGCATCTTTGTTTGTATCATGGTGACCAGGACTGGGCCTGGATCACCTGCCTTTCTACTATTTTGAACACAGCAAAGGACGAACTGTACTTGACAGAAGCACTGAACCCCATTGAATCCATGGCCAGGGAGATAGGTGGGTGGGTGGATGGATGGATGGATGAATGCATGGGTGGGTGGGTGGGTGGGTGGGTGGATGGATGGATGGATGGATGGATGGATGGATGGGTGGGTGGGTGGTTGGATGGGTGGATGGATGGATGAATGCGTGGGTGGGTGGGTGGGTGGGTGGATGGATGGATGGATGGATGGATGGATGGGTGGGTGGGTAGGTGGGTGGTTGGATGGGTGGATGGATGGATGAATGCGTGGGTGGGTGGGTGGGTGGGTGGACGCATGGGTGGGTGGATGCATGGGTGGGTGGGTGGATGGATGCATGGATGGATGGGTGGATGGATGCATGCATGCATGGATGGGTGGATGCATGGATGGATGAGAGAGGGATAGGTGGATGGATGAGAGAGAGGGATGGATGGATAGATGGGTGGGTGAATGGGTGGGCGGATGGATGGATGCATGGATGGATGCATGGATGGATGGATGGATGAGAGAGGGATAGATGGATGCATGGATGGGTGGATGAGAGAGGGATAGATGGATGGATGGATGGATGGATGGATGGATGGATGGTTGATAGAGGGATAGATGGATGGATAATAGAGATATGAATGGATGGATGTTAGAGAGATGGATGGATAGATGATAGAAAGAGGGATGGATGGATGGATGGATGGATGATAGAGAGAGGGATAGATAGATAGATAATAGAGATATGAATGGATGGATGTTAGAGAGATGGATGGATAGATGATAGAAAGAGGGATGGATGGATGGATGGATAGATGATAGAAAGAGGGATGGTTGGAAGGCTGAATGGATGGATGGATGGATATTTACCTGACAGAGACCTCCAGGCCCTGAGTGAGAAGGGTCACGGGTGTTTTTATTTTGTTTGTAGAAATCAAATATCATCAAGGCTGCATAAACCTTCCCCACTGTCATGGCTTCAGCTAATCAGGGAAGACAGAAGAAGCCACAGAGAGCAGAAAATCAATTCACAAAATACGGAGGCAAAAGGAAACAAAATGAATTGAGGTTGGAGAGTCTATGACAAGTGAAACATTTGAAAATTCCAGCTGAACTCAAACCGGCATCCTCCAACCTGGCGCTTTCCGCGGATCTAACTACAATACCCATCGCCCTTCTTCCCAGGTTCTCCACGCAACACAAAGAGTTGCAGTTGAACACCTCTGGAAGGGACCAAGTTGGGTAAAACTGCTTTACGTTTGTTATGCTCTTAGTAGTAGACGGATGTTCTCCACCCAACAAATGTATTAAGATATTGGTCTTTTTTTTTTCTGATATTTTGCTGGAGGAAAAAAAACAGTAACAGAGTTGGAAGGGACCTTGGAGATCATGTAGTCCAACCCCTGTACTAGGGATTCAAACCGTCGAACTGCCGACCTTTCTGATTGACAAGCTCAGTGTCTTAGCCACTGAGCCACCCAGTCAGGCGTGTAAAGGAGGATTGATATTTGTTTTCCATTGTGGTGTTTTTGTGCTTTCAAGTCAATTCGGACTCTTGGCAACTACCTGGAGCAGAGGTGGTATTCATCCGGTTCGGACCGATTCAATGGAACCGGTAGTTCTGATGATCAGCTGGCACTGTCCGCCCGCCCCTGCCCTACCCTGTCCTATATTTCCTTCTTTCTGGCTCAGCTGATTCGTGCAGCACAGCTGATTTCCGTGCCTTCGAATTGCTGTATTTTGAACGCTGCAGGCAAGCGCCTTAGGCGCACGCACCCTCACTGAACAGGTTGTTAAACCCGTTGCATCCCACCACTGACCTGGATGCCACTTTGAGGTCCTCTTGGCAAGAGTTTTTTTTGGAAGAGATTCGTCCTCACTACCTTCTTCTTTGTAAAGAGAGGACTGGCTCAAGGTCACCCAACTGGCTTTTTGTGTTAGGTGAGACTAGAACTCCCGGTGTCCTGATTTCTAACCCGATGCCGTGTTTAACCACTACGCTACCGTGGCTCTCTGAGTAGCATTAAGTAATAACACTGATGCCATTCATGCTTCTTTCCACTTGCACAGACACAGAAAGGGCTTGGAGCACTTACGTTTATGAGGTGGCACTAACAGATCCAAGGTTTTGGAGGACAAATTGGGCCAAACCACTGAAACCTCCTTCCTCAGCTCAGCATCACACTGGTGTTGCAACATACCTGTTAGATTAAAAAGCAAAGAAACAAGGTCTAACTTCAGGGGGAAATCCTCAAAAAATACACCAGAATAGAGCTGGTTTCTCTTCTGATCATATAAATCTTTCGCCTTTTACAAAAGATTTCCGTGGAGAGGAACATTTATGAGTTTCGGTGATCCACCTGCCTATGAAGCAGTGGTGGGTTTCAATTTTTTTTACTACTGGTTCTGTGGGTGTGGCTTGGTGGGTGTGGCATGGCTTGGTGGGCGTGGCTTGGTGGGCATGGCAGGGGAAGGATACTGTAAAATCTCCATTCCTTCCCCACTCCAGGGGAAGGTTACTGCAAAATCCCCATTTCCTCCCGATCAGCTGGGACTCGGGAGGCAGAGAATAGATGGGGGCGGGGCCAGTCAGAAGTGGTATTTACTGGTTCTCTGAACTACTCAAAATTTCCGCTACCGGTTCTCCAGAACTGGTCAGAACCTGCTAAAACCCACCTCTGTTTATGAAGATATTGCCATGCATTGTGTCTCCCCTCCAGACGTATCCATTCTTGCTGTGTTTATGCCCAAGAATGATATCTCAACTGTCTATGTTAGGTCATGTCTATCAGCAGAAAATGTGTTACAACCAGATCTACATCACTCCATATCCCAAACTTCTTGTAACTTTAGTCTGATGCTAAATATGTAGCAGAGGAATCCCTTAAGATCTTGGTCATCTAAATTATTGACCTGTGAATCTGAATTTTCTCCCTTGGACATGGTCTTCCCTTTTCCTTGAGATTTATTTCCTTACTGATAGTTGCACCTTGCTATAGTTTCTTCTAAGATATGTATCACTGTCCTGTTTAATAAGCCATCCCCCCAAAATCTAATTCTTATTGGCTTAATTCTTTAATAAAGGCAACCCCCCCCAAAAAAACAACAGAATAGAGCTGAAAAGGACCTTGGGGGTCATCTAGCCAGCCATCCAGGGGTGAAATCCAGCAGGTTCTGACACGTTCTGGCGAACCGGTAGCGGAAATTTTGAGTAGTTCGGAGAACCGGCAAATATCACCTCTGGCTGGCCCTAGAGTGGGGTGGGAATGGAGATTTTGCAATATCCTTCTCCCAGGAGTGTGGAGGGAATGGAGATTTTGCAGTATCCTTCCCCTGCCGCGCCCATCAAGCCACACTACGTCCACTAAGCCACGCCCACCAAGCCACACCCACAGAACTGGTAGTAAAAAAAATTGGATTTCACCACTGCAGCCATCCCCTTACCTGATGCAAGTTTGATGTCCAGGGCTGTCCGTATCAAGGCCATTAGCGTTGAGGTGAAGTGGACGCTTAAATCGTCGTTTGAGATGGGCATGTTCATCCTGACCAAACGCTGAAGAAGAAGAGAGTCTTCCGGTCAAGGCGATATCCCTCGTCACCTACTCCCAACCTCCACCTCCTACTCCCCTCCAAAGTAAAAAAGAGGACAACAATGTTCTACAAGGCTAACTTTTCATGTGCCGAGATGGTTTTCATCATGGGCCAGAGAGGAAGATTCAGTCACAATTTTGGAGCGGTGTTCTTTTTTTTTTTTTTTTTTTTTTAACTTTCAGCACAGGAAAAGCTCAGCACAAGTGTTGGGTGTATTTTTTTCATGCAAGTCAGGGAGGGAGGGAAGGAAGGAAGTAACGAAGGAAGATGGGAGGGAGAGAGGGAAGAAGGAAGGAAGGAAGGAAGATGGGAGGGAGGGAAGAAGGAAGGAAGGAAGATGGGAGGGAGAGAGGATGGAAGGAAGATGGGAAGGAAGATGGGAGTGAGGGAGGGAGGAAGATGGGAGGGAAGGAGAAGGAAGATGGGAGAGAGGATGGAAGGAAGGAAGATTGGAGGGAGGGAGGGAAGAAGGAACAAAGAAAGGAAGATGGGAGGGAGGGAGGGAAGAAGGAAGGAAGGTGGGAGGGAGGAAGGGAGGGAGGGAGGATGATGTGAGGGAGGGTGGAAGGAAGATGGGAGGGAGGGAGGGAGGGAGAAAGGAAGATGGGATGGAGGGAGGGAAGAAGGAAGAAAGGTGGGAGGGAGGGAGGGAGGATGATGGGAGGGAGGGAGGAAGGAAGATGGGAGGGAGGGAGGGAGGAAGATGGGAGGGAGGGAGGGAGGAAGGAAGGAAGATGGGAGGGAGGGTGGAAGGAAAATGGGAGAGAGGGAGGGAGGAAGGAAGGAAGATGGAAGGAAGGAAGGAAGGAAGGAAGGAAGGAAGGAAGGAAGGAAGGAAGGAAGGAAGGAAGGAAGATAATGTTCTCTTGAGACATATCAGAATTACAGCTATAACACATGCACTTTGGAAGATCTCATGCACAGTAGCTCCAGAGTTGGGATCATGCCAAGAAGGCAACAATACAGACACACAGAAGGATGGATCAATTAGAGCCCGTAAGAAGCATGTGGAGGAGAAACACCATGTACATGTCAGAAGATCAATTGAGAGCAAAAGAGATGATAAAGAACCATGGTTGGCAGAACCAGCTCTTGGAAACAAGGAAGCAACTGCTACAGGGAGGACAATCACAACATCTTTCTATCTCCAGAAGACCCGGACATAACAAATAGAGATGGGAGGGATGTAGAGATTAGAAGAAGCCAGAAGGAACAGAAAATGGTCCAGATGGAACAGTTTAAAGCTAGAACAGGGGTGTCCAAACCGAATGACTTAGGACTGTAATTCTAACCCGAACGAGAGGTGGATGGACCAGAGATATTCTCCTCGGAGAAGATGGTTTACAACTGATCTTCTCCAACCGGTTATTGCGACAATCCTATGCAAAATATAAATAAATGGGGGGGGGGAAACTCCATGGCAAAGGGTCTTATTAAGTTGCTTTACATAGCTGCAGGTGGATTGGGACAACTCGCTGCAGCCAACTTCTCACAGTCAACTTGACACCACCAATTGGCCATGGCCAACTCGCTGCAGAAGAACTCAGCGTGGCTGATTTGCCACAGGACAACTCGCTGAGGGACAATTCAACAATTCAATTATTTAAAACAGGGGCATCAAACTCAAGGCCCGGAGGCCAGATTCAGCCCGCGGGGGTGCTTAGATCTATCCCGCAGGGCCGCTCTGGAAACAATCGACTGACCCACAGTGCCTCTGCCAGTGAAGACGGGGCCACCACAGGCGCCCCCGACACGAGTGACGTCGAGCTGGCCATGCCTACCCCAGCCCCCCCCCCAGGTCAAACACAACCCTGATGCAGCCCTCAATGAAATCGAATTTGACACCCCTGGTTTAAAATAATTAAACAAATATTTTTTAAATTTTTTGATCGTTCACGTTTCATTCTGTCCCGCCTTTGGCGTTCTTTCTTTCAGATATCCACTATTTGTTGGATATCCTATTCAGCTCAACACGGTGAGTTGTGCCATGGAGAATTGGCCACGGTGAGTTGGCCACGGCATGTTGGCCATGGCGAGTTGTCGTAGACCCGCTATGGGGGCAGTTACTGTGTTTCCCCGAAAATAAGACCCTAACTTATATTTTTTTGAACCCCGAAATAAGCGCTTGGCCTTATTTTCGGGGAGGTCTTATTATTTTGGGGCACATGGAGCAAGATGGGGCTCCTCTCCTTACCTAATTTCCAGCTCTGCATTTAAATATTTTTGGGGAAGGCTTATTTTCAGGGGGAGATTTATTTTAGCGCATGCGCCCAAAAGCCTGATTGGGCTTATTATCAGAGGATGTCTTATTTTCAGGGAAACAGGGTAGGCACCTGCCTGGGCTTTGGCAAATAACGGGAAACTCTTCCGTTTTTTTTTTCCACCTTGAAATCGGTGAAAGCATTCACTGAAATAGGTGTGAGTAATTCCTAGGTTTTTTTTAAGACAATTGGACGGGTGTGGCATTCTCGGGTAGGTTCGTTCTCTTTCCAACCTCGTGAAAGGAGAATCCAATCAGGGCGACCATTTTTTTTGTCTCCTATTGGAGAAGTCCAGACTTGAAAGTCCCTTTGGCCGAGAGTTTGGACACCCCTGGACCAGAGGAGAAAAAGAGGTCTGCGGAAGCCACGAGTACCACGAGGGCATGAAGCTTAGAACGAAACACAGATGCCACCAGGGGTGGTCCGGTGGGGGCAAATCTAACCTTATAGGCAATACGAGCGGGACAGTTCTTCCCGAGGCCAAGTGGTGGCGACATGTGCCTCAGCATCTCGTACATGTCGGTGTAACTGATCCGCCCACTTGGAACCAGTAGGGGAGACAGACAGACAGACAGACAGACAGGCGGGGAAGGTAAGACAACGCAAGAAAGAAGCACCAGCCACAAAAAAAGGGGGGGAAATAATAATAATAAGGATCGGTGTAGGGGAGGAGGGGAAAAGCAAACAAGGAGACAAGAGAATTTTGGTTAATTAGTGCGACGGAAGACTGGCTTCCAGGGAAGGAGGAGGTTAGATGAGGAGGGCTTCTTCAAGTCCATCTCTTTTGGGTTTCTCCTGCCATCTGCTCTCAAGATTTTTTTATTTTTATTGGACAGAAACAGGTCAGGCCGTAGGAAAGGGAAAGAGGAGAAAAGTGGAATCCTCGGTGAAGGTGTAGGGGAAAGAAATCGTAACTCCTTTAGAAAAAAAAAAAAAGGCAGCGGTCGATTTCCAACGGGGAGGTGTTATTTTCGGTGTGAAGGAAAGTGGTGGTGCTCCTGTGAAGGAGGAGGGGAAAGGAAGCGTTATGGGATGGTCAGTCGCGGTTGAAGGAAAAGGTTTGTTTGTTGGAGTCCTTGGAGTTCTCCGAGTTTGGTTGCTTTCTTGCAGATGTTTGATTGCCCAATGAGGTAACATCGTCAGTGATATTCCTTCCTTCCTTCCTTCCTCCTTCCTTTCTTCCTCCCTCCCTCTCCCCTCCCTGCTTTCTTCCCTTCCTCCCTTCCTCTTTCCTCCCTTCCCTTCTTCCTTCCTTCCTTCCTTCCTTCCTCCCTCCCTCTCCCCTCCCTCCCTCCCTCCTTCCTCCCTCCCTTTTTTTCTTCCTTCCTCCCTCCCTCCCTCCCTCTCCACTCCCTCCCTTCTTCCTTCCTTTCCCTTCCCTTCTTCATTCCTTCCTCCCTCCCTCCCTCCCTCCTTCCTTCCTCCCTCCCTCCCTCTCCCCTCCCTCCTTCCTTCCATCCCTCCTTTCTTCCTTTCCCTTCCCTTCTTCCTTCCTTTCTCCCTCCCTCCTTCCTTCCTCCCTCTCTCTACCCTCCCTCCCTCCTTCCTTCCTTCCCTCCCTCCTTCCTTCCTCCCTCCCTCTACCCTCCCTCCCTCCTTCCTTCCTTCCTTCCCTCCCTCCCTCCCTCCTTCCTTCCTTCCTTCCTTCCTTCCTCCCTCCCTCCCTCCTTTCTTCCTCCCTCCCTCTCTCTCCCCTCCCTCCCTGCTTTCCTCCCTTCCTTTCCCTTCCTCCCTTCCTGTCCCTGCCTGCCTGCCTCCCATTCATCCATATTTGATGCGCTCTGATCTTGTGCTGCTTTCTTGCAGACATTTCATTACCCAGCTAAGTGACATCCTCAGTGCCATGTTCTTTCTCCAGTGGAAGATCTGTTTCAATTGCACGGAAGGGCAGAGAGACCTCTTCCATGCCAAACATTATCCCAATAACTCAGGCTTTGGAGAATGAATCAAGAAATAAGGCTGTAGCTTTGGGACCTTGGGAGATGGAAGATAAGAGACAGCCTAGCCCTTAGCTGTAAAATGAGTGGGACAAGAGGCTCGGAAGCGGCCCTCCCCAGTTTCTCAGGCTGTAGAAGAGACAGCAAGAGAATTGTACTTTCAAAAGTACAAAATTGATGTCAGCCTTACCAAGTAGATTAGACCGAAAAGCCAATGAGATCACCAATTCTATTTTAGCACTGATTACGTTACATAGTTTGGTAATAAAATGTCTGCCAGAAAACCACTGAGCTCAGAGAGCCACCAAGGATACCTTACTTTTGTTTTATTCTAAAGCTACATTAACAAAATTTTGGAAGTCTGAAAACACAATTTCCTTCCAAATCACCTTTACAGCAAATTGACCAGGGTAAAACATCTCCTTTCTCAATGACTGAAGATTTAATGGATTGCTCTTATGCTCTTTTTGTTTTTTTAAAAAAAGATCTTATCCTTCTTCAATAATTTAGCCTGTATTTTGCTACAATATTCTTTAAAAGCTCTCCTTAGCTCTTAAAGACCTAGTTAAGAATTCCAGATTACATTAGACCGTCGGCTGGCCTTTTCAAAATCAAAAAGCAAGTTCTAGCTTCGAACTAAATAAAAGTTTTTAGCATCTCGCTGTGGAACAAAATAATGGGAGATCTTTTTTTTCCTGGAATTGGGCTGGATGAAAAGAGTTAGAACAGAGCAGAATAACAGAGTTGGGTGGGACCTTGGAGGACTTCTAGTCCAACCGTCTGCTCAAGCAGGAGAACCTATATTATTTCAGACAAATGGCTGTCCAATCTCTTCTTTAAAAACTCCAACAATGGAGCACCCACAACTTCCGGAGGGAAGTCATTCCATTGATCAATTGTTCTAACTATCAGGAAAATTTTTCCTTAATTCTAGGTTGCTTCCTTCCTTGATTGGTTTCCATCCATTGCTTCTTATCCTGCCCTTCAGGTGCTTTGGAGAATAGCTTGACTCCTTGTTCTTTGGGGCAGCCCCTCAAATATTGGAACCAGGGGTGGGTTCTAAATTTTTTTACTACCGGTTCTGTGGGCGTGGCTTATGGGTGTGGCTTGGAGGTCAGGTCCTCACACTTACGACCAGTCCTCACACCTACGACCCGACTCATTTGTTTGCTTTTAACACTGATCAGCTGTAGGGCGGCCCTTTGAAACCCCGCGGCAAGAGTTTAAACAGTTTTTTTCCCTAGTCATCAGCTGGGACTCAGGAGGCAGCAATACATTGTGGGTGGGACCAAATAAAAGGTAAGAATAACGTGGGGGAGTGGGAGGGCGGTGGGGGGGAGAACCGGTTCGGTGACGTCATATCGTCACCGCTACCGGCTCGGCCGAACCGGACCGAACCGGGAGGAACCCACCACTGATTGGAACACTGCTATCATGTCACCCCAAGTCCTTCTTTTCACTAGACCACACATACCCAATTCCTGCAACAGTTCTTCACATCTTCACAGCCTGTTTTTAATTTTTTTTTTAATCATCAAGCAACAAAGATGATTAGGGGACTGGAGGCTGAAACATATGATGAACGATTGCAGGAACTGGGCATGGCTAGTCTAGTGAAGAGAAGGACCGGGGGAGACATGATAGTAGTCTTCCAATATTTGAGGAGCTGCCACAGAGAGGAGGAAGGGGGTCAAGCTATTTTCCAAGGCACTCGAAGGCCAGACAAGGAATAATGGATGGAAACTGATCAAGGAGAGAGATTCAACCTGGAAATAAGAAGGAACTTTCTGATGGTGAGAACAATCAACCGATGGAACAGAAGTTGCCTTCAGAAGTTGTGAGAACTTTATCCATGGAAACTTTCAAGAAGAGACTGGACTGCCTTCTGTCAGAAATGGTGTAGGGTCTCCTGCTTGGGTGGGGGTTGGACTAGATGACCTACAAGGTCCCTTCCACCTCTGTTAATCTGTTCAATCTGCCTAGGAGCTCGGGCATGGCTGGGCTAGCCTAAAACTTCTCCCAATTCCTAGTTAGAAGAAGGAAACCCCCCTTTTTTTTTTTTAAAGCTGACCATCCCATAAGGCTTCCGTATCCAGGCAGGGAAGATCTAAGTTGGGCAGAAGGAAAAATGCAGCAGGCATGTACGTAGGGGTGGGAACAAGCTTGTCCATCGTTTCTAGGTACACAACCGGTTAGTTTCATTCCAAGGTTATTTCTATTTTTTTTTTTTTGCAGCGTAGACTCAAAAGACCCCATTCAGTTTGCAAGTCAAGGCAACCTCTCCTCCCCCACCACAAAAAAAAAAAAAAAAGGACTGGGATTTCCCCACCCCCCACCCCGAATTTTTCAAACCTTGTATGCCACTCTATGAGGGCACTTCTTTCCTAAGCCCAAGGGTGGAGCAATAGCTCGGAATAAATTGTACATATCCTTATAATGTATCCGGCAACTGGAAAGAAAACAGACATTTTTATAAGTCGCGACTCGACGGGGGAAATAAAAGATGCGATTAAAATTAAAACCAAAACTCTCTCCTGGAACCTCTTGTCACCATCCCATAATAACATGACTAGGAGAAGAAAAACTGGAGGAAAAAGATGACATTTCAGAACCGATGAGTTAGAAAAATCCTCTCCGCTGAAGTCACATAAAAGTAATTGGTGTGAAGTTTCTGAAAGATGCCCTAATTAATTCATGAGCCATGAGCCGAACTTCAAAAGAAATACAGTCATTTATTAGAAGCACCATTTCGGCAATATTCGGATGCAGTTAGAACTAATCCCACGTAGATTTAGGTTCCCCTATGACTCTGTCTCTCCCCTCCTCTCCTCTCTGGCCATGTCATAAATCACATTCTCCAATTAACCACTTTGGCTGGCTGTGAAATCCAACACCCTCCTTCTGATTGCAGTCAGGAAGAATGTATGGAATGCACTTCAGTTAGGGAAATCAAACAGCTCTATCAGTTCTCCCTCCCTCCTGCTCATGGCAACTTGAAAGCTTTGCAAGTTGACAATTGGTTAGTTTCCATAAGTAGGAGGAGATGAATCAGAAGCAATAACTTTAGAACCGAATAGAGCGGGAAGGGTCCTGCGACGTCTTTTCTAGTCCAGCCCCCAGCTCAAGGAGGAGAACCTATACCGGTGATGGTGAACCTAATGGCACGCGTGCCAGAGGTGGCACGCAGAGACCTCTCTGTGGGCACGCGCGCCATCGCCAGCTGCTCTTCTGGTTTCTGGAAGCCCAGCTGGTCTTTCCGGGCACCGGAGCACTGGAAAACAGCCCGAAAAACTGCCAAAAAATAGGCTGTTTTGGGGGGCTTTTTAGGGCTGTTTTCCGGGGCATTTTTAGGCTGTTTTTTAAGCCATTTTAAGGCCGTTTTTTGAGCCATTTTAAGGCCGTTTTTTGAGCCATTTTAAGGCCATTTTTGAGCCATTTTTGGGCTGTTTTTGAGATGTTTTTGGGCTGTTTTTTTGAGCCATTTTAGGCCGTTTTTAAGCCATTTTTCGGGCATTTTTGAGCCATTTTAGGCTGTTTTTTGAGCCGTTTCTGGGCCATTTTGAGCCATTTTTAGGCTGGTTTTTTTGAGCCATTTTTGGGCCCTTTTTGGGGCCGTTTTCAAGCTATTTTTGCCAGTTTTCGGGCCAGAAAAACAGCCTAGAAATGGCCCCAAAAAACGGCCTGAAAACAGCCACAAAAACAGCCTGAAAACGCCCCCCAAAATGGCCAAAAACAGGCATGACCACGCTGGCCAGCTAGTCTTCGGGTTTCCGGTGCTCCGATGTGTGCAAAGACCAGCTAGCCGGCGTGCAAGCATGTGCCAAAACCCAAAGATCAACTGGCTGGCACACAGATGCGCGCCAGCTAGCTAGTCTTTGGGTTTCCGGCACTCTGGCATGCGCCTTCTGGTTTAGGCACTCGGTGCCGAAAAGGTTCGCCATCCCTGACCTATACTATTTCAGATAAGTTGTCTCGTCTCTTCTTAAAAGCTAATAACTAAATCGTCAACTTACAACCACAATTGAGCCTAGAATTTATGTTGCTAGGTGAGACATTTGCTAAGGGGGTTTCATCCCATTTTACGACCTTCCTTGCCACCGTTGTTAAGTGAATCACTGCAGTTGATCAGTTAGTAACCTATCTGTTAAGTGAATCTAGCTTCCCTACGGGCTTTGCTCGTCAGAAGGTCGCAAAAGAGGACTCACGTGACTTTGCAACGGTCGTAAGTATGAACCAGCTGCCAAGTTTGATCATGGGGGGGAATGCTACAAAGGTGGTAACTTTTTAAAAACGGTCCTAAGTCACTTTTTTCCAGTGGCGTGGTAACTTTGAACGGTCACTAAGTGAACTGTCATAAGTCGAGGACTGCCCGCAACCCGTTTACTGCGCGTGCACCAACCAATAAGTAGAACCAGAGACGTGAAAACGAAGCCAACTTTTATGGATTTCATTCACTTCCCTGACTGTTGTTTTCCCTACGTTTTTTTGCCATGGTGGTGTAGTCATCATTGTTCTTTTGAGTTTAGACCTATGACTCCCTGGAATGCATACCCAATGGGAGAAAGTGGATAGTTGTATCATTAGTAATATGGATACCGGTCCAGCTTCCAAATCTCCATCACCCAAAATATTGATGGGTCTTGGACCTCTAAAGCCAGGTGAGGAACCCCAATGCAGCTGTCTTTGAGGATAGCCAGCTAATCCCTTTTTTTCTTGGCTGATCTTCCCCCAATGTGAGAAGCACCTCAGCCAATCCAACACCACCTTCACAAGACCAAAAGCGGACATACATACCAAGCAGCTGGGTCGTACTCTGCCCACACACGAATGAACTCATCCAGATGATGAGGTCCAAGGATGGATGAATCTCGGGTCAAGTACTCAAAGTTGTCCATGATTACAGCCACAAACAGGTTCAACATCTGTAAAGGGAGGATGGAAATGAAATCAGGGTAGGGAGGTTATTAACTTTAATCCAAATTAATCCAAAGCACCAGAAGGCAAGAAAAAGAAACAATGGATGGATGCTAATCAAGGAGAGAAGCAACCTGGAATTAAGGAGAAACTTCCTAACAGTGAGGACAATTAATCAGTGGAACAGCCTGCCACCAGACATTGTGGGTGCTCCATCACTGAAGGTCTTTAAGAAGAGACTGGACAGCCACCTGTTTGAAATAGTATAGGATCTCCTGCTTGAGCAGGGGGTTGGACTAGAAGACCTCCGAGGTCCCTTCCAGCTCTATTCTGATTCTTAACTTTTTATGTTATTGTTGATAAGTGAGTTCCCAACTTTTCAGACAAATGGAAGAGGGCATAGACTGGAACAACAAGGGCAACTTTTTGTGGTCCAAGGAAAAGTAGGCCTGAAAGAGACGGAGCTCTTGAATACATTAGAGCATTGCCGTGTTCAACGGGGAGAGAAATGTCTTACCAGAAAGGAGCAGAGGAAGATGAAGGAGACAAAGTAGAAGTAAGCAAAGTCACTGCCACATTCGTTTCTGCTGAGGTTGGAGTGCTCGTCGCAGGGTTGGTTGCTGAGGCACGCAAGCATGATTTCATGCCAGGCTTCTCCAGTAGCGCTCCTGAAATCAAACGCAAGGAAAGGAATTGGGAGGAATCAACCAGTCCAGAATGGACTCAGTAGCTTAGATGTTTTGTGGCCCATCGGCCACCAGCCCCTCCAGCAGCCGAATCAGAGGAGGAGGAGGAGGAGGCATGGGAGTCAGGATCAGCATCAGGGCAACCTGGGAGCTCCAAGGGGGAAGAGGGAATGGAGCTGGGAGAGAGAGAGAGACAGAGGCGGAGCCTGGGCCGTCCGTCAGCCCTCAGATGGAGAGTCAATAGCCCCCAAGTCTGGAGGTGGCTGATGATGAGGAGGAGGAACAGCTGGGTCCAGTGCCTGATGCGCAGATGCACAGAAGGCAGAGGAGAGGAGAGCAGTGGAAATCTATGGGCTGGTCCTTGGGATGGAAGAGCCACCGCTGCTAGCTAAGCCCCACCCTAGCTCTGGAGATAAAAGGCAGGGGGCAGAGATGAATAGGTGTGGCAGACTGGATCCTTCTATTAAAGCTCCTAAAGTTTCAGTTAAAACCTTTTGGGATGGTATGAGCTGCGGTGGCGCAATGGTTAGAGTGCAGTACTGCAGGCTACTTCTGCTGACTGCCGACTGACTGCAGTTTGGCAGTTCGAATCTTATCAGGCTCAAGGTTGACTCAGCCTTCCATGCTTCCAAGGTGGGTAAAATGAGGACCCAGATTGTTGGGGGGGGGGGCAATAGGCTGACTCTGTGAACCGAGGGCTGTAAAGCACAGTAAAGTGGTATATAAGTCTAAGTGCTATTGCTATCTGGCCCGTGCTATGTATATAGGTAACCGTGGGCTCTTAATCAATAGTTCTTCAGATGGCTGAAAATTATGGCATGGTTGATAAAACACGGGCCAAGAAGGAATATTTCTCCCATACGGGATCCAGCAATGACTCACCGAAAAAGCAGCATTAGTGCTTGCAGAAAGGTTTGGAAGTTATTGTGACGATTAATGGCGCTGTCATCATCCAGAGCGATGTTTCCAAAGACCTGGGGGCAAGGTGAGAGAAGGAGGAGAGAGACAGAGACAGAGAGACAGAGAGAGAAAGAGACGGGGGGGGGAGACAGAGAGACAGAGACAGAAACAGAGAAACAGAGAGACACAGAAAGAGAGAGGCAGAGAGACAGACAGAGAGAGAGAGAGAGAGAGCGAGAGAGAGAGAGAGAAAGAGAGAGACAGAGACAGAGACAGAGAGGGAGGGAGAGACAGAGAGAGACAGAGAGAGAGAGAGAGAAAGAGAGAGAGAGACAGAGACAGAGACAGACAGAGAGAGAGACAGAGACAGAGAGACAGAGAGACAGAGAGACAGAAGAAACAACCAAGAGGACATTGTAAAGAGTTCTACACTTTAGTAGAAGGGCGAGCATGACAATGGCATTTAGCAAAGGTACCATTGGAGATGATGGATTTCATCACCCTTAGATACTCCAAGTGGCACTGGGCTTGGAGACAGAAGACATGCCATTCAGATGTCTATGGAGATTCTCAGTCCTCCAGGTCATGGTTGTCCCAAAGGTGCTTTTTCAAGAGGCAACTGCCTGTCCTGTCCTGTCCTATCCTATCCTTGTCAACTTGCAAAGCATCCCTGGCCTGCTCTCGAGTTGCCATAGGCAAGAGGGATGGGAAAACCAGCGAAGCAGCACAGTAGCCAAAAACAAAGGCACATTCCAGACATATCTCTCTCAAGGCTGTCTCCCAGGGTTACCCACAGCGGGCGGAGGGGAGTGATCTCTACAACCTGCGAAATTGCTCCGTTGGCGAATGTGACTGATGACACACTCTGGGGTGAGGGCGGGGGGAGAGAAACAGGGCCATGTCTGGGTCGTAAATTACGTGGGGTCAGAGTTGGCTTCACATGGAACGTGCCTATATGAAGCTCCTAATAAATAACTGGATTTCTTTTGAAGCTTGGCGCAAGGCTCATGATTTAATAAGGGCATCTGTCGGAACCCTGATAATCTAATCCTATCCTATCCTATCCTATCCTATCCTATCCTATCCTATCCTATCCTAGTTCTGAACTCCCTGCATTGAGCAGAGACAGATCATGAACTAGACTAGGATTTCAGCACCATTTCACCCGTAGCATTTTATATACCACAACGTGAAGATGCTGCAAGATATGGAGATGGCCACCCTTCAAGATGAGTTTTCTCCAAGCACCTCCACGGGAAAGGTGGATTTACAATGGGGTAGTTTTTTGACCCATCGCTAAACCTATTCTGCCAATCTGATGAGGGCAGGCTCTGAACACCACTTAGCAGATCTGGTTCCCCCCTAGCAGATTTTTACCTGCATGCCAATTATGGCATAGATGAAAAACAGCATGGCGATGAGGAGGCACACATATGGCAAGGCCTGGAGGAAAGGAAAAAAAAAACAGTCGGGAGGTTAGACTCGCCAGCAGACCACAGGACATCACAACATCTGCACAGCTGCACGTTTCAGAGTCCTCGGCTCAAGGCTGCAATTGGGCCCCGAATTCATTGCCTTGGCTTGTCAGGAAAAGAGGATCGCATGACTGCAGGACACTGCAACTGTCATAAATATGAGTCAGGTGCCAAGTGTCTGAATTTTGATCATGTGACAACCCCCCCCCCCCCAGAACACTGCGACGGTTATAAATATGACTCAGTTGACAGGCCTTTGAATTTTGATCACATGACCATGGGGATGCTGCAACGGTCATAAGTGTGAAAAATGGCCATAAGTCACTATTTTCAGTGCCGTCTAAGTTACTTTTCTCCGTGATGATGTAACTTCGAACGGTCATTAAACTGTTGTAAATCGAGGACTGCCTATATGTCTTTGTGAATTTTTAATGCACCTTTTTTTTTAATGTCTTGTGTTGTTTTTTGTGTTGCTTTGTTCTTGCTGTCAATGTATTTATGACTGGCAGAGACATGGTAACAAGGGCAACCAATGAATAGGGCTTAGTAACAAGGGCCGCCAATGGGAGCTGAGACAGTAAGGAGCCTGGGCGTGGCTTAGCTGTGCTTATCTCTGAGCGCTGTGCTGAGAATTGAAACTGAAACTCTTCTCTCCTCTGCTTGTGTTTGCTTGTCATCTCTACTACGTTGGAAGAACCACTCTGGGTATTGTATATATGTCTCATGTGTTATTATGTATATAAAGAGAACTTAATGAATCCTGTTGCATCAGTTGCCTGTGTGTGCTTTCTGGATTTGATTGCTGCAACAAACTCTGACACCTGCTAAGTGATCTTTTTTTTAAAATAAAAATAAAAATCTGGAAGCCAATCGAAATTGACAGCACTCCCCGCCATCCAAAGCCCTCACCTTGAAAGACTGGACAAAAGTCCACAGCAGAATCCGTATGGTGTAGCCCTGACGGAGAAGCTTAATCAGTCGGGCTGCCCGGAAAAGTCGGAGGAAGCTCAGGTTAATGAAATTATCCTGCAGAGAAAAGAAAAAATGTGCATCGTTCAGATGTCGGGCAAGATCGAAAAGTGCAACCCACACTAAATAAATAAATAAATAAATTATTGGCTTTGTGTTCTAAGCAGCAAGTCGCACCCCCCCCAAAAAAAAACTTTTGGAAAAGAAGATTTTGTCAGTGCGAGTCACTCCTCATGCAGAACACCTGAGGAATCCCCCTCTCTCCCCATGAACCCTTCCTCTGGCAACGGGGAAGAGAGGGCGAAAAGAAGGCAAAAGAGGGAAGCTGTCTTTGCAAGAGATTGCTAGCTGTCTTTTTTTGGGTTCATCCTTGAAGTAAATTCTATTTTGGAAGGGCAGACAATGAACCTTTAGTGGACACAAAGGACCGTCCTGAAAGTCAATCATTTGTGATGGGCCTCTTCTACATCAAGAGGGGACATGACAGAGAGATGATAGCTGGATAGCTAGCTGGATAGATAGATAGATAGATAGATAGATAGATAGATAGATAGATAGATAGATAGATAGATATGGATGGACAGACGGACAGAGATAGAAGATAAATAGAAGATAGATAGATAGATAGATAGATAGATAGATAGATAGATAGATAGATAGATAGATAGATATGGATGGATGGACGGATGGACGGACAGAGACAGAAGATAAATGATAGATAGATAGATAGATAGATAGATAGATAGATAGATAGATAGATGGATGGGTAGATAGATGATAGATAGATAGATAGATAGATAGATAGATAGATAGATAGATAGATGTCTATTTTGATCAGTGTCCAGATAAATAAAGGAGTGGTCAGGCAAAATCTTTTGGGAAAGATTAAATCAAGGTCTGAATCTTAATGGCAGCTTCTCAGAAGCCTCCTAGAAAAAAATTGTGTTAGATACAGAGTTGTGCAGCGGAGAGAATTTAGAACTAAGGAAAGAGAAAGCTTAGGAAAATGCTTTGCTGGGCCATTGGGCGATCTGGAACTCAGCCACTTTATCTCCGTAGAGAGTAAGGAAATGGAGAGATGCAACCAGGGGCAAAGCATCTTTTTGGTCCACAACTGTCAAATAGCATTTGGAAGTGGATTGGACAGATCCTACCCTAATTTGGAGGAGGAGGAGGAGATCAGTTACTTATAAGACAAGAGTCATAGATTCTGGATCATGTGTGACCTTCTTTCTGATGGCCATCTAGGATTGCCTAACCATCTGATTGTCCACATATATCCCCAAATGCAGATGGAGATGGAGGAGGAAGAGGAAAAGAGGAGGAGGAGGAGGAGGAGGAGGAGGAGGAGGAGGAGGAGGAGGAGGAGGAGGAGGAGGAGGAGGAGGAGGAGGAGGAGGAAAGGGCGATTATGAAAAACATAATCAGACTTTTAAGATCCTATTATATCCAATCTCAAGGGAAGTCATGTTGGGCTTCCTGTGGAATTGATTGATTGCTCCAGTCTGTCCAGTGGATCTGATAATGTCAACCTATCTGAGGATTACTGGGAAGATCAACTACGGTGGAAAAAGAACGAAACATAGATTTCATCTTGAGCCCTCGGACAAAAGGCAAAGTATAAACACTATTAAACCTCCATAAATGCATCATTGAGCTGGACAGCTTTCAAAATAACTAAGCAACGAAGAAGTTCAGTGTTATGTCTTAGTCTGGATTCCCTTCTAGGTTTTCACATACATTTAACTCAATTTTTTATATTTCATTTCTCAAGCTTAAAGTAAAAAATAAACAAAGATTTATTTCCTTAAAACTCCCTCATCCCGGTCAAGAAAAAAGCACCATCAACTTTTCCATGGATCCCGATGCATCGAAAGGGAAAACATGATTGATTTCATTTCAATTTCCTTTCCCCTTTTCAGCGAACCAACGCCGAGAAAAATAGTTAATTTGGGATGCATGGTTTTAACCAGGGGTCTCCAACCTTTGCATGGAGGACTTTGCTGGTTGGGGAATTCTGGGAGTTGAAGTCCACCAGGCTTAAAGCTGCCAAGGTTGGAGACCCCTAGTTTAAATAAAGCATGTTCGGCACATACAGATGAGAAAGGAATGGATATAAATCTAAAAGCGGAAGAGATTGGATTGCGTATGAAGAAAGACTGAATTAATGAAAAGGGTCCAAGAATGAAAAACAGAATCAAAGAGTTGGAAGGGACCTTGGAGGTCTTCTGCTTAGGCAGGAAGACCTACACCACTTCAGCCAAATGGTTGTCCAACATCTTCTTAAAAAAATTGCAGTTGTTGGAGCAAACGTTCTTCATGTGGAAAGGAGATCAAAAATGTGGAAGAGATGGACAAGGAGAGGAAATGGAATTAAATGTGAATGCAAGGAAGGAATTTTGGGTGGAATTGAAGTAAAGGGATGCTGGAAGGAGCAACTTAGAGATGTGTGTATCAATGACAGCAATGCGCTACAGAGTGCATATGAAACCAACATCATGAAGGTGGAGTGTCTGTGAAGGAAACCTCCAGGCTTGGTCACTGGAAGGGTGAGGATTTGACTGAATGCCAAACCCACAAGTGTATTAAGTGTGCATCAGAGAGAGTTTGGCAAGATTCAATCAATCAATCAATCAATCAATCAATCAATCAATCAATCAATCAGAGAATGGAGCTGGAAGGGACCTTGGAGGTCTTTTTAGTCCAACCTCCTGCTCAAGAAGGAGACCTTACAGAATCACAGAGTTGGAAGGGACTTTGGAGGTTCTTCATTGAATACATTGAAGAATGGTTGGATTGACAGGAAGGAGGGGGATTAAGAAAGGCGTGGCTGAATGGAGCTGATAATCCTGAAAAAAGAGCGAAGTGAAATGTTGAAAGGACAAAGCAGCAGATGACACGGTGGAAGGTTGGAAGGAAAGGAGAGACAAGAAGAGATAGAATGGATGGGATGACATGAATTAGCTGAGCTGTGCTTTCTTTCCTTTCTCTTTAATTGCTTTGACTCAGACGTATTTTGTTTCTTTCCTGGGCTTTGCGTGAGTCGTGCTTGCCCATCAAAAGGACTTGTGTGATGGGTACGTCTTTACAGAAGCCCTCCTAAGCTTTGGACTTCCTCTCCAGCAGAGGGAAGGACATCAGAGGAGAGAGGGACCTGGTAGGTGTAATCTAGCAGGCCGAAACTTTGCTTTCCACCACCCCACCATCTTTTTAACAGATGCTTGACCGCATGAAAAGCTGACCCATCCCCACCATCAACGCATAAGTTGAGTGTACAAAAGCCGATTCATTATCCGGTCATTGCTTTGGGAGCATCCAAGCCAACCATGCTACATTCTGGGGGTGCCATCAAAACTCGAGGGATTCAGCCACAGGCATGCAATCAGCTCGGCCGCCATTTTGTTTCGGTTGCGGTTTTAAAGAAAAAGGGGAAAACAGATGCAGCTCAGAATTGGCTGACATCATGGCACCCAGTTCTCAAACAAACAGGGGGAAAAAAGAGCCAGGTGTCAAATCAAGAGGCCCGACCAACAATTCAAAACACCACCGCAAGGAAAGTCACAGGCAACGTCAAGCAACAAGCAGCCAATTATTCTCCCTGGGTTGATGTGGCAAGAGTCCCCACACCCCACACCCCCCAAAAAAAATCTCAAATTAAAGAGAAGGAAGGTAAACGAAACGGCGAACCAAAGAAAAAAAATCCTTAAAAGCAGACGATCGGGAAAAAAAAATTAACCCCCCCAAAAAATTCAATGAAACCAACCGTGTCCTATATGAGATGTTTTCATGGATGGATTGTGATTTGCAAGGATTTTTGAGTTTTAGCATTATTATTATTATTATTATTTTAAAAAAAAGAGGTATTATTTTGGAGCAGGAGGCAGACAACAGGCAGATGCAGACACGATGATGGTTTTTCGAGTGGGTTTTTTTTTGGTATGTTGATTGAATGGCATGATTCAGCAGGAAAAAGGAAAACACACACAAACACGAAACAGAAAGAGAAAGAGAAAATGAGTCATTCGGCTGTAGCAAAGAACAGAAACACGAATGATTGTATTAGAGAGTGGGGGGTTGTGGGAGAAATTAGAGGTTTATAAAAAGAAGTGATTTTTCTAACAATGAACAACCCTGCAAAGAAACACAGTGAGGTGAATTATTTGCATTTCACACTGTAATGCAAATTCATGGACATTTTGCAAGCACCTTGATTTGTCTTTCTTTCTTTTTCTTTTTTTTAAATTCCCAGGCAAAGCTAAAAAATGCCAGTTTCAACAGTTTTGGGTTCAAAAAAAGGGACGGTGAATTTAGCAATCCCCTGCGGCCACCTTAAAGGTCTTGTAAGATGAATCAGTAATTAGCAATAGTGGTAGCACTTAGACTTATATACCGCTTCACAGTGCTTTTACAGACCTCTCTAAGTGGTTTACAGAGTGCCCCCCAACAATCTGGGTCCTCATTTTACCCACCTCAAAAGGATGGGAGGCTGAGTCAACCTTGAGCCTGGTGAGATTCGATTTGCCAAATTGCAGGCAGCCGGCAGTCAGCAGAAGTAGCCTGCAGTACTGCATTCTAACCACTGCACCACCAAAAAGCTAAAACTCCTATAAACTCATAGATGCCACTTGTATCATGAGCATTTTTAAAAAAATCTCTGATTTTTAATCCAGGCATTCAAATCTTACTCTTCCTGGCTGTTTGAATTGATGATAAAGCTTATAACTTTAACCGTTGAAGGGGGAGGAGCATCAGTTCTTCCCTGACGATGCAAGAGCTTATGTTTGTGAAGTGGGAAGAAAAACTGACATGGTTGTGTTTGCCTGTAGAAGTTAAAAACAACAACAACAACCACAACCCAACAACCACAGAGAGCAAAAAAGAAAATAATTGGTAGCACTGGCCAAAGAAACCTGTACAGCTACAGAATCAAAGGAAAACAAAATTCGTTGATGTGTTTTCTTTACTCCATTGGTTCTGTTGATGGCTAAACGTCTCTTAGGTGTAGAGGATAAAGGTCTAAAAACAGGTGGGGAAGGGGGAAAATATGGAGGAAGGCCCTACTTCTGGATTTCAGGGTGAGGAGAAAAATACCCCATCTTCCAGAAGTTCCTTCAAGTGGCGTCTGTAGTAGAAGAGCAGGCAGAGCTGGGAGGCGGAGTTAAGCAGGTCATTAGCTTGGAGTCGTTGCGTTCCCACAAGCACTCCAAATCTAATTCCTGCTGAATTCCCTTGATCCTTATCCGATGCCAATTTAGTGTTGAACTTAAATTTTCTATGCTGCAACCTAATAGATGGTCCTTAATATTCTTTGTGCCTGACAGTGCCTTTTGAATTGCAGGGACCCACATCCAGGCAATCCAAAAGCCTGACACCAAGGTGAAGGGATTAAAGCATGATAGCTATGGATTAGCAGCTGAGATGGGGAAAAAAAAAGAATTAATGTTGCTCCCAAATCATCCTGTCCTCCATTGTTTTAAGATAGCGATAGACGTACTGCTTCACAGTGCTTTTACAGCCCTCTCTAAGCAGTTTACAGAGTCAGCCTATTGCCCCCCAACAATCTGGGTCCTCATTTGACCCACCTCAAACTGCCAAACTACAGGCAGCCGGCAGTCAGCAGAAGTAGCCTGCAGTACTGCATTCTAACCACTGTGCCACCATGGCTCATGCTTTAGAATATATTTTTATGGCATGTTATACCTTACTTTAGCATTAAGAAGGGTACTAGGCTGGATCCGTTCTTTATGCTGTGTGGGAAGCCAGAGACTTACAACCAGGGATGGGGCTGCTGGGGGTTCGCAGGGGTTCGGGAGAACCTCTAGCTAAGATTGTGTGCAGTTTGGAGAACCCCCAAATCCACTCCTGGCTGGCCCCGCCCCCCTGCTCCACCCCCCCCCCAGGAGTCCCCACGCAGCCTGTTTTGGATCCAGGTAAGTGCAGGGCACGCACAGAGGCTCAGGGAGGGCGAAAAACAGGCCTACCAGAAATTCAGAAAGGCTGGAAACGGGCTCCGACTAATTGACTCATGAGCCTCGAGCCAAGTTTCAAAAGAAACCCAGTTATTTATTAGGAGCAACATGTCGGCAGCTTCCCAAGTGTAGTCAACTCTGCCGCACGTAATTTATTGCTCAACTATGACCCTATTTTCCCCTCCCCTCCTCTCAAGGTGTGTCATAAATCACATTCTCCAATGAGGCACTTTCGCGGGCTGTAGAAACCATGCCTCACAAACTGACTCTGGTAATCTGAGATCCAACCTTGGAGGAAGGTATGCGTGGAATGTGCTTGTGAACGTGGCTGCTGAACTGCTCTGACAGATCTCCCCCCTTTCTGCCGAGAAAGGACTCGAGAGCAGACTAGAAATGTTTTGCGAGTTGACACAAAGATTCCACCATAGGATTCATCACCAAACCTACCCCATGACTGAGTCAAGTCATGACCTCGCTGAAGAATTCACACATCGCATTAAACTTGATCGGGAGTGGCAACCGATTGTCGTGCAACTCCATCTGGTCTGCTTAACGTTACAGGCCAGCATCGCACAAACTCAGAAAAATGAATTAATTCAGTAACCTCAGTAAGCATCTTGCACAAATAAAGCGAGACCAAGCTGTCATTACACGGAGGGCAGAAGGAAGAAGCGACTATAATAAACCTCAGTGTCAAAGACTACTCACAGGGTCAGGATTAAGGAAGCTAAATGATATTTAAATTAATTCAAACCCTATCCAACGCGTTGTGCGTGATTAATGCAGCCGTTGGGTGGCATTTGAATCTTTCTCTCCTGTCAACTGTTATAATCTGTGGAAGTTGTTGTTGTTAGTTGCGAAGTCGTGTCCAATCCATCGCAACCCCTTTTGCATGAATTATGGCCTTACAACATCTTCCCATGGAGTGAACCAAGTCTTTTAGTTCTGCAGCTGTTCTAATGAGAAACCAAGATTGAAGGATGGCTTCTATTAACTGGGTTTATTGCTGGGTCGCTTCTGACTAACAAGTTTCTTTAGTCGGCTTCATTGTTTTTCAATTGGGTGAAGGTCTGGGCTATTCCCAGGCCATTCCAGCAGTGGAATATGATTATCTTGAAACTCCCCCCCCCAAAAAGTGGTGTTATTAGCCATCAAACCTCAAAAATACACTTTTCCCAAAAGGTTTCCACAGTTTTGGCCACTACTGTATATAGTGTCCCTTTCAGTTGCAAAAAATTGACGTAACATCCTTTACAACCAACACCTTAAGTTTCCCAAAAAAATATACAACCTTGAACATTAAAAGAGAAGAACCTTAGGACATAATTCAGGTTGTCCAAATATCACCTCTGAAATGTGGACTTGATATAGACTGGGAAGTATTTTCCTAGAAGTCTCTAAAGTGGCTCTTAGCAAAGTCATGGAACTTAGCACAGGCTGGGAACCATGGTTTCCTTACTTTCTTCCAACAAGGAGAAAAGCTGGAAGTCCCAACATGGAATCTGGTTGGAAAAAGGAACAAGAAAGCTCAAACCCAATTATCCAAAACTGATCTTCCTGTTCCTGGGAGCATGGGAACTCTAACACTTCAGATGCTGCTGAACCATGGTAGAAGACCCAGGCATTCTGGCTGAATGTTCAATGTAGATGCCGTCCTCCAGATGTCATGTAGCAACATCTGGAGGACCACATGTTGCCCATCTGGACCTTAAGTAATAGATGTTGACCATAATTAATCGTGTCAAGCATGATAGACCCAAAATCAGGAACGCTGCAAAATCCCTTTGAGGTCACAAAACATAAATATGGATACAAGAGAGGAGAATTAGAAGACCTTATAATATTTATTCTATTCTGAAGCAGTTCAAGGTGTATCTTCATCACTTACCCATCTCCATATTAGTCTTAGCGCCCCAAAATTTACAATTCCCCCAACAGGTCTACCTAAAAGATTTTCTAGATCCCTTCCCCCGGTTTGCTAAAGTAAAACAAGTCTCCAATTGGTACTCACCGCAATCTCTGTGACTAAAATATCAGTAATACTTCCCAAGACTGTGACAAAATCAAAAATGTTCCAGGCATCGCGAAAATAATTCTGGAAGAGAAAAGGGAAGATTCTTCAGATCCCTTTCAAAGCTCTTGACCAAAAGGAAGCAACAGTGGAGTGATACAGAATTCAGAAGTAGAGCTACTTGGAAGCAAGGTGGGAGACTGAGTTGCTCCAACATCCAAGGAAGGATAGGATAGGATAGGATAGGATAGGTAACAGTAGGGTAGGGTAGGGTAGGGTAAATAATAGAGTAGAGTAGAGTAGAGTAGAGTAGAGTAGAGTAGAGTAGAGTGAATAGAGAATAGAGAATAGTGATTAGAGATTAGAATAGAGAATAGAATACAATAGATAATGTAGAATATAGAATGGGACAGGACGGGACAGGACAAGATAGGATAGGATAGGATAGGATAGGATAGGATAGGATAGGATAGGATAGGATAGGATAGGATAGGATAAATACAGGGGTGAAATCCAGCAGGTTCTGACAGGTTCTGAAGAATTGGTAGCGGAAATTTTGAGTAGTTCAGAGAACTGGCAAATGCCACCTCTGGCTGGCCCCAGAGTGGGGTTGGAATAGAGATTTTGCAATATCCTTCCCCCATGAGTGGGGAGGGAATGGGGACTTTACAGTATCCTTTCCCTGGAGTGGAAGGGAATGGGGATTTTGCAGTATCCTTCCCCTGCCACGCCCATCAAACCACGCCCACAGAACCGGTAGTAAAAAAAAATTGAATTTCACCACTGGATAAATAGGAATATGGAATATGGAGAACGATAGAATAGAATATGGAATATGGAATAGGAATAGGAATAGGAATGGGATGGGATGGGATGGGATGGAATAGAATAAAATAGAATAGAATAGAATAGAATAGAATAGAATAGAATAGAATAGAATAGAATAGAATAGAATAGAATAGAATAGAATAGAATATTTGGAAATGAGTATGGAAAGTGAGAACTTGACTTTGACAGTGAAGACATAAAGTTCGTACCAATGCACCAAAGGCGATGATCTTCAAGATACATTCCAGTGAAAACATGGAGGTGAAGACAATATTGAGGCATTTCAGCATATCTTCGTAGGGTTCGGGGGCACCATAGAACTAAATTAAGGGGTGGAGGGGAGAAAAGTCAAGTTGCAGCAAGCAGAAAAATAGGTCAAGATTACCCCAAACGGGAGTCCTTCACGAATCACCCCAGATGTTGCTAACCTTCATCATGAGGACAATGGTATTCAGGGCAATCAGGACCATGATAAAGTACTCAAAAGGAAGAGACACCACAAATTTCCACATCCTGTACTGGAATGACTGCTTGTTTTGGGGCATATAGCGGGTTAAAGGCTTGGCACTGATGGCAAAATCTATGCAGGCTCTCTGCAAGGGAAGAGAAAAGAGCAACGTGAAAAGAGAAAGTCACAAGAACACAATCTCACTTCTGCTTCCTCCTGGTCTTCTTCCAAAGCAGGGGTGCCAAACTCAATTTCATTGAGGGCCACATCAGCGTTGTGTTTGATCTGGGGTGTGTGTGTGTGATTAGGGTGGACGTGGCCAGCATGACATTACTTGTGTCCGGGGGGGGCACCTGTGGTGGCCCAATCTGTCTGCCAGCGAAAATGGGGCTCCGGAGTTCCGTTTTCAACTGCGACGGCCTCCTGCAACCCTCTGCCAGAGAAAACCGAGCTTGAGGGGGCCACATGCAGCCCTCATGAGCTTCGTTTTCTCTGGCATAGGCATCATGGGCCCGTCCTTCACTATTTCCAGGGTGACTACTGGGGGTTTAGGAGAACCTTTAGCTAAGATTCTGTGCACCTCAGAGAACCCCCAAATCCCACTCCTGGCTGGCCCTGCCCACCTTGCCCCTCCTAGGAGTCCCCAAGTGGCCCGTTTTGGATGCAGGTAAGTGCAGGGCACACATGGAGGCTCAGGGAGGGTGAAAAATGGGCCTACCGGAAGTTCAGAAAGGCAGGAAACGGGCCCATTTCCGGCCTCCAGAGGGCCTCCGGAGCCTGGGGAGGCCATTTTCGCCCTTCCGGAGGCTCAAGGAAAGCCTCCAGAGCCCGGGGAGGGCAAAAATGCCCCCCAACATGGTGCAGGAGGCCGACTGGACCACGCCCACCATAGCCACGCCCACCCAGCAACCGGGCAAAGAACCCCTCGCTAAAATTTTTTAAGCCCACCCCTGGCCCTGCGGGCCAGATCTAAGCACTCCACGGGCCAGATCTGGCCACCGGGCCTTGACCTTACAATTAGAGCAAATAGTTAGTTACACATTTCATGTCACGATCTGATCGGCCTTAAGATGTTAGCCGATCTCTACAGCTGGACCAACAGCATGCATGAAGCAAAAAATCCTGTAAACTTAGGCATGATTCTCTCCCCCAAAATGGTTCGAAACATTTACCACTCAATGTTCAAACTCAACCACATAATCCTAGAGAAAGGGGAATCGGTGTGCACCATGTCTCCGATCAGAGAAAAGTACCTCATTTTTCTCCAGGCTGCATTCAGACATCACTTTGTCGCCCTGTTCTTGGAAGGTGATGATGATCAAAGCTACGAAGATATTCACAAAGAAAAACGGGAAGACGACAAAATAGACGACGTAAAAGATCGACATCTCCATCCGGTAGCCAGGACTTGGGCCTTGGTTTTCATACGTTGCATCAACAGAGTGCTTCAAAACACTGAGGAAGGAAGGAAGGAAGGAAGGAAGGAAGGAAGGAAGGAAGGAAGGAAGGAAGGAAGGAAGGAAGGAAGGAAGGAAGGAAGGAAGGAAGGAGGAGATGAGATCAAGGTAAAGCTTCAAATTCACAAAAAAGGTTTTCTCACGCTTTACAAGACTGCAATTAGGAATAAAGCTAAGGATGACCAAGGGCGCAAACTTACGTGGGCCATCCTTCTCCAGTGGAGACTGTGAACAGGGTCAACAGAGCCCAGAGAACATTGTCATAGTGAAAATCGTATTTCTTCCATTGTCTGGGCTGAGCTTCCACTTCATCCTTCTCGTAAGCCAGATACTGGCCTCTGGAAGAGACAAAACATGGTGTTTAAACAAGCCACATATCCAAGCCTGTAAAAATGGAGGACTGGTTCTCTCAACAGTGTTTTCACGAGCAATGCCCTGATTAAAATTATTGGCATAGCTCACACAGGTGTAGAGAACTGCAACACCGCCTCGATCTGAATTATTTGGGATTGATCTGAATTGTCTGGGATTGATCTGAATTGTTTGGGATTGATCTGAATTGTTTGGGATTGATCTGAATTATTTGGAATTGATCTGAATTGTTTGGAATTGAAAATGCCCCTTTTTAGTGCCAAGGACTCAGTTTCAAACCCAAAATGAACTTTCCTCAAACATTTGAGCACCAAACAAAACATTTCACATTGAAAACTGCTGCATTGAGTTTAACATACATCCAAAATGCTCAAAACCAGCCCCTTTTTAGCTATTTTACATTGAAAATCGGACACTTTGCAACTCAGCAGCGAAGGGTCTCTGGATAAATTTAAGCACTCCAAATGGCCCTTGAGTTCTTCATCAAAATAAAGAAACTCTCTAAAATAGGAAGGATATTAAACCTATCTAAGAGTTCCTGTATCATTTTGGGTGGGGTGCGTGAATAACAGTCATTTCATCTATTTTTCCTACCGATTTTGCATTTTTCCTGAAGTAAATTGGAATTGGGTATGTCTACTTTAATGAAAAGAAGGACTAGTGGAGACATGGTAGCAGTGTTCCAATATTTGAGAGGTTGCCACAAAGAAGAGGGAGTCAAGCTATTCTCCAAAGCACCTGAGGGCAGGACAAGAAGCGATGGGTGGAAACTAATCAAGGAGAGAAGCAACTTAGAACTAAGGAGAAATTTCCTGACAGTTAGAACAATTAATCAGTGGAACAACTTTACCAGAAGTTGTAAATGCTCCAACACTGGAAGTTTTTAAGAAGAGGTTGGATAACCATTTGTCTGAAGTGGTGTAGGGTTTCCTGCCTAAGCAGGGGGTTGGACTAGAAGACCTCCAAGGTCCCTTCCAACTCTGTTATTTTGTTATGGAAAGTCCTGGAGGAGTCAACGTGTCAGCGTTTCGACACTGGCATAGAGAGCAGAGGAGAGAGAGAGATAAGCTCTGAACTTTTGCCTGCTAAATCCCTTTGAAGTCAGGTTGTCGTGGAAATGAGGGGGGGGGACATTCCTGGGAAATGACGAGACAAGAAGTCTGAAGAATGACTTGGAAGATAGCCAACGAGAAGCAGAGATTTGGGGATCGGAAAGGGAGGGATTGGGGGGCAAAAGGTCAGTCTTGTCCGCATCGAGTCATGATCCGGTGGCTGTGCTCAATTAAAGAAAAGATTTCCTTAAAAATTGGCAGTTTGGAAATTCGTTCATTTTGAGATAGCATCGAAGTCTGACACAACGTTTGTAGGACTGTTTTGCATTTTTAATAAAGATATTAAAGATGAGTCATTTTTCTTCCCTTTTTTTTAATAAAAAAAAATTAATATCTCCTCTGGCTACATGGAGACCTGGAAGCCTTTGCATCCACTCCACTCCAGCCCTGCCCTAACCTGCCATTATATTGTGGCACCTGCAGTCTTTCTCCAAGTCCTTCGATTCATCGGTGCAGTAGAAGAACCGGCCTTTGAAAAGCTGCACCGCGATGACGGCGAAGATGAACATGAAGAGCATGTAGACAATGAGGATGTTGAGAACGTTCTTCAGGGAGTTCACCACACAGTCGAAGACCGCCTGCGCGAAAAGGAGTAAAAAAAGACCGTTTCGGAATCAGAAAATCAAGTTCAGATTTCCAACTTACCATTCCTCTGGTACTGTTGTGGTCCGCCCGCAGCCTGTGGAGTTGGCAGCGGAATCGGACAGCGATGAGGCTGAGGAAGAACAGGGGCCAGTCCTGGAGGCTGGGGAAGGCCCAGATGAGGGCTCTGCGTCGGAGGCAGAGATGGGGCCAGGGCCATCGGGGAGTGATGTGCAGACTTCGGAGCCTCCAGAGACTGAGAGGCAGAGGAACAGATAAAGCAGAGAGGACGACTCAGGAGTAAGGCCAAGAGATGATTGGCCCCTCCCATAAGGCTTAAAAGACCAGCAACGCTTCCTGGCCTCTTTGCCGGAAAACAACGTTGAGAGATTTGCTTCTTGTTTCGCTGTATTCATTTCTTGTCGGCGTCTTCTGCTTCTGAACTTTTGCCAAGAAAAGCCTTTGGCAGTTTGCCTAATTATCCCAAGGTTAGCGATAAACTGAACAATGGTGTTTTGAAGAATTTGCTTTAATTTAGTTTGGACTACGCTGAGTATGAGTTAATTCTCAGCTGTTCTAATAAAGTCTGTTTGTTTTCGAACTGTTTGTATTTAATACTAACTATTTGGGCCTGGGTCACAACAGGTACCCTGTTTCCCCAAAAATAAGACATCCCCTGATAATAAGCCCAATTGGGCTTTTGAGCGCATGGCAATAAGGCCAAGTGTTTATTTCAGGGTTCAAAGAAATATAAGACAGGGTCTTATTTTTGGGGAAACACAGGTAGTCTTATGTCAGGGTAATGATGATTTAAAGCTGAGCAGCCGCTGTAAGGCTGTGGACCAGGATGATGGACTGAGGATGAGTCAACAGGGTTATTGCTGCTTTAAGAAGCTGTCTATATAAGGGAGGCCATGGGAGGGCGTATCTCTCTCTCCTCGTGTATCACTCTCCTCGTTGTGCTCTATCTGCATTGTAGTTCTCTGTGTAGAGTTGAAGACTGATTGCTTGCCTGGTATGTGCCTACCACGTGTATGTATGTATATAGAAGTCTTGTATATAAACCACTGTTTGCAAGACAAACCTCTGTGTCCTGTATTTTGCTCTTGGGTTGTCTCAAAATAGTAGTCACGCTGTAAACACTCTGACATTTTAAGTCAGTGGAACGATTGTGCCGCACCTGTTGATGTCTTACCTTCAGTTTGGGTAGGCGTTTGATGGTTTTCAACGGGCGAAGGACCCGTAGCACGCGGAGGGACTTAATGGTGTTAATATCCTTCCCTTTGTTCCCTCTGCAAAAAATAAAAAATCATGACAGGAAGAAGAGGATTTGGTCCTGGGCCAACTCACTCCAAAGTCCTCACTGCTACGAAAATATATAACATTTCCCCTCCAATCTGCTATATTTTCCCTTTCCTCTCTCTTTAAAAGGGAAAGGTTCCCCTCGCACATATGTGCTACTTGTTCCCAACTCTAGGGGGCGGTGCTCATCTCCGTTTCAAAGCCGAAGAGCCAGCGCTGTCCGAAGACTTCTCTGTGGTCATGTGGCCGGCATGACTAAACAGAAGGCGCACGGAACGCTGTTACATTCCCACCTAAGGTGGTACCTATTTTTCTACTTGCATTTTTTACCTGCTTTCAAACTGCTAGGTTGGCAGAATCTGGGACAAGTAATGGAGCTCACCCCATTACGCGGCACTAGGGATTCGAACCGCTGAACTACCGACCTTTCGATCGACAAGCTCGGCGTCTTAGCCACCGAGCCACCGCGTCCCTTTTTCCTCTCTCTTTGAAACACCCCAAAATGCAACATTTTCTCTTCTCTTGCAGATAATATGGAACAGAAATCAAGCTTGGAAAACACCATTGAAAGATTCCAATGGCTTTTTGATTTTTGTTAACCCTGGAAAAAAGTTTCTTTCGTTTTCATGCCGGTATCGTTCTACCCGTTTCCACCCCAGTTGCAAACGGCCCAGCCAACAAACGCAAGGCACTGGAATGGTCGACAAACATTCCATCAAATGACATAAAACTGCGCTCAATTTTATCTCATTCGGGGGATTGGAATCAAGCTCGGGAGCTCAAGAGTGGGCGGCTTGCTCTGAGATTGTCGCCGTTCTTACTCGTTGACTTAAATAAGCCTTCATTTTGCATACATGGCCATACAGGTCTCCTTGAAAAGTGCTACCCAAACTGTACAAAATCTGCACAATTGTTTCTCCTCAAAGAGACAGGAATTTCATCCACAGTTTCAGAGTTGCAATTAATGGCAAGATCGGGGGCATTCCGAGAACAGAATTGGGACCATTTTGCCACAGCCAAGTTTGCCGGGTAGGACAATTTAACAATTTTTTAAAAAAAATTGATTTATATGCCGCCCTTCTCCGGAGACTCAGGGCGGCTTACAATGTGCTCAGCAATAGCCTTCATCCTTTTGTATATTTATACAAAGTCAGCTTATTGCCCCCACAAACTGGGTCCTCAATTCAATTTAATATATTTTTTATCATTGGCATTTCATTCTGTCCCTCCTTTGGCATCCGTTCTTTAATAGCCATAGCACTTAGACTTATATATATATCGCTTCACAGTGCTTTTACAGCCCTCTCTAAAGCGGTTTTACAGAGTGAAGCTATTCCCCCCCCCCCCGAACAATATGGGTTTCTCATTTTGCCAACCTCGAAAGGATGGAAGGCCGAGTCAACCTTGAGCCGGTCAGGATCGAACTGCTGGCAGTCGGCAGAGTTTGCCTGCAATACTGCATTCTAACCAAATGCGCCACCACAGCTCTAGTATTTGTAACTTCGAATGGCCATTAAATAAGCTGTGGACAGTCATGGAGAACTACCCTAAAACTCCTCCTTGGCAAAAACCAAGAAGGGGCAGGACCACCCTCCCTGCCCTCAGATGAAGAGAAAAATAGCTCGAATCTCATCTCGCCAAGGTTCCCTGATGGCCACTTCGGATTGCATTCCGCTCAAACCATGCTGAGCCATGGAATCAACCCACGGGTTACGTGCCCGTCATGAGGAAGCAACGCCAAGATGCTGGGTCAGTCATGCAGAAGAATGGATGTCAAGAAATGGGCGTGATGGTTAGACGAGGAACACTTCGGAGATGGAATACATTAATAACAGAGTTGGAAGGGACCCTGGAGGTCATCCAGTCCAACCACCACCACCCCCGGCCCAAGCAGAAGACCCTACACCATCTCTGATCGATGGCAGTTCCATCTCTTCTTGAAAGCTTCCAGAGATGAAGCTCCCACAACTTCTGAAGGCAAGAATATGATGGTTGGGTTGGGTTTTTTTTTTTCATGCTCTGACCCAACGTGAAACACATTCTCTGTTTCAGAATGTGAATCGTGGGTACTTATTTATCCAGTAAATTAAAATAAAGAATAGAATAACAGAGTTGGATGGGACCTTGGAGGTCTTCTAGTCCAACCCCCTTTGAAGAAGCTTCTGGGATGAGAAGCGAAACATCTTCAAGGAAAAACAAAGAAAGTCCAATTGCCTCTTGAAGAAAAAAAAAAAAAGCACTTATTTCTTGATCATACAGGAAGCTCAAACTGCCCAAGGAGCTGCTGATCCAGTTCTACAGAGGAATGATTGAGTTTGTCATCTGCACCTCCATAACTGTCTGGTTTGGCTCTGCAACCCAACAAGACAGACACGGACTTCAGAGGGTAGTTCTGTAGAACTACAGAAAATACAATTGCTACCAACCTGCCTTCCATGGAGGACCTGTATACTGCACGTGTCAAAAAGAGGGCTGTGAAAATATTTACAGACCCCTCACAAACTGGACATAAATTGTTTCAACTTCTACCCTCAAAGCAACGCTATAGAGCACTGCACACCAGACCAACTAGACACAAGGACAGTTTTTTCCCAAATGCCATCACTCTGCTAAACCAATAATTCCCTCAACACTGTCAAACTAGGTACTAAGTCTGCACTACTATTAATCTTCTCATCGTTCCCATCTCCTCCCACTTAATGACTGTATGACTGTAATCTTGTTGCTGGTATCCTTACGATTTATATTGATTGTTTCCTAATATGATTTGATATCTTATTTGTTCCCTATGACTATCACGAAGTATTGTACCTTATGATTCTGAGAGCGTGTGCACCAAAGACAAATTCCTTGTGTGTCCAATCACACTTGGCCAATAAAGAATTCCATTCTATTCTATTCCATTCCATTCCACTCCACTCCACTCCACTCCACTCCACTCCACTCTACTCTACTCTACTCTATTCTCTAGTTATTCCATTCTCTATTCTATTCCATTCCATTCCATTCCATTCTATTCTCCATTTTCTATTCTATTCCATTCCATTCCATTCCATTCCATTCTATTCTATTCTATTCTCCATTCTATTCTATTCCATTCCATTCCATTCTATTCTATTCTGGACACCGAGAGCGTATGCACCAAAGACAAATTCCTTGTGTGTCCAATCACACTTGGCCAAGAAAGAATTCTATTGTAAAACTATGAATTATATTCAGCAGAATGACTGGACCGGACCTGCCTCTGACCTTCTTGTTTCTGCATTGAGAAGGTTCAATGGTTGTTGAAACAGAGCTCCCAAAGAAAGGAGCAGAAGATGCCCCACTGGTATCTGGTCATGGTGGGACTCAGACAAGTCATGGTGGGACTCAGACAAGAAAAAAGGGACCCCATCACCAGAACACCTGAAGACTGGTGATTATGGGTTGGCCCTTCCTAATTTGGAGGAAATGAATTCTTTGAGCTTTTAACCAGACTATGAAGAACAAGATGGGTGAGAGCAGTCAATGGAACGATTGTAACATGAATGGACAAGAAGGGTTTTGGCCACGGGCATCCGCAGGCAATAACAAGGCCACAAGGGAGAGCAATAATGTATTACCCAATGAAACTCCTACAGAGACGATCCCAGTGAAAGGAAGACACACACAAAAAAAGAGCAGAGTCAGCCACAAGGAAGACAATAATCCAAACAACAACCCCCAAGAACACACACGATGGTTGTGTTTTCAGGAAAGACGCCCCGCTACTCCTATTTGGGGACAAATGGGTGAGAATTTGGAGACCAGGCCTATCCACCCTCCCAGGTAACCAGGAAAAGTAAAAATACACGCTTGTGTTCATTATCACCAAAATAACACATTTTTTTTTTACATCTAACAGAATACAAAATAACAGACTTGGAAGGGACCTCGGAGGTCTTCTAGTCCAACCCCTTGCTTAGGCAGGAAACCCTACACCACTTCAGACAAATGGTCATCCAATCTCTTCTTAAAAACTTCCAGTGTTGGAGCGTTCACAACTTCTGGAGGCAAGTCGTTCCACTGATGAATTGTTCTCACTGTCAGGAAATTTCTTCTTAGTTCTAGGTTGCTTCTCTCCTTGATGAGTTTCCACCCATTGCTTCTTGTCCTGCCCTCAGGTGCTTTGGAGAATAGCTTGACTCCTTCTTCTTTGTGGCAGCCCCTGAGATATTGGAATACACTGCTATCATGTCAACCCTCGTCCTTCTTTTCATCAGACTAAAAATATCCAGTTCCTGCAACCGTTCTTCATATGTTTTAGCCTCCAGTCCCCTAATCCTCTTTGTTGCTCTTCTATGCAGTCTTTCTAGAGTCTCCACATTTTTTTTTTACATCGTGGTGACCAAAACTGGATGTAGTATCTTGGTCACTTTCAATCTACTTTTATGATTCCTGTTGCAGGGTTGGGATATAAAAGTGAAGAGTGGGTTCAAAGCGAAGAGATTCATCCACCCCGTTGGATCAGACCTTTGAAACAATTCCCAATATCCCAAACAAGTTGCGTCTCACAAGTGTTTTTCCTCCATTGGGGCAGAAAAGATGACGTAGAAACTACTCTGAATGTTCCGAAGCAGAGGAGGATAAAAACATTTTTATTTGTACAAGATGGAAAGTGCGGCCTGGGTGCAAATACAGACATTCTCGCTAGACTCCCGTGTGAACTTGTGCCAAATCTCTCAGACCCGCCTCACCAAATAGGCTTGGCTTGAAGGCAGACCGTCATCCTGGCAAAATTCACAGGCAAACCAGAGGAACGCTGACAGAGCACAGCCAGGGTTGGCAAGAAGCAGGCAGGCTTACAGGAATCGGAGAGGTCCTTTTCCATCGCAAATGGGTCATCCATGGGACTGAATCGCTTGACCACCTGCCCTTTGTTGATCAGGAACTTGCTAAAATTCCACTTTATAGCATTTCCCAGAGTGCCTCTGCCTTTGGGCTGGTTTTTTAGCCACTTCCAGAGAGGATGAGCATTATCCCCATTGACTTCATCTTGCTATTTCTACTTCAAATAGTAAGTTTTCTTTTAGCCCAGAAAGATCAACTCCAAAGCAAACATTAGTTCTGTGTTCACCCAAAAACAATTGAGATGGTCAACCTTGTGTGGTGTCTGTAAAACATCCTAAACTTGGTTAGTTTTAGCTTCCCCCACCCCCACCCCGTACAAACCCAGCCCAACCCTGAGTGAGTTTGTGATTCCAAATTGTGTAAACCAAGAATTTCATTCATTCAGCAAATGAGCCCCGAATATTTCAGAAAACCAGTGAGATGAAAAAGAAAGAAAAGAAGTTACAGGAAAGGGAATTTGTGGCAGATGTCTACGGGAACTGGATTCTGATGGCCGGAAAAAACTAATTCCATCATAGCACAGGTGACAATGCCGAACAGAATAAAAACATTTCACTGAGAAGGATAGATTTCCCCAAAAGGGCATTTAAATATTATAAATAGTTTGTGATAGAATTATTCAATGGTTTACAATTACAAGGAGGTCCAGGAGGCATTTAAAGAGAGAGAGAGAGGGAGGGAGGGAGAGAGAGAGGGAGAGAGAGAGCTAGATATTATCATGATTGACACGGATGGGACCTCAGAAAGTTTGACTGAGCTACAAATTCCCGTAAGCCTGATTCCCACTTTAGTTTATGCTAAAAGAAGGACATGATTCCCCTTCCAGTTGTAGCCAACTCTAACGGGGCAGCGCTCATCTCTGTTTCTTGGCTGAAGTAGCCAGCGTTGTCTGAAGACAATTCTGCGTGGCCAGCATGTCTATATAGAACGCTATTATACCTTCCCACCACTGTGGTACCTATTAATCTACTTGCATTTGCATGCTTTCAAACTGCAAGTGAATAGAATAGAATAACAGAGTTGGAAGGGATCTTGGAGGTCTTCTAGCCCAACCCCCTGCTTAGGCAGGAAACCCTACACCACTTCAGGCAAATAGTTATCCAATCTCTTCTTAAAGACTTCCAGTGTTGGAGCATTTACAACTTCTGGAGGCAAGTTGTCCCACTGATTAATTGTTCCAACTGTCAGGAAATTGTTTTAACTGTCAGGAAAAGTGGGCAGGAGCTGAGCCGAGAAGAGGAGCTCACCCAGTCTCACGGCGTTGGATCTCCAACCCAGGATGTCAGCTCTCCAGCTGACAAGCTCAGCGTCTTTAATACCCCACCGCCACCCACCACCAAAGGATGCTAATGGTAAACAATCTGCTTAACTTCCATTGAAGAAATCCCTTCCGGCTCACTGAATTTAAACGGGAACTTCTAGGTAAGGAGGGCAGTCAAAAAAAAAAAAATTCCCCCCAAGCACAGCATCGCTCTGCTTTCCACTTCAGGAAATCAGAGCTCAGGAAGAAAAGCTACTTACGAAAAGGCAAATGCCACAAGTGCTCCACTGACCACAATGAAGTCGAGGATGTTCCAGAGATCGCGGAAATAGGCACCGGGATGCAGCAGGAGTCCCAAATCAATCATCTTCAGAAGGAAAGAGAGAGAGAGAGAGAGAGAAAGAAAGACGTGAAGGACGCAGAGAGGAGGAAAAAAAGGGAGGGGGAGAAAGGTAGATGTCCCTATTGTTTTTAATAGTTTGGTGGACTTCAAAAGCACTGGTGATGGTAGCCAATTTGGGTCGTGACATCTCTGCTAGAAAACCACCAAGCTCAGAGAGCACCAAGGAACCTACAGTCTTCTTCTTCCTCCTCCTGCTGCTGCTCCTCCTCTTCCTCCTCACAAACTCCCTTCTCTTCTAGCACGGATGATGTTATCTAGTTGGGTATTGAAACATTTGCAAGAAAACCACCAAGCTCAGAGAGCACCCAAGGAACCTACAGTCTTCTTCCACCTCCTTCTCCTCCTCGCAAATTCCCTTCTCTTCTAGCAGTGGTAAAATCCAAATTTTTTTACTACTGGTTATGTGGGCATGGCTTGGTGGGCGTGGTGTGGCTTGGTGGGCATGGCAGGGGAAGGATACTGCAAAATCTCCACTCCCTCCCCACTCCTGGGGGAAAGATATTGCAAAATCTCCATTCCCACCCCACTCTGGGGCTAGCCAAACTACTCAAATTTCCGCTAACGGTTCTCCGAACTGCTCTGAATTTCCGCTACCGGTTCTCCAGAACCTGCTGGATTTCACCCTTGTCTTCTAGCACTGATGATGTTATCTACTTGGGTATTGAAATGTTTGCAAGAAAACAACCAAGCTCAGAGAGCACCAAGGAACCCCACAATCCTCCTCCTCCTCCTCCTCCTTTCTCCAAACTCACCTCCTTTCTAGCACGGATGATATTATCTAGTTGGATAATGAAACATCAGCAAGAAAACAATCAAGCTCAGAGAACACCAGGGACCCCTTATTTAAACCCTGAGCTACAAATATTCTCCTTCATTGGTTCATGTGTATTCTTGCACGTCCTCAAAAATCCACGTGGATTTCATAGGAATACAATGATTATAAATATGCAAATAAGTCGTCCAATGTCATGCTTGTGTAATTGTTCCTCTGCAGATATGCTCCTAAGAGATTTGGAGAAAGATTCTTACCTTTATCACCATCTCAAAGGTAAAGACACCTGTAAATATATAATCCAGGTACTTGAGAGCCTGAAAACAGAAGGAGTGGTTCAAAAGTTAAAAGGAGCCCAAAGTAAATTGAATCCAAAGAAAAATACATTATAGCAATAGCACTTAGACTTATATACCGCTTGACAGTGCTTTACAGATCCTCTCTAAGCGGTTTACAGAGTCAGCCTCTTGCCCCACAACAATCTGGGTCCTCATTTTACCCACATCGGAAGGATGGAAGGCTGAGTCAACCTTGAGCCGGTCAGGATCGAACTCTTGGCAGTGAGCAGAGTTAGCCTGCAATATTGCATTCTAACTACTGTGCACCATGGAAGGAAGGAAGGAAGGAAGGAAGGAAGGAAGGAAGGAAGGAAGGAAGGAAGGAAGGAAGGAAGGAAGGAAGGAGAAAAGGGAGGGAGAGAAAGGAAAGGAAGGAAAGAAGCAATAGCAGACTTATATACCGCTTCATAGTGCTTTTACAGCCCTCTCTAAGCGGTTTACAGAATCAGCCTCTTGCCCCCAACAATCTGGGTCCTCATTTTACCCACCTCGGAAGGATGGAAGGCTGAGTCAACCTTGAGCCTGGTGAGTTGCAGGCAGCCAGCAGGCAGCAGTACCGCACTCTAACCACTGCACCACCACGGCTCATTAGATATAAATTATATTCTATATAAAGAATCACATAGATTTCTTCTATTGGGATGTTTCATCATCTGTATTGCTCTAAGATTTGAGACATGCTTCTGTCTTAAAGGATCAGGTTAGGAGCTGGTCTTTTAAAGCATTGATAGCCGTGGTGGCGCAGTGGTTAGAATGCAGTATTGCAGGCTGACTCTGCCCACTGCCATCAGTTTGATCCTGACCGGCTCGAGGTTGACTGAGCCTTCCATCCTTCCGAGGTGGGATAAATGAGGACCCAGATTGTTGGGGGCAACAGGCTGACACTGTAAACCATTTAGACAGGGCTGTAAAGCACTATGAAGCGGTATATAAGTCTAACTTGCTGCTGCTATTGCTATTGGTACCCACTGGTGCTTGATCGGGCATTCTAGGCAGAAGTCACTTTTGAGAAACAAGCAACTGGCCATTCTTTGTAAGCCACCCAAGAAGATCTCAGGAGGCATCCCTATCTTCTAGGAAATGGTGATATGCATTGAAGAGGAATTGCATCCCCTTTCAGATCCATATTTGGTGGCCTTGTTGTCTTGGCAACAGGAATCAGTTCCATCTCCATCCCACACTCAAGCAGCAGAAAACTGCAGGTTGAGTGCCTGAAAACAGGGACCCAAGAAACATGCAGAAGAAGACAAAGTGGAGAGCCGTGGTTGTGCAGTGGTTAGAATGCAGCACTGCAGGCTAATTCTGATGACTGCTGATTGCCAGCAGTTTGGCAGTTCAAGTCCCACCGGCTCAAGGTTGACTCAGCCTTCCATCCTTCCGAGTCTAAGGGCTAAGTCCTAGTCCTAGTCCTAGTCCTAGTCCTAGTCCTAGTCCTAGTCCTAGTCCTAGTCCTAGTCCTAGTCCTAGTCCTAGTCCTTCCTTCCTTCCTTCCTTCCTTCCTTCCTTCCTTCCTTCCTTCCTTCCTTCCTTCCATCCATCCATCCATCCATCCATGGTGGGGCAGTGGTTAGAATGCAGGATTGCAGGCTGACTCTGCCCACTGCCCGCAGTTTGATCCTGACCAGGTCAAGGTTGACTCAGCCTTTTTGAAACCGGTATATAAGTCTAAGTGCTATTGCTATCTTCAGCTCCACCCCAATGCAGAGACCTTCCTCTAGAGCTGGACAGCTTCCCGCAACTCATCCTGAACTTGCATCTCTCACCTCATTTCTGGGCGACTCCGCTTGAACAGGATCCTCGGCGGCCAGGGCGATGCTGCTGAGTGCGATAACAAAGAGGATGACCATCTCGAAGTAACGCATGTTGACAATGTAGTGACAGAGGCACCGGATCCTGCAGAGGAGCCAAAGAGAGCAGTGAGATAGGAAAGGTCAAGGAAGGTGCGGCCCCATCGCACAGGGCCGCATCAAAGCGACCGTATTGGCTATTGGAAAGTGGATACATCATTGGATGACCAAAGGACAATGTTAATGGTTTGGGTCAACATTTAGCATACTAGAGTACCCTGTTTCCCCGAAAATAAGACCCAACTGGAAAATAAGCCCTAGCATGATTTTTCAAGATGCTTGTAATATAAGCCCTACCCCCAAAATAAGCCCCAGCTAAGATTGTCAGCCAGACGGATTCATTTAGTTCCATATTTCCCCCCAAAATAAGACCTACCAGAAAATAAACCCTAATTCATCTTTTGAAGCAAAAGCTAATATTAGACCTGGTCTTATTTTCGGGGAAACACGGTAGTCGCGAGGCTCTGGTAGAGCACCCAATGTGATAAACAAGCTTCTGTTGACATGGTATAACAACGTCTTGAGATGTTTGCGTACCCCCTTCCCTAACTAATCAATTCAGCCAGCACTCAACAAGGTGTTGGTCAGGACAGGAATCTGATGAGTTTGGTGATTGGTGGAAATGGCAGAACTCAGCAGGCCTTCGAGGCCGTGGAAAGCTCCCCAAGAAACCACAAGCCTGTGAGTTAAACCAAAGAAGGGTAGTTGAGTTTCTTTTATAACTTCTAAACCTTATCTATTGCCTGATAGATTCCTCGTATGTAACTAAGTCAAAGTAAGAAATATCTATCTGTCTGTCTGTCTATCTATCTATCTATCTATCTATCTATCTCATCAACATCATCTATCTATCATCTACAACTCTCTCTCTCTCTCTCTCTATCATGTACAATGTATCATCTGTCTATCTACAGTATCTATCTATCTATCTATCTATCTATCTATCTATCTATCATCATCTATCATCATCTATAACTATCTATTTATCTATCTATCTAGCCTCAGATTCTTCTTTTGTTGCGGGTGTTACTTGGAAACCTGACATCCATCCATCCATCCATCTATCTATCCATCTATCTATCATCTACAACTCTCTCTCTCTCTCTCTCTCTCTCTCTCTCCTATCTATCTATCTATAATTTACAATGTATCATCTATCTGTCTGTCTGTCTGTCTATCATTATGTACAACTATCTATCTATCTATCTATCTATCTATCTATCTATCTATCTATCTATCTATCCTCCGATTCTTCTTTCGATGGATGTCAGGGTTACTTGGAACCCATCCATCCATCCATCCATCCATCCATCCATCCATCTATCTCTATCATCTATCAATCTATCAATCTATCTATCTATCTATCTATCATCTACAACTCTCTTTATCTTTCATAATTACAATGTATATCATCTGCCTGTCTATCTGTCTGTCTATCACCATCTACAACTATCTATCTATCTATCTATCTATCTATCTATCTATCTATCCATCCATCCATCCATCCATCCATCTCCATCCATCCATCCATCCATCTATCTATCTATCTATCTATCTATCTATCTATCTATCTATCATCTACAACTCTCTCTCTCTCTCTCTCTATTTATCTATTTATAATCTACAATGTATATCATTTGCCTGTCTATCTGTCTGTCTATCTATCACCATCTACAACTATCCATCTATCTATCTATCCATCCATCCATCCATCCATCCATCCATCCATCCATCCTCTGATTCTTCTTTTGTTGGGGGTGTTACTTGGAACCCTGACATCCATCCATCTATCTATCTATCTATCTATCTATCTATCTATCTATCTATCTATGTGCCTTACACTGTGTTTGGGGTTCTTCCAACATAAGGGAGGACTGGCCTTTATTTGGCTTATCAAGAGACATCAGGGCTCCGTCTCCTCCTTCCTACCAAGTCCCTTCTAAATCCCTGCTTAACAAGGGATGACTTACGGGTTGGTTGGGCTTAAGATGAACAAGGAGCTGTAGGGAAGGATCGGCTTGGGTGTACTGTTGGTTATCTCATCTTCAGCATCCATGTCCTTCTTCTCTTCCATTTTGGCTTCAAATTCAACGTTGTTCACTAAAGGGTTGACAAAGATAAGACTACATCTCAAAATGAGAGCTTCTGAATAGGGTCGGAGCATAATATTTTGTTGCTGTGG